TAGACACATCAACTCGGCAGGATATTATCGGACAACTACAATTTGCCTGTTGAAACGTTCACAAAAGCTTCCCGTGGCGAGAGTGTGGATGGCCTCAAGAGTTTAAGTAAATTTCGATCTGTTCTAGCTTACCCCCCACACTTGTAGGCCTGACAAGGTGCATGCATGCCGTTACGGTCGAAATACATGATGAAGCGGCGGAAGGTCGAAGAAGTGGAACTCCGCTCATACGGGGCATCAAGGGCCAATACAGGAGTGATGGTTGATCAACACCGACTGGCAAGACGCAGCATGCCTGCAGCTTTCTGCTAGTCTAGTGTGGTAGTTGGCATACCTACCCTGCAGGAGCAGCAAGAAATTAACCTTAAGGTTGTCGCTATTTTTAAAAGCGCCTCCCAAGGATAGGGTACTGCATAGTAAGGTTAGTCTGAGGCCACGCTCTGCAGCACCACTCTTGGCGTTCTACAGGGCTGACGACGGGGCTCATTACACAACGGGAACAAGGTCGCCGTCTCTCGGTACTGACGCTGTCCGTGAGGCACTGCTAGCGACAACGGAGGCAGCATCGGCTTGAGCCGAGGATTCAAGACTCAGGATAGACATCGTGGAGAAAGATTGGTTCGTTTCCTTGGGAACAGAGGAGAATCACGCAGAGTGACCTGTTCACATTATCTTGCTTGACCGTCAGCCTGATTACCTATCAAGAGCCTGAAGACGACAAATTCAATTGCCCGCGCCGCCACCGCGGAGAAAAGAGGCAAGCTAGCCACGAAAAACCTCCACCGCAGTCAATCGTGCAGGGAAGCCCTGAGCGAGTCAAAATGATCATTCCGATGCCATTGGATGGGAATATCAACCAGGTCAAACATCACCCTTGCACCACATATTGATACCATCTGTCAGTTGGCATTGGCGCAGAGTGGACGACAAGACCTGGTTAAGACAAACTAGACATAGCCCTACGTATGCAAGCCCCGGCCGCCCCCTCTCTGACATACAGACCACAGCGGTTATGTCCCCAGGTCCCCGACTGCGACTATTCCTCTTCTTTGGGAAGGTAGCTTTATCTTCCACCCTCGCCCTCGCATCTGGAAACAATCTCTGCAAATCTAACGACCCGCTAATCTATGACAACAAGCCAGACGGCCTTGGGGTCGAGAAATTGCGGTCAAGTTACCAATAAGCTGAGGCGACTGGCATCATGGCCAGCAATACTGCGGCTGCAGTAATCGGTGTGACAATGCTATCTAGTGGTGGACGTGTGCTGGAGGTCGCCGAAAAGCCAAAATTGGGATTCTCACGTAATCGCTTCCGCGCTCTTGCTAATATGCCTACATACATGGGTGCACGGTTCACGCTTCCCGACCCTTAGTCACCCCCTGGCTGCCAAGCACTCACACCCTTGAGCATATTCCATCTTCAGTCCGTCAGAGCTGAAGGTCTCTTTTTCAACTTGACTGACGCTATGTCATGGCACGTCACTCGCCCTCGGGCATCCCTTCTCGACGACTTGGCGACGGCCACTGCTGCTGGTCCGTTACGCTCGCCGCCACAACCCGAGCTGCCGGATCTCTCCTCACCGCCATGCAGGTGGAAGCCATGGCAAAATCAGTCTTATGTGTGCCTCCCGCGATCAAGGCCCGACTCATCAAAGCTGTGTGGGTGCTAGCCTAGCAGGGTCTGCTACTAGAATTTTCGCGAACGGCCCAATGAGGGCTCGAGCATGATACCTCGGCGGTAGAACAGCCATCTAGGTCAGTCACAAAAAGACATAAATTGCATAGCCACGATCAAGATCTCGCCTAACCACCTTCCCACGAGCACTTGATGCTGGTGGCCGGTCTTAAAAGACCATGTCACTTTAAGGTAAAAGCTAATACAGCTCGAGGCTGACATATCACAATTAACTTAGCTAAGCGAGAGGCGTGTGCAGTAATGGCTTTCACTCCCTAGGCTTATTGGAACATCGCCAGAACAGTCGTGACCTGCGCTCATGCAGATTCGGTCTGTATTGGTGGGATTCAAGCTATATGGCTCCGTGTCTTGACGCCTGGGGCAGGTCATGCGAGTCTTGTCCGCCGGGGTGCCGTTTCTATGAAGAGCCTGAGCGAAGACCTCTCATCATCTCGGTAAGGTGAACCGTCAGCCCGGCTCCGTACAGACAGACTGTCGGCTCCGGGTGCCTAAAATATACTTCTACGGTCGGCGCATACTTCCGTTGGTCGATCATTGAGCGATCGTCCAGTCAAAAGCGGCGATATCACATCGTCTACATCTTACCATCTGGAGGTCAAGAGTCATGTTCTAGCTTGACGTCCTATCAAACTGTTTCTCTATTCAGTATAATCATAAACAGATACATTTCAGTCTTGTGGATTTACAAGGAACTTGAGGCGCTTGTCACTCGCCGTGTTACTGTGCCGAAGATCGATCAGCATGAAGTACATGGGCATCACTGTGCGCTTGGGGATAGGTAGCCCCTGACGCGTTGGGAGACACCACGGCGGTGCTTCTCGAAGGCGCCACCTGTCACAAATTGCAGTCATCCTTGTATGTAACTATCTCAGATTCGTGCAGTGGGCCAGAGTTGGGATGATAGGGCTAGCCATCGGTAGGGCTGGCTTTGCGGGGGGCGGCTGCACCAAGCGTAATGCTGACTGCTTCGACGCTCCTCGAGTATTTCCTAGAGCTTATTACCAGTGACCGTTCTTATGCCAAGCAGTAGTCTCACAATCTTATTGGAATTTAGCATTTAAGGTTGTGAGATGGTAAGCTAGCAGCGCTTTGGCAGCTTTGCTGGCACTGCTAAAAGAAAAGGGGAGACCGTTCAAGCTTCTCCTCGGTGCTCTCCAGCGGCAATGCTACCCGGTCAGCCCAACAAGGCTCTCCTTCGACGATTGGCAGACCCTTGCGCGGTGCGCGGGCGTCTCGGCGGAGGTCACGGCGGACGAGCAGTTTCCATGCACCTTTCCGCTGTTCGAGTCTTGGCATTCGGCCGCTTGTGAGCCATTGTCTGATGCTGGGCCCGGGTGCACATTTTTCCTCCATAAAAGTCCCCGAATGAACGTTTGAATCCTTCAAGGGACCATTCGCGCGATGTCTTTGAGCAATATCAGAGTGGCAGTGCAAAATGCTCATCAGGTTGATCGGCTCGTTGCTCCTGCAGTTTCGCGTGGCCCAGCTGTCTCAACGCCCGGGCTAGACTTACACGATTGCCAGCGCACCGGCAGTATCTCGGTCGCTTCAGAAGATTGATCACTTTTCTCAAAATAGATATCAGATCCGTGATGCTTCTCGACTCTGATTAACTGAAAGGGTAAAGGAAAGCTCCATCACGGGCATTTGCTTGTCTATGATTCCTCGTTCTTTGCCAATAAGAATGGTGGGTTAACCGAGACGTGCAACCTGTTGTGAATGAACGCCTCGGGCAATCGTGGCGTACAGCCAATTCCATGAACAGGAAAAGCGTTCCGTTCTATCGTGTGCTGTCGCTAGTGCGAGTGACCACATTGATTTCGTTGTCAAGAGTCTTGGCCACCCCTCCCACAGGGCCTAGGTATGGCATCCTTTGGCATCAACGATAGATTCACGAAAATCCATGTCATGTAGCCAAGCTGCATGGCTGTCAAAGGAGGCTCTTTTTTCGCTTACGAAGCATAGTAACTGTAGTGGTACAAATAGAGACTTGGTTATGTAACATATCTGATTGATAGGCTTTGCTCGTGCTCGAGGCATTGAAGGTATCGCGGCTCTTGACCGTGATTGTTCATCATTAGAAATATGTTCAAATAAATTATTAGCTAACTCAGATGTTGCTGAGCTCATGCCAGAATATTTTTTGATGCCAAATTTATCAATGAAGCCGCTGAGCTGTATTCAACATGATGATCTGGGTCCTTGGTGCAAGGCCCAAATATCCTGTACTATCTGGTAACAGTCCTAGTCAAATGATCCTGATTTCTATTTTCGGAAAGACACAGAAGTACCGCTTGTATCTTCGCGGGATGTGTAACATGAGCAACCTTGACCGTTGGGGGCGGTCGTCTCCTGTTGAGACTGGCGGCCTCTATCGCTCCATCCACAACAGGGGTCAAATCTGATTTGTTCTCCTACGGCGGTGACACAGGTCTCGACTGTGCACGGGGTAGGTGGCCCCGAGCTATAGAGTTGCACTGGATGTACGTCGCCTTTTGCTATCAGTAGTCGCGCGTCAAGTACGACCAGTCATTGCTCTCTTTCACCAGCAATATGACTACACGTAAGATAACTCTTGCGATAGCCTCCTATACATTGGCTCCACAGGACGGCAGTGTTGCTCGCATCGATGCATGGGCGGAGATCTGCCTGACTTGTTATCAAACTCCGCATTTTTGGATGAGTGATTAGGGGGAATACGCACTCCAACCCCGATATCTTGCATTGTCGGATGATATCAATTATATTAATTCTACACATTTTTTTTTTCATGGCACACTCGTGACGCTCCTGTGTTGCTTCTTTGGCTTCTAGTTAATGTTAAGAACGTTGTAGCGCTTGTGTGAATTTATATGATGTTTACTACAATGGTACTACTCGAGGAGGCTGGGACCTGATAATCGTAAACAATAAATGGTGACCGGGTGATCAATCAGGGATACGGCTTTCGGCGGAGCAAAACGTATTTGGCATGACGCTCTTATTGTATCCGTATCCTCTGTCTGTGGAGAGCATTATTCTAATAGCTTGAGCCGTCAATAGCGAAATTGAATACTCCTTTCCAATCTCGCGTGCAAGCTTGGTAGAGTTAATCACGACTTGCAGTTATTCCCATTCATTGTACAAACACAACATCTCACTCTATCATTATGAAATTTCTGTCGTTGACTTCTTGCAAGCAACGTTAATGCATTGTGAGTTCTCAAGTAAGACCGAGAGCAGCACTACCGTAGTTATCTTCTGACACCGCTGTGAATAGAAATTGCATCGTTCAAGAATCCGACGACCCCCTTTCCAACCATCCCTCAGATAGACAAGCTCGAAATTTCAGCACCCCCAACTCTCTCCATCTCCGGCGTTGGCGGCGGCAAGTTCTGCACCTTGGTGCAGATCCAGCAGCTCGCGTACATATTGACCCGGTCGATACACTCCCCGGGGTTCCGGGCGCCGACTCTCTTCGGCTGGAACCCATGGGCGGCGAACGTCTCGACATACCACGGCTTCAGGGCGCTCGACCTCAGCATCACACGACCACCCATCTTCAGAGCGCGATTGAGCTTGGAGATCTGCGCCGCGGCGGCTGGTGAATCCGGGTCGAACCAGTCCATGCTATCCATGACGACGGCGACGGTTAACGTGCCGGGTGTCATGCGTGCAATGACCTCGTCGATCTCATCGGTGTGAATACGCAGGCCATCAAAGGCGCCTGGGCGAGACAGTCGCGCGTGTGCTTGCGGGGAGAGGTAATCCGGGTGACATTTGCGCGAGAACTTGCCTGTCAGGCAAACATGGTAGTACGGGTTGTCGGCGGCGATGTGTGTGCTTTCCACCATCGGGTCGAGCGTGTTCACCATGTAATGCCAGATAGCGTGGGAGCGGACCGCCTTTGCGGTCGGTGTCGAGCCGCACACTGCCTCGCTGGTGGCGTGGTCTGCCTCGATCATGGCCAGTTGGTTCTTTGGAACGCCGAGCGCAGTCCACAAAAAACTCTCCTGGCTGACGACGAGCTTGCTGACGAGCTTGGAAAGCAGGGCAGGTCGGATCCTGTTCCGCCAGATCTCGCGTTGTTCGTTCAGAGTTTTAGCTTCAAGGATGGCCTTGACAGCTTCACGGCAACCGAAAATATAGGATATCCACCGGAAGATGCGAATTGCATGCTTCGAGCCCCCCGTGTCATAGAGTCCAAGACTGCGATTTGTCGTAAAGATATGGGAGTTGCTAAGCCAGTACTGAAAAGCGCGACTGGACAAGTGAGGCGACAGCTTTGAGATCAAAAGGGACCGGAAGTCAGGATGTTTGCCTTTTCCGAATAACTTCCAGAAGTCTTCATAAGGCAATGCCATGTAAGAAGCCACCTTGAGCTCCAGGAGATGATTCTGGGTCGGGTTTAGATCGACGGCATGAGTTCTTGCCGGGCTTTGGGCGGCATAAGACAATATGTTGTCGCCGGCACTCGTAATTGCCAAAACCACATCGTCCGACTTGAGATTCAGGAGGTGGGCGTCCACACGAGAATCTTCCCAAGTAAACGCATAAATGTACTCGTCGTTGAATTGAGTATGCTTTTTAAGCTGGTCATCGTAGTATATGCGCCAATGGTGGTTCTGGTAGAAGAAGGCAGGCAGGGGAAGATTTGATGACAGATTCTGTATAGCAGCATCAAATGCCTTGGATCGAATTTCCGGAGCCGCACGCTGGACTGCACGACTCAAAGCATTCGAAACACTTGAACCATTCGCAGGAAGTAGCCTGGGTGACTCAGTTGCCAAAGCGTCCACATGCTCGATAATCTCGTGGGGCAGACTGGATGAAGAGAAGGGCTTCTTATGGCATCCTAGCCAAACGTAGTAGGGAATGTATCCAAGAGCGCGGTTACGGTCGTTGATATTCAGGACCGTACCGAAACGGTATTCGAGATAGTCCCGGCGACTGGGCTCAAGACTGACTCTGTCGATCTCGAACCACGCACGCCAAAATGTGCGGGTGAAGAAATTGACATGACGCCCAACGAGACCGCCCGTGTGGTTGCGAAAACTCACATCAACCTTTGATTGGACATAAAAGTCAACAACACCAATAACACCGTTTGGTGATAGAAGTGAAGAGAGAGAATCGATGATAGAGAAGAAGTCGGGCTATATTTGGGTTAGCTGGGATTTGGTCATAGAAAGGTGCTTTATGTACCATCATGGACAAGCTGTAAGACATGGTAATGAGGTCGGCACCTCCATGTTCCGGCCGTCTTTGATCAAAGTAGTTTCTGGGTGTCAGGGGAGGAGTCTGCAAGCTCTGGAGATCATTTTCATAATCTTCAAGACGAAACTTCCTCGCATCTTCGCAAATGACCTTGACATTCTGCCAACCAAGTCTGGCAAAACGCTTGCGGGCCACTTCACAAAGGGAAGGAGAGAAGTCAACAAGGTAGACGCTGGAGAAGAACTCAGGAACGTTGACAAATTCGGACATTGCCTCAATGTTCCAACCAGTACCTCCACCCACCTAGGTCTTTTGTTAGCATGAGAGGTCATTGGGTCTAGTAGATATTTATTTATGCCCACATCAACCCAGACTGTCTTCTTCCCCTTTCTCCTGCCCCCGTTCTGGGCCCTGGACTTCAGCTGGGCAGCAACTAGTGCCAGCATGTCCTCACGGCCTCTGAGAAGAGTCTTCCGCGTGCTGTCATACACGCCGGCTTGCGCCTTGTAGAAAGACTCGAGGGCATCTTGCTGAGTTCCTTTGCCGTCACCCTTGTGCGGCTTGAGGAAGCAAGAATAGCAGAAGAGAAAGATGGACCGGACGAGACTGGGGCTCTCGTCGGTCTTGTTGGACTTTGGCAGGAGTCTGGAGAGTCCAATGGCAATACAAGCCACACCAGCAATGCTGGCGAAAAGGAGTTTGGGACCTATGTCAGGGGGCATAATGTTACCACCAAGAGAAGCCATGGTACTCTCTCATTGCTAGGTCGCCGAGAGGGAGTGTGTTGAAACAAGAAGAGCTCTTGTCTTTGGACGTGCAATTGATAACCAATGATGGAGTAACAAGGAGAGAAAGAGGGAAAGACGTTAGAAACTGCGGCATATACCAATGTTTTAAATACAAGCTACTTGTACCCGTCGCGTCCAACCGTGGCCCTGAAGGTCCCGGGACCCTGAAGACCTGCGAGAGCCCCACTATGCCGTAGCTTGACCCCGCGGTGGTAGCGGTCGAAAGCCAAAGGAGCTCGGAGGTATGGTGTGGGAGGCGACTAGCCAATCAGGTGGGGGCCTAGAACACATGTTCGAGTTATATGGCGATTCAGAACTGCACAGCATCTTACCTCAACGTTATTCTAGATTCTACGAGAGTTCCCCTGAGATGTGTACGGCCCCGAGGGGCAAGATACCGCGCTTGACGCCGGATCGAACTGACGCGACTTGGTTTTACGATACACCTGGCCAGCAGAAGCTTGCACGAGAGCTTGTAGCTTTGTGGCTACGTTCCATGCAGACCACCTGTGCTTTCTGTCGAAGTGCCTGATAATGGCCGGCATTCTAGTATAGAAGAGTTCGCGCATCATTCATTGGGAAGATAGGGGGAGAGGCATTTGTTGAGGGTGTGTGAATTGTCGACCTGTCAACAAACTCAATGGCCTATGGGATTGTCATCTACCGTGCTAACGAGAGGTGAAGAGGAATCAGAGTAGAACAACAACCAGAGTGACACGGCAGTAGATCGCTTCCCATGTGTTCTGTTCCATTGTATGGGTGCCCCACACCTGATAGCTCTCGGCAGCTCAAGGATACCAATTGCATTTGAGCGTTAAGCCACATGGAGAGACAACAGCTCAGACTGATCTACTTGCTGAGTCGATCTCTGCCACAGAAACTCCCTCTCTGATTGCGCGCCATTCTATTAGCCACTCATATTCTCGACAATTCAAGAGCAAAACCAGAAGAGAGCGCATCTCGCCGATGCCAACCCGCTGCTTCTTTGTAAAGCTAGCACTCAAGCGTCCTGCTCGAGGAAGATCAACACTTACGACCCTAGGGAAGCAAATGAGAACCTTAGTCTAGAACGTGTTCCGGTGACGGGAGCCAATTAGAGTCTATGTATGCACGGACCAATTTGCGTTCTGAGCCACAGATCTATTCAGCCGCATCTTGACGCGGGCCCGCAGTTCTTCCCCTTCCGCGGGTTATGTCAGCCACATCTCGGTAATAAGTGACGATTGATCGCCTTGTCGCGACGTACATATCGCATGCAGATAGCAAGGCAAACCGGCCATCGCGACTGGCCTTCTCCCTGACGTTGCCCAATCGCTTGCAATACGTTCCAAAATGCCACCTGGCTCAAGCCAGAAAGGGACGGGAAAGAAAGGGGCTGGAGTCATGGCTCGTCAACGAAGTCGAAACACTACACCCTCCTCGGTGCCGCCGACCGCGAGCCTACCGCCTATCGAATCGGCCCAGACGGACTATCTGGACCTGACGTTTGATCTGTTTAGAAATATCACATATGAGGATCTTGTTGACCAGAGCGCATCCAATGCGGTCATCCCTGACTCGAAGAGCCTTGATGGCATCATCACCCGCCTCCAACGGCTGCAGGACACCATCGAGAAGCGGGGTACATATTGTGACAGAGGCATGAGGTTACTGGCTGCTAATCGCCGTACGAGGATGGATGAGATTGCTGCAGAGAGAAGTAGAGAAGAAGAGCGCTTGCGACGGGAGGCGGCCGACGAGGAGGAACGTGAACGCAAAGCGAATAAAGCAAATAAGAAGAAGAGGAAGGCGACCGAGAACCTCGCGCCCCAGGATAGCAACATAGGTCGGTTCCCACATCAGATGATTCGATTGTTTATTGCCGTATTCTTCACTTGATTCTTGAGCCTCAACTGACAGTAAACTAGAACGTTCGTCTCCACTTCGAGAATCCAGCAACAAGCCCAGGAAACTTTCGCGGGACCACGACTCAGCGAGCTCATCGCTTTCACCCGTCGCACCTGCTACTCCGGGCGCGATGGATGTTGACGAGAAGACAAAGGTCGAGGAGAACGAGGAGGACTCGGACTCAAGCTCAGATGATGGTGCGCCACCACCTCCTCGGATACCGCAAGCTAATACCTTCGGCGACGACCCGTCAACGTTCCCCGACCCCACAGTTTACGAGATTGTTGAAGTCAAGCCCGGCATGACCCCAGACGAGCTTAGGGAGATATACTCCGTCGCGGTCTATCCCAGAACAGATCTGGCCGATTTGATCGCTGGAGATCCCCCGGACAAGGACTTCAGCAACGCCAAACCCTCTAACCAGATTTCATTTTCCACCTTCTCAACATATATCGAGCCATACTTCCGACCGTTTGCCGAGGAGGACCTCGCCTTCCTCCGAGAGCGTGGCGACCGGGTCGGACCTTTCGTCATGCCCAAACGCGGCAAGAAGCATTACACCGACGTGTGGGCTGAGGATGATGGAGCCATGGCCATCGACTCAGCTCAGCCTGGTCGCGAGAAGCTCCCGCCTAACCAACCTCGTGGCAACATCGAGAACCTGGATGACGACCTTGCAGAGACGGATAAGCTCAGCGTCGGGCCTCTGCTGTCACGCTTACTCCAGGCTATGCGCCCAGAGTCGCGCGCCACGCCGCCGGAAGAGGGAGCCAAACCCCAGACCAATGGAGTCAATGGCGACACGCCCATGAACGGATCGATGGACCTGTCGGTCAACGGCATCGACTCCTTCGACGCGGCTACAACAACTTCTAACCCGGCAAACGCCGAGAACACTGTGCCGCCCGCGACCTTCATGACCGAGTCCAGCACCGAGGCGTGGAAGAAGGCGACACACCCCAAGCTCGACTACACGCAGGTGGACGAGCGCATCAAGCAGGAACTGCGCCACATCGGCTTCCTGCCCCTCGTCGAGCCGGGCCAGCAGCCCCCTCCCGAGGCGGTGGCCGAGTACGACGGCGCGTACGACGACGAGGTGGCCGCGCGGCTGCGGCTGCTGCAGACGCGGCTGCGCGAGCAGATGCTCATCAACGGCGCGCGCAAGGCCCGCCTGACGGACCTGGTCAAGGACCGGATGGCGCACCAGGAGTACCAGACCATCCTCGAGGACCTGGACACGCAGGTGCAGGGCGCGTACCTCAAGCGCACGCGCACCATGGGCAAGTCCAAGAAGAAGCAGCGGCCCGGCGCCACCGCGCACGGGGCGGGAGGCGCTGGCGGTGCGGGCGGCGCCGCGGGCATGGCGCGCCCGGGCATCGGCGACGTCACCAAGACGCTCATGGAGCGCCGCCGCCGCTGGATCGATAACATCGGCACCGTCTTCGACGACGAGAATCTCGGGAGGGTCCCGCGCGTCACCGATCCCGACAGCTCCATCTTCAAGCCTGGCGAGATGGGCGAGCTCCTTAAGAGGGAGAAGGAGGCTTGGGATGAGGAGGTCGAGGAGGAGTAGCTGGGGAGGATTAGGACGCTCTGTTTCATTGTACGGTACTTACTTTGTTGGCTTGAGACTGGCTTTGCATTGTTGGAAGGAAAGGCGATGGACCAAAATCACGGCGTTGGAGGAGGCGTCTTTTTTCGAGGCCGTGATGAAATAACAGACACGAAACATTCAAGGCATGAGTGGAACTCGTGTGGACAATTGGAGATGTATGAATATATTCTCTCATCATTGCAGATGGGGATTCTAGCATTCATCAGGACCACAAACATCCCATGCATCGACCCTCTCGATGCCATCTTAAGCCATACCGCTATTGCAGTGAACATATCTAGATAGACCCAGCCGTTGTGACCGACCGAACAACACCCCTGATCTCACTCCGACTTTTGATAAGGGTATATCCCAGCTCTTAACTTCACCTATAGACACCCACATCCGTTGCCTGCCCATACTCCCAAATGATAACATTAGAAAAAGAAAGCTTTGTCGAGGTACTACGACCCATTGCTTGGAGTATATCGAGCTCGAACCCAGTTGCTCGAACCCAATTGTCGTCAGATCGCCAGCCCAAGTGCTAATGCATTCGATGGTCATCATAAGCCGTTACCGAGAGAACGCCGGCCAATGCTGCTGTATATACAAGTAAAATGCAACGATAAGCAGGTTGATCATGATATCAACCACAGAAAACAATGTAAACCATGCGCCTTTGTCATCGGAAGCCGGGGAAAACAGAAATTGCGATTCTCTTCCCTGAAGAATTATTGTTAGCATCTAGACCAATTATATGCTGAGTTTGGCTAACACTTACACCTTGGCCGTCCATTCGAGCTGCTCCGCCCATCGTCCGACTCCCCTCCTCCGGCAAGAGCACGCATTCGTAGGCGCGTCTCATCCGTCACACTAAGGGGACGCGACTGTCGGGACCGGAGTTCCCGCTCTTGCGCGGCGATGGGCAGACTGCGCGTGCTGGGTCGGAATATCTTCTTTTTTACAGTGGTGCTCCAAGTGTGTATCCGACCATGAGTACTCTCGCCATCGGAGTCTTCTACGACGATACGGTCGCGGAGTTTCCGCATGGCTCGCTCACGGCGCACCATGCCGTTTGTGATCTTTGGACAATATCCAGATGGTAACATGGATGTCTTGCAAATTGGACAGAGTGAGCTGATTTCACTCAGAAACTCGTCTATACAGTCTGGATGGAAAATATGGCCACAGGGTAATTCGCGGATAATGGTGACCCTGTTTTCATAATCCTCTAGACAAATGGGACAAGTCGGTTGATAATCTGTAGCGGTTGTATTTGTCGTTATGGCTGAAATGGCGGCCGGGCTTGGGAGACCCTTTTCAGAGACCATGACAGATGATACCGGGATCGCAGGGGTCATAACTTCGTCCCTGGGATCGCGACTGCCTCTCCTGGTTTTTGTTCGGCGCGGCGAGCGAGGTGATGTAGGTGACGGTGGTGCGGTAGCCGGATCCGGCTCGTAATGGTAGGTAAACAGGGGAAATTTTTGTATTTGATTCATCGGGACAGTCATCCTTCGAATTCCCATAGCTTCAAGGTTGACTTCACCGGAGACAACTCGACGCTGAAGAGATATTCGCCGACGTCGTTGCACGTAGTGCATGAGCATTGACGTCCCGGCGACAACGAAGATGAGGACGCCAATGACCGCAAGGATGAAGATCCACATAGTCGGCAGCCCGTCTGGAGTAGAGACTCTGATTTCGGTCCATATTCGCACATAATCCATGGGATCAGGGTCATACAGAGCGGTGATATTGCTTCCAAACGGGACCTGGCTCACGTTGCCAGAGTATTCGTGCAGTTGTTGCATCATCTCAGCACCGACTACTCCCGACACGGCGTATATTGGATAGCGGTTTGTCACCTTCCAGCTGCCTCCATCGCCAAGATCCCACTCCTCGGAGTTGGCGCCTGGGGGCTTGTCGGTGTTGTTATCGGGATGGTATAAGATAAAACCGCGCAGGGGATCGACGCGGGCGGAAGCAAGGTAGGACTGGGTGCAATTGGGATTTATCCAAGGAGCGATGGCGATGAGATTGTAGTTTGTCGGCGGGAGGTCGGCTCGCCGAGTGACTTTGGAGGGAATGTACGCCTTGGAAAGGGCGTTGCACGGGTCGTTTGTCTCGAGGTCCGGGACGTAGAGAAGGCCTTGGATGATGCCGTTGTCGGTCTGAGCATACTTGTGACTTAGTATGGTCATATTCTCGGTGATGTGAGCAGAATATGCTATCTGGCCCTGCCAAGACTGTCAGTATTGGGCTTGGTGCCGCAGAGAGGGACCTGCATTGTCACGTACCGACAGAGCGGTGATGTTCTTGATGATGGTGGACGGGATGGTGCTGGCACCTCCCCAGAGGGGATTGCTGAACAGAAGGCTTGAGGCTCGTTAGCAGGCATTCACATTCACAGTAAGCATCATCGAGTCTTGGCCAAATTCCCCATGCCGAAGGGAATGCCCAGCGCGGGCCGGCGGCCATGGCATCGGTAGATTGCACTTGGCCATCGTGAGGGGCGACGCGATAGAGCCATGTCGCCCAGCACCCGACGCAGCCGGCGACTGCAAGACTCCACACATGGCGACACCGGCGACACAAGCACAGGTCCACGCGTCTGATTGAGGCCAGCCAGAGATGCCATCAAAAGGAAGTACAAATGAATTGGACTGGAACGTACACGACATTGCGAATCTCGTCCACAGAGGCTGTAAGACGTCAGTTCTTGGCAAATTCTTGGCGAGCCATGGCGACCGCAACGCCGGGAGCGAAGCGGGCGGTCAGGACAATGGGAAGAGGGACAAGACGGGACGATCAACTCAAACACCAAATCTTAAATAAATAGACTCACTCTTACTCATGGTCAACCATATTTCTGGGTTTCATCACAACCCGAGACTCGAGGCCGGGAACCATCAGTCGAGGTTGTGGATGGGCGAGTAGAATTGACTGATTGAAGTGCAGCGTGTGGAGGGGCACCAGTAGGCAGGTAGGTACAGTATGTAAGTAAAAGGGAAGAGAATGAGCGGCCAAGCAAGCCAAGCCAAGCCAAGTGAAGAGCTGCACTGGCACTGAGTGGATGCAGAATTACGGTATACCTGAGGTAGTAGCACTCTGAGGGAGCCCGGTAAGTTGAGATCAGTATGCAGGGAGCCAGCCAGCGACAGGCAAGCAAGCGAACAGGGCAGGAGCGACGGACACACAAGCTTCCAGAGTTGGCTTGGGAAAGAGAGTCTTGGAGAAAGCCAAGAAATCTTGGCGCGGGGGATGGGGACTCTCTGCTACTTTTAGGCTCGGCCAACCGCCCGGCAGCCTGCGGGAAAGAACGAGTCTCAACGGAAAACGGGGAAAGAACGACCAAGACGAACTGAACAGACCGGGCACGGCCACACTCAACTGTCCATAGAGCGTCAGGACCTTGCGCTGCACTGCACTAGGTACACATCATTCTAGTACCAGTACACCACCATCGACACTTGAGAATCCACAATTTGACTAAGGCAAGCACATAATCTAAGACTACCACCCAGCAGCGGATCCGTTTCAATGGATCTCTACATCCACCATCACCACCACCAGATTACCCGAGTTTTCGGCGGCGTGGCTAGCAACAGCAAATACTGCTTGAGGCAGCAGCAGCAGCTTTGCTGGAGGACACCGCCTGTCTGACTGAAGATGAGCAACCCAAAGTGAGGATGAAAATCCAGACCAGGCAATACCCAGGGAGGGACTGAACCGAGATGGGGGAGACACTGTAGACTGTCCCTGTCCTGGCTTAGATCGGTAGCGGCATCACAAGACCAGCCCGGGTCCAGCGAATCGAAGCACATGCTGTCGTATTATTTATGCATGCTGCCTCGTCTACTGTACCCTGATGTTGGCTAATGCAGAGCCAAACTCTCTTTGCTCCTCCTTCTCGCTCTTCCTACCGCGTACAGCCCACTCCTTAGTGCGAGTGTGCCACCCAGGGGTAAGGTATTTCCCTTATGTGCAGTACCGGTATACTACATGCTGACCAGTAAAGGGAGAGAAATGCCACGGGAACCAAAATGTCACGTAGTCATCACGATCGAGGACTACCTACCTGGGTAGATATTAGCGGTCAAGAAAGCTTCTTTTTTCCCACGAGGTCCCACTCCCTCAACGGCCGGCCAGCCAGCCAGCTAAGACAGGATCCGAGCAGGATAGTGTCGATCTCCTGCCAAGCAAGGCGTTCCGGCAGCCACCCTCGCATCCGAAAAGCTTCTTTTGCTGAAGGGTCTTTGCCCAGACACTTGGCTGACATCAGATCCGGTTGCACGAACGCACAGAAGATCTCGAAATGCCGGCAGCAGACCTTTTGGATATGTTTACCTGGGTGATGGAAACACTCTATTAACCAGCCAGACGGATCTCCCAAGAATGTCAACGATGTCGCGCAATGTCTTTCCTCGCAGCCTCGAATCCTGGGCCATTTACAAGGAAAAAGACGCGACTCTTCACAAAATCCGGGCTAGTGCATGCAGCCCAGCGGCAGAGTCAGAATCTGCTCTCATACGAAGGATCTTTCGTGACTCTGAGCAGATACCCATACGACAATCTAGAGTCAAGCACCAAGATCAAATTTGTCACCTCGATAGGACCCCTGCTACATATACTATTGATCAGTCCGGCGAATGCTAACCACAGAGCTGCCCCCGCTTCTGCTCTGTGCCACCGGCATTTCGATGCACTAAATCAGTCAGATCAGATAAAGACGAAATATCTCAGCGCTCGCGTGACCCATATAACCATCATACTGAAATGTTGTGCGTAAAGTCCTGAAGGCGAGCGTTCAGCGTTCCAATGTAAAGACGAATGCGCATTGGTGCGGATTTCGAAGGCGTTGGGAAAACACGTCATGAGGTGCCTTATGTGCCTGACATGGTGCCTGGTGTGCCGGCCGAAACGACGCCCGTCTGACATGCAAGTCGATCGCGCGTCTCGAGGCGCAGAGCCTTGTGTAAAGTAGGGTAAGGTGACATAATGCGCTGCAACTCTAAACACCACTCACAGATCCGCCCAAAAAGTGAAGTATGTTTGGGTTGTTTCAATTCAGAAATTTTATCTTGTCGTCTGAGGCTTGACACCATATGTTTGATTCTGGCTGAACGGCCGGGAATAAAATATTGTCTTGCGACATGTTCACAATACCGCGATCGGTTGCTTGATGTGACCACACTACGCTGCGTAGAGCTTGCTACTTTTCTTACGAGGCAGCATTCAGTAATTATTCCCCATGGGGTGAAGTATCAGCTGTCGAGGGTAATCACTCAAAAGTTCAAGTGTTAAGGAGGGATCTAGGACTATCAAACCGTTCACATATAAAGCTAGCTTTCTCCTTCTTACACAATCTCTGTGATATCTACCACATAAGCAAGTTGAACAGCAGTATCAAGAGAATATCCAGAAAGATGGATACTCGGCTTTTCAGATGACGAAACGATGCCATTTACGATCATGCAATATGTACAACTGAATGCTATATACAGATTTCCGATGGATCAAATATCTGCCTTCCAGCACCAACTCATCGGCTCCTTGACCAACTTCGTTTCTCATATCCTCTCCTCCCAATCTCTTTTCATCTAAACTTCCTAACCCGACGGCGTCCAAGTCGGCGTGCTGCTCTCCCCCGTCGGCGTCTCATTGATCACGTCATTGTTGCGCACGCATCCGCTCTTGGCCGTGATGGCGGCCGGGCACGCGACCTGGCGGAAGGTGACGCCCGGGTTGTCGGCGCCGCCGAACCAGTCGAAGCGCCAGTAGCAGCCGGCCTTGAGCGCGGCCGGGAAGCTGTCGCAGTCGGACCGGGAGTGGATGCCCCCGTAGCGGTCGCCCCAGCCGTTGCTCGGCGCGCCGTACTGCGACGTGCACGCGTTGAAGATGCCCACGCCGCCGCCCGGGATCGCCAGGTCGAAGTGGTTGTTGCCCAGGTCGCCGCCCGTGTTGGTCGCCTGCACGATCAGCTTCTTGCCGCTGACGGGACCGCTCTATTTGCACATTATTGTTAGCGCCGACCGAACATCACAAGATGAAGCCATCCCTGTTCAAGACTCCCAAAAGCCCTTCCGGGAGCCACTGGCTCCTAACCCCTGAACAACCTCCCGCTCTCCCTTCCTCGCAAAAATAGCCCCTACTCACCGTGAAAGTAAGCTCATAGCAAGCACAGCACCAGCTATTCTCATTGCTCCCCGCAATGTTGACCGCCGCCCAGCCGTAGCTGACCGTCTCGTTGACGGCCCACGGGCTCTGGTTCGAGCACATGAAGGCGCCGCCGCCGTTGTCGCAGCCGCTCTTGGTGCTGCCGCCGTCGTTGAGCGGCTGGTCCGACTTGGAGCACGTCTGCAGCGGGCCCTTGGACATGCTGCCCTTGCCCGGCCACGCGCACGACGGCTTGCAGCAGTCCCAGTAGCGCGTCGTCTGCCCGCTGCCCGAGGGACCCTGCGCCGAGGCCACCGCGGCGAGGTAGGCGGGGACAAGGGCCGCGAGCGCGGTGAGCGAGATCTGCATCGTTGGAGGAGGGAGAGAGTGCTTGGCCGAGTGAGGTGTTGTTGAATATAACCGGGAATTCAAGGATGGAGAGAGATAGGAGAATTAAACAAGGGAATGGGTGTGGTATATATTCTGGAAGACCGCTCGGCTTCCAGATATACCAATGATCTTATATAGCTCTTGGAGTATATACGAAAGACTGGAGATCAACAGAGAAGTAACGCTTGTTACCAGGCAATCCAGTCAACCCATCCACGATCATCGGCACGGGATAGTTTGAACGCAGCTCGCCCATAGAGCTACTCTCCTCGTTTCCAGGACCTCGTCTCCTCTATGGGCCAATATCGTGCGGCCCCTCACGGACGCATTGAAAGCTCATGGCAATCCCGAGCCGTCATCATCAGCATCATCACGGTATGGGGCCTCGAGCCAGTCGAGCATGCCCAGGACTGCCCAGACAGCGAGGGCGAGGGCGGCAATATATCCAAATGAATTGCTCCCCACAGATCACCAGGAGCAGCCCAGCTCCCCAGCGAGCGTCGCGGGCCGACTGACGTGCCTCGCGCACTTAGGGCGCCGGAAAGGGAAGTGCGCGGAGCTCGCCCTCAACAGCCGTCGGCAGGATCGACCCGGCCGCCAGTGGCCTAGGGCACTGAAGAGGCCCTAGGCTCGTCTGGAGATTGGCGATGTCCCGTGGCAGGATGGGGTCTGAGACTTGCTGGGGGCCCTTGGGGCGCCGTTTTCTGGGTGCCGCGTGCTTGGCGATGTGGAGGGTGGGCGCTATGAGCCGTGCTCGCCGTGGTGGGCTTTTAGCCATGGGATATGGGAGGGTTCCCCGCATGGTTCTCGACTGCGGAGTCGCATATCGCTAGGTACCTTACGCTGCTGACTTGCTGCTGTTCCTGCAATTGATACTCTGTATGACAACGGGATAAGTAGATCATGGCGGTCGTGCCTCGCACGATGCTATTGCGGGGTCGGGGACGAAGTAAAGGTAAAGAGCTGTGGTTTTCCTGTGTAGGGCCGGCTGTCGCTCTTGAGACCTGGGTCAACTTGTATATGTAAAACAGTAGACTTCTTGGTATTTTCTCTATTTAGACGAGTACAACGGCAACTATCCCTAGCAACCCCTATTTTTGTACCAGCCTGTGTAGCAACATTCCCCGAGACCGATCGTGTACAACCTCAAACACCTCATCATACCTCATCATCAAACTCATTGATCATTGACCTCGATCCCCGCGAGCGAGCTGCTCCTCTATCTAAGAGAACCAGCCGCCACCTCCGCGGCCCTCGTCATTGTCTCGGCGGCGTCCTCCACCACCACCAAAAGCATTCTCGGCGGCCTCCTGAACGAGATTGCCAACAAAATCGCCGCCGTCGCCTCCGCCAAAACCGCCACCCTCGTTGTCATCGCGGCGACCTCCATGACGACCTCCTCCGAAGCCTTCATCTTCACGACGGCCACCGCCCCAGCCACTCTGTTCTTCTTCACGACGGCCGCCACCAAAGCCGCCGCCGAAGCCACCCTCGTCACGGCGCTCTCCCCAGCCGCTCTGTTCTTCTTCACGACGGCCATCACGGTGACCGCCGAACCCGCCGCCTCCACCTCCGAAGGACTCTTCCTCACGTCGTCCTCCATGGTGGCCTCCGCCAAATCCACCACCGTAAGATTCCTCCTCACGGCGACCACCTCCATAGGACTCTTCCTGTCGACGACCACCTCCGTAGGACTCTTCTTGGCGACGGCCACCTCCATAGCTGTTGGTCTCTTCCTCGCGGCGGTACTCGTTTCCTCCACCGCCCTCCCAGCGCTTCTCGACGCGCTCCTCGTAGCCGCCGCCATGGGCAGGTCGAGTCTCGTGACGCTCCTCGTAGCCGAAGCCGCCTGACTGGTGTCCGCGGCGATCCTCGTCCTGTTCATAACGTTTGTAGTCTGTCGTCTGTCGGCCATCATCGTAGTCAGTCTTGGTGTACTCGGCCTGGCCATATCGACTGCCCGAGGTATCCTGGCCGTGGCCGTATTGCGTGGTGGTCTGGCTGTAGCCACCATCATCCTGTCTCTGCGGACGGCTCTGGAAGGTCTCGGTTTCGTCTTTCTTAAAGGCGTCGCCGAGGAGGGAGGCAACCCCTCCGAGGAAACCGCCGCTCTTTTGCTCTTCCTGAGGCTTCTTGTATGAGGGCAGACTGACGGAGCCACCGGTCTGTTCAGACACGATGCTGGAAATGCCGCCTGTGACACCTTCCATGATAGCACCCGCTGCAGCACCGGCGATCTTGTCTTCCAAGGTGTTCTCGCCGCCGCCGAACTGCTTGTGCATATGAAGCTTGCCGCTGCAACCATGTCCGTGGCCAGTGTCGTAGACACCCTCCTTGTGGTTCTCGCCACGTTGCACGCCATTTCGAGAGAGCTTGCGGCGGTAATCGCTCTTCTGATCTTCGCCCATATTCTGCCACCACTCCTCAACGGATCGGAACATCATCTGGCGGCCCTCACGAGCGCCATCGTCACCCATGTCGCGTTGAGCTGGGTGGTGCAAAACACCATAGATGATGCGGTTCAGAATCCGGTCAACGTCTGCGTTGCTGTCATCCCATGCCTGCATCAATTGAGGAACAACCCAACCAACGACCTTGCTGGCAGTCTGACCGGCGATCTCGTTCAAGATCTGTGACGATTGTTAGAATAATTGATTTCATCATACGCGTGTTCGGCTCGTAAGGAGCTTATGGAAATGGCTGATACTTACGTTAGAGAAGTGATCCTTTGAAAGCATCGAGTGAGTAGGGTCAGTGGATCGATCATCATCGAATACAATGTGCTGCTCATTCTTGCTGCTCTCAATGATCTCATCGGAACCGGTGCGGAGCTCGTTCTTGACCTGGTTGATGACGGGCACAATGAATGGAGCAATGATGGAGAAGACGAAGACAGAAAGCTGCTCCTCGAGCTGCTCAACGATCTTGGGGAGGATTGGGATCTTATCGATGGCCTCTGAGATGCTCTGGATGATGTCATCGTGAAACTCGATGGCTGGCATGACCTGCTCGAAGATGGATTTCACGTATTGCGTGTACTCCTCCGGCTCGCGTGGAGAGACCTTCATCTGCTGCATTTGGGCGGTGCTGGCATTGTGCTGGATATTATCCATCTTCTGCTTCTTGTCATCACCACCAAAGAGGCCGTCGGGAATCTTATCGAGGAGATCTCTGAGAATGCTGGTGTCCTTGTTCTGGCTCTCCTCGAGCGTGCCCTCGAGCTCCTGGATTTCGTTCTGAGTCAACTTGTCGGAGACTAGCCGTTGGTTAGCATTTGATGCGTCAAGAGAAGCGTATGACCATGCAGTGTGTACTTACCCTCGCCAGTGACAGAGTGCAGGAAGTCGACACCACCAAATGTTCCGGTGACCAGAGGATAGACCTCATGACGAGCGCCACGGATCTGCAAAGCAGTGCGAGAGCCGACATGTGGGAAGACATCGCGCTCGCCAAGCTCAATGAGGGCCAATTCAGTGTAGTTGCTGTGTGCCAAGAAGTCTGCTTTAAGATTAGCAAGCTACAAATCAAGATCAAATCGAAGGTATATTCCTGACCTTCCAAGCAGTGGAGACCAGTGCCCAACAGTCGAAGAGCCTCGTACAGATCTGACTTGTTACGGTTTCTCTGGTAGTTGCGAGCTAGCTCGATACACTTGCTGAAGAGTCTTCGGACATGAAGAGCGCTCGTCATGATATTAGCACGCTCGTTGGCAATGTAGTTCTTCATGCCAGTCTCCTGATCAATGGCCAGCTCAACACGCTCGTCGACGGGCCCTCTCAGGCGGCGGTCGTACTGGCGGGCGTCCACGTTGTCCGCATAATTCTTGGGGTTGTCGATGTGGTCCTCCGGGCGGTAGCAGCCGAGCCGGTCCGCAGTGACCTCAAACTCGCGGGAACCGTAGCCGAAGCTGAGGAAGCCGAGCACGCAAAGCAGCAGGCGGATGGCCTCTGCCGAGACGGACTTGACGGTACCGACGTCGATGGCCTGGCTGTAGTCTCGCAGCCAGTTGCCAAAGTAGACACGGGAGACCATCATCTTGTCGAACTTCTTGCCGCCAACGGCGCGGGCCATCAGGATCTTGAGCAGGGTATCTTCAATGTCGCCATGACGCCCTGTATTTTACCCAATTCGTTAGCTGACGCTCTCAATTGACAATCTCGATTGATATTTTGGGTAGAAAACTCACAGTTCTGGCCTTCGACCTTGGAGATACCAGCAATGTTACCAGCTCCAAAGGCGTGGGCAGGCTTGACCAGCAGGAAGAGCAGGGCGATCCCCAACAGCAGGGGAGCTGGTTTAAAGAAGGACATGTTGGTTACTTGCACTATGACGCCTTGAACAATGTCAATTTCCAGACTGTGAGATGATCTTGGGGCGTGATAGGAGCTGCCAAGACCTCTCTTCGGGAGTTGTGCGGGGCGAGAGCTTACCTGCAGGGCAAGATTTCGTTCCAGAACGAAGGTGATGTCAGTGGGTTTTCAGTATGCCCGAAGGCTGTCGTGCAGTTTTAGCTCTGGTATGTTTCAGAGTTTAAGAGGTCAGCTTCGTCAACGAAGACAGGCAGGATGTGATCAGAGGCGAAGTTGTAGGAGGAAGAAGAATGGAGAGGAGACGAAGCGTCGGTGAGAGGAGGGAAAACAGGGAAAGAAAAGGAGGCAGGAAAACGAATGACGGCGGCCTGAGCTGAAGCAGAGACCAAGCCTGAACCTGCACTGTACACTGACTGTACGCACGCACGCACGCACAACAGCACAACAGCAGCCGGAAAGCCCAGCGATCAAGCAGCGCAATGGATCACATCAGAAACATGCCAAGACTCTATTCAGAGGAATCAGAGCTCAAGCCGAGCTGCTGGTTAAGCTAAGCTAGGAAATGAGGGGTGGCAAGCTGGCAAGGAGGGGCTCTGGAGGGGCAGCAAAGACGACAGGGGCTCGAAGGGGTATCGTCAGCCAAGAGAATCAGCGATTGCGTTTCAGCGGCCCACACCCGCGCGTCACGCCGTCTATCAGTAGGTAGGTAGGTAAATAACACTACGCAGTAGTAGTAGTAGTAATAGCACCGCACCGCACCGTCCCCGCCCGCTCCGCACAGCAAGCAAGCATCCCTACTTCTAAGAGCTATCTGAGCTCCTTGTCCGGCTCTATCTGTGTGTGTTTGAAGACCCTTGCCCAGGCTCTCAGGGTAGCCTCGCGGCATGAAGATCAGGTCAGCGCTGATCACTGTCCCTTTCTGCATCATCTTCATGCCAGACATTCTGCGTTGTAGCTTTCTCTTAGCAACCGAAGCTGCCACTTATCGCGACTATTGACCGTCTCGATGACTTGACTCTATTCAGTATGGCGTTGCGGATCCAGCACTATCATATCTTGTGAGATCAGGGCTGTTCGTTTGGGTGTGCTTCTTCAACGCGTCGTGATACGGCAGCCTCGTTCATCCAGGCGATAGCCTGCGTAGATATGAGCATGGAGCCCCCCGAAGGGAAATTCTCTCCAACTCAGCTATAATGCGCTTGGTTCCCCCTTGATATAGCTTGCCAGAAGCCACCTAAGTGATCATGGCAGTCGGAATCCCGGGTAGCTAAAGGTTCTGACAGCTCCCGATGCCTCGAAAATATCCTCCGACTGGAGGAGCCCGCCCAGGCAGGCATCTAGGGTTCGCCAGTACGCCGCAACCCCGCACGAAAGTGCCGTGCCGTCATCTCATTCCCATGCTAGTGTTCACCCATCCATCCCATATTGAGCTCGTCAACGGTCTCTTCAGCGCATATCCGATCCCAGGTACTGTTCCTACGCACCATACCATGTAGCACGCCCCGAGAGTCCCGCCGTTGCGTTATAGATCCCGTAGATAACACCTTCCCTCACGATGCAAGTTTCTAGAGAGCATGCCAGGGGCTAATGCCACGTACCAATCGCGGTAGACGGAGCCTGAGACGCGTTTTCAGCACAGCTTTGTCGATAGAGAACAGCCAGGTAGCCGGCAGTTTGGGTCTTCGACCACAGCCAGGCTGAGGCAGCGTTTGATGTCCTCTAGACCGATGGGGTCGCTGAGTGAAACGCTGCTATCTCGGGCAGTTGGCACTCGAGGAGTGAGTCAAGACGCGCCAAACGGCCGTGTCCAATTCACGGCTAAGCTACTCTCTTACTGGCAAGTGGCTCAGAAAGAGGTACCTACCTACCTATCTGTAAGGTGGTGAAGGTCCTGCTACGATTCTAGACAGATCTTATCTTCAGCACTCGGTAATTTGCCCTATTTTTTCACGCACGCTTCAAGCCTGCACTCGAGGGGCTTGATCAAGAGGTAGCCTTACGAGGAAGGGACCTTTGCTTCACATGCATGATGATGGCGTGCCGGGCGAGGGCCCACACCCTCTTTCGGGGGGATATGCTAGAAGGCTCGGCCCTGAGCTCGGCCATGTGCTCGGCGGCTAGCTGAATGGAAGCCTGAGCCTTGACGGGCTCATAGGTCCATCCCAGAGTCTCTTTTCCACTCGAGGCTCTTCTCACCTAAGGCGTTGACGAGTTGATACAAGAGTATCTTCCTAAACAGCCGCCAGAAGTCAAGCTGCATAACGCGTTTTCGACCAAAACCACACTGGGCTGACGTCTTCCAGCCTTGGAACTGTCAGCTCAGAGGCTACTCTAGGTGATGGTCGTGAGAAATAAGAGTTAGAGAAGAGTAGGACACGTCAAATGGTCCATGTATCTACCCAGAGCTTTACCAAAGGGAAGTAGGTAGGTCCGGTGACCTTAAGAAGAAGCAAATGCTTTCTAGGCGGCACTCCTTGGTTGAGGCACACTTATATAAATGGAGAAAAGAGAAACTGAAGTGTAAATATGCTATGCTCGTTAAGAGCGGCAGTGCCAGCGAGGAAGGATAAGGAGGAGTGATAAGTCGACAATCTGGGAGGCGGGGTGTCCAGAGGTCCAGAGGGCTGAGGGTTGCCGTTAGACTTCAATGGAGCCTGAGCAGTTGGGAATAAATTCATTTTCTTGAGTGATGACAGTGTTGGAGAGCTGCTGAGCTGCTAAGACTTCAAAGCCGAGTGAGCTGAAGACAAGCTTACGGTGGCGGTGGAGCTACTGGGCAGTCCTACGAGACGAGAACATTGAGGGCAAAGACACGACGACGAGTGACCATCAGTAGCAAGAGAAGGCCTGGAAGAGGTGCTGTACTGCGTATGTACGACCAACTGGTAATTGAAGACCGATAGCGGCCTTGCTGTGTGACCCTGAAAGTCACATTGGAGTGATTCTACCTGACACTGGGACAGGGACGGGGCACCGATGCCCAGCTGCTCGGGCGGGCGTCTTTGCTGGGGTTGGAGGTTAAATCATGGCCTAACCACTGCGAGAGAAAATCAATCAGTAAACCTTCGTCGGGGGGTGCTTGGGGTCTCGGACGAGCAGAAGCTGAGGGGGGGGGGCTCTCTCTCTCTCTCTCTGAACTCGCCGCTTTTAGCGAGACTGGCTGGCTGTGTGGGCGATTTGATGACCCCCTGTAATTTAGGATGTGGTGCAAAAGCGTTTGCAGCCCCTAGAGCGCCTGTGATTGGCAGTGGGCAGTTGGCGCCAGCAGGACACAACGTTAGCGCAGATTGCGGATGAGCAAAGTGTTACATACTCGCCGCCCCGGGGATCACTGGCCCAGCCTGGAGCCTGCACAGCTTGTGTGTCAGCGACCGACCCGATGTCCCGAGGTCGCCAAAAAAAAAAAGCCTCAATTGGGCTGTTGGAGCGGTATGGTTCTAGCGGACGACTTACACGAGCCGTCGCTACACGGCCGTCAACTCGGCATATGGACGCGTTTTGAGGCCGCATTCGAAAGAAAATGAGTCTTCAGTAAGAGAAATGATATACTTGCAGCCAGGAGGAGAGCAACTTTGGTCGAGAAGAAGGAAACAAAAAATCGGTCTATTAGGAAGGTACGACTGGACGACAGAGTGCAGGGCGAGGAGTTACGGGCAAGAGCAGACTGCTGTTGCTGCTCCTTCCTCGAGCTGCTCAGAGCGGGCGGTAATCTGGGTGGCTGGGACCACCAAACAGTGATAAGGTGCCTACCTACCTGGGCAGACTGAGGGCCTACTTCCACTGGGAGAGGGAGAGAGAGAGAGAGGTAGGAGCGATGGGTGGCAGCTGGGAATGATTGTGGTGCTGCCTCAGCTAAGAAGCCGAAGCCGGAAAGAACCTACCTATACCTTACCGAGTGACCTACCTACCATATCTAGGTACGCACTGAAGGTTGATGGGTGCCCTGGGCGGCCACGGACTGGGAGGACAGGCAATTGAGGGCACCTCACAGGCTCAGCCTACCATGAGTCGGCAGTGCGTCGCAGCGACCGATGGCGGATGTAGTAGAAGAGAGAGAAGAGGGGAGAGGGGAGGCTGGGGGGTGGCCAGGACCTTCCAGCAGCAGGCGGGCGGACCAAAATGTGTAGGGCGCACGTCGCTGTTTTAGTGTTACTGATTTAATTGCTGCTCTTGCTCTTGCTGCTGCTGCTGCTCATCGTTAGGTGGAGCCCCAGTCTGCTTTACGGGTACAGCGCAGTTACTTACATGCCCCTCTGCACCAGCAGATACGGCGCGTCGAGTGCTCATATTATTCTCCGGCCTAAATCTGCTTTCAATTGCTGTTGAGGTGCCAAATAAGTATGTTGGTGGTTTAGGGAGGAGGGATTAGTAGATAGAGTGGTAAATGGTCTTCAATACCTGAGTTGGAGAGCGTTGCCGACAGCGTTGGCAGCTGATGAGCGAGTCGTGGTCTGGGCCGTGAATAGCAGCCTGGTGAGGTACCCAGGTGCGTACCTACCTAATTTTGTGGTGGTGGTGGTGGTGGTGGTTGTGCGCTGGTCTGATCGGTGCTTGGTGCTTGGTGCTTGGTGCGCGCCCAGCATTTTGGGGGAGCAGAAAAAAAAGAGAGCAGCAGGGCGGGTGCAGTCACAGTCACTGTCGGCGGTAGGAGGGGAGGGGGGCCACCTGGGCAGAGAGAAGGGTGCCGCAAATCAGTCGCCCCAAGTGCCCCCAACACAAATACTGGCCACCCCCCGCTCGCCCGCGTTCCCTTCCCTCTTCTCTTTCTACTCTCCACCATCTTTCAGGCCAAATCCCTCCATTTCCTGCCCATCGCGCACTCACATCAAGTGCCCTAAACCGCCTGAACCAGATCGCCAACTTCCAGCTCCCGCACTCACCATCACAATGGCACGACCTCCCAAGGCAAAGGCTGCTGAGTCTTCCAAGGCCGCCATCGCACCCCCCAAGGTCATCGACGTCGAGAATTTTGTGAGAGTCCGCGATAGCGTGAGTATTCTTTCATGTCCTGCTTTTCTTTCTCTGCCTCAGATGATTTGATCGCGTCTTGTGCCTGAATCACACTGCACATCCCCCTCACTGCCTATCCTTATCCTTATCCCCTCATCCACCATCCATCTCTCCATCGCCTTTCACCTAGGCGCCTGCGACCAGCACGGGCGCGACCCAACAACACAGACCACAACCACCACCTTTGGGCATCGCGACATGGTTGCAATCGCAATAGCAAAGCAGCAGCAGCAGCAGCAGCAGCACAACTGCGCACCACGCAGCTGCAAATGCAAAGCTACTCCCAGCCAGCCAGGCAGTAGTAGACCTTAGAGCAGATGTGCTTTGGGAGCGCCCTCTCAATTGCATCTTTTCCCCACGTGATCTCTCTGCTTGCCTGCAGCTTGGGCGCGAACTCTGCCAGAGCCTTTTCCATTGTTTACATGGGCTTATCCTTATCGGGCCCCGCGTCTGCGACGAGCTGCAAGGGAGCTATGACCTCGCGCCGCGCCACGACTAGAGCTACCCCAAGCTCCATCTCCAATTCGCGACTTTGCTATTTCCAATTACCAGAGGACGTTGAAATGACGCATTGGCTAACTGTGCAAAAAAGGTCTACGCTCGTCTCTCCACCATCCAGGATCTGATCAAGTCGTTCTCTATCGACTATCTCCGTCAGACCAACCTGCTGCTTGGCGAGGGTACTAACCTGGAAGATGGCGCTGACCTCCCTAACTTGGAGGCCGCGCTCAACATCCAGCCCTTCCCCGTCGCTGCTCCGGCCCCTGCGCCCGTTGAGGAGAAGAAGGAGCGCAAGAAGCGCGTCCACGATCCCAATGCGCCCAAGCGTCCCCTGACCCCGTACTTCTTGTACATGCAGACTGCCCGCCCCATCATTGCCGCGGACCTCGGCGACACTGCTCCTAAGGGCGCTGTCCAGGAGGAGGGCCAGCGACGATGGGGTACCATGACCGCTCACGAGAAGCAGGTAAGTTTCTGCACGTCTATCTCTGCTCCTCACGGATGCTGACAGATCGCCAGGGCTGGAACCAAGCATACCAGTACAACCTCCGCCTGTACAATGCTCGTGTTCACTCCTACAAGGCCGGCAACGCCAGCGCCAAGGACATGTCCGACACGGACGCCATGAAGTACGCCGATGACTTCCAGATCCCCATGCCCGCCGTCTCCGGCCTTGAGGACCCTGCCGGCAACGACTCGGCCGCCATTGCCGAGCAGCTCCAGGCTAGCGCCCCTGAGCCAGAGGACACCGCCGCCAAGACCCCCAAGGCGAAGGCTTCCCGCAAGCGCAAGACTGCCACTCCCGGCGGAGAGGCCGAGGTCGCTAAGAGCACCCCGGCTGCCGCCAGCCCTGACAAGAAGCGCAAGAGAACTTCCACTAAGCCGGTAGAGCCCGAGAAAGAAGAGCCCAAGAAGTCGGGACGCAAGAAGGCTAAGAGCGGTTAGGCGTCCTCGGATGGTCTTGATCCTAACATCGATCCTGCTCTTTTCTCCATATGACCATGATACCTCTCTCGCGCGTTGTGTCTCCCGACATAAGCTCTCTCTATCTCTGTCTCTCTGGCCGTACTTCACACAACGGAGACGTCTCATCTTGACGTCAAGTGTGTAACATTGGGATTCATTCTCTGGTCGAGAATGTTCCTGGGCCTTGTTTGCTCCTGGTTACGAGTTCTCTCACCTTGTTTGGGTTTGGGTTGCTGGTTCTGTATGATTTTTCACGATGGCTGGATGGTTCAAGGGAGAGCCGGATCTCAAAATAACTTGGCTCGAGGGGGATCTGGAAGGGAGTGACGGCATAGGTTTACGGCTTGCGGGTTTAGAAGGCCGGCTTGCTTCGTGTACTTATTTCAGTTTTCCCTCGTAGAAGGATAATGAACATGACAACTTTGCAAACATCTTATAAAATCAGACGTTCCATCTGGCATTCGTGATGAATAGTTCTTTGTCCATTTGTGCTTGTCATACGGTTGTGACAAGCAGCAACCATCTCAGACTTTACGCTTGTCGATAGTTTAGGTCTATCTAATTGCCTTTCTTATAAATCTATAGCAGCTTGCAGCAGAGCTCAAAGGTGCGTTGCAATTAGTCTCGCATAGAAGCAATGAGACATGTTTGTGAGGTACCACACACGGCCTACTGAGGAAGCTGTAACATCTTGGTTGATGTGCTGTCTCTGACTAGACCGGCTGCCTATCAATGTCACTGAGAGCATTGGTGCGGAGAAGAGCAGCTCCTCCCTGTAGTGGTCTTGGGGGTGTCTTTTGCAATACCTATTGGGGCATCCGGATCCCTAATCCAAAGGCACCTCCTCCCGGGGTGTTTATTAAAGTACCTAGCCAGGTAGGTTGGACTTAACCTGGAAGGCGCTTGACTCCAGCATACCTAGATACGCAGGTATCAAAGAGATACCCTGCCTACCTAGGTATATAACGCGCAGGGAAGGTGCCCTGCAGCCCCTCTCCTGCCCATTTCACTACGCAGAGGCTTTCTGATCACCTAGGCAGGCACCTCAAGGCTAAGGATGTCAGACACAATCGTAGCTTCCTTCAAGTCATACTCTGATCTCAGAACAGCTGTAAATTACATACATCGATACTTCGTCCACCTTTTGACAGCCTACCTTACCGTGCTTACTTAGCCTGCTACTATTGCTCAACGAAGATGTATTTTTCTTTGCGGGCCTATTTCCGTCAATTTCTTTTCTCAACATCCACCTGTGGCTATCTTACTTCAGTACACGAAATAAGTCTGCGTCAGGGGTAACTCGGAGCTCGGCTCCGCGGTGCACACTTGGCCATCTGCCTCAACCGTATATCTCTCCGGGTCGACCTTCATCTTTGGCATCACATCGTTGTAGCGCATGTCCTTCTTGCCAATGTTTCGGCATCCCTTGACCGGCTCGACGCGCTTGCGGAGCCCGTAGGCCTGCACAACGCCATGCTCAATAGAAGCCTGTGATACAAACAACACTGACGTCTGCGGCACCAGAGGTGCGAACATTGGTCTCGCAATCACGGGCTGTACAGTCGGAATAGACGCGTTCGGGTCGCCCTTCATGAGATTTGTTAGTTATCGATTCGCATAACAGTTGAATGAGATGAGTGGCTTACCATCTGGCTCCAGGCGATCAGGCCGCTCTTGATGACATGGCTGGGCTTCGTACCAAACCATGCTGGATCCCATACCAACAGATCGGCCAACTTGCCAATCTCAATGCTACCAACAAGATGGCCCATACCCTGAGCCACTGCAGGGTTGATTGTGAATTTGCTGACATATCTCTTAACTCTGAAATTGTCCGCTCCAGACCCTTCGTCTTCCGGCAAAGTGCCTCTTTGGACTTTGTTCTTGTGGGCGGTATTCCATGTCCGGAGAATGACCTCACCACATCGACCCATGGCTTGGGAATCACTGCTCATCATACTGATCGCGCCAAGATCGTGTAGCACGTCTTCAGCGGCGATTGTCTCGGCACGGATACGGCTCTCCGCAAAGGCAACATCCTCAGGAATGTTCTTTGACAAATGATGGCACACCATGAGCATGTCGAGATGTTCATCTAGAGTGTTGCGAGTGTACGGACGAGTCGGATTCGTACTACTGGGGAGCACATTGGGATGCTCCACCACACTGATGATATCAGGTGCATGGCCACCACCAGCGCCTTCAGTATGGTAAGTATGAATAGTGCGGTTCTTGAAAGCGGCTATGGTGCTCTCGACGAATCCAGACTCGTTTAGAGTGTCAGTGTGGATTAGGCACTGCACATCAAGTTCATCGCAAACGGTCAAGCACGAGTCGATAGCGGCGGGTGTGGTGCCCCAATCCTCGTGTAATTTGAGACCACACGCTCCGGCAATAACCTGCTCGCGGAGAGCACTCGGCGAGCTGTCATTGCCCTTGCCGGTGATACCAAGGTTCAGAGGCAGCTCATCGCAAGCCTGCAGCATCTGTCGCATATAATTGGCGCCTGGTGTACAGGTGGTGGCGCTTGTACCAGCGCTGGGGCCAGTACCACCGCCCAGCATTGTCGTGATGCCAGAAGCAATAGCTTCATACGCCTGCTGTGGGCAGATGAAGTGGATGTGCGTGTCGATACCACCAGCAGTTATGATCTTTCCTTCGCCGGCCACAACATCGGTGCAGCTGCCGACTATCATCCCGGGAGTAACGCCGTCCATAACGTCGGGGTTACCAGCCTTGCCGATACCCACGATCATACCATTCTTGACTCCGATATCTGCCTTGTAGATACCAGTCCAGTCCACAATCAGCGCGTTGGTGACAACCATGTCCAGCGAATCGGCATCGGAGCAACCGCTCATCTGTCCCATGCCCTCTCGAAGAGTCTTTCCACCGCCGAACTTGCACTCATCTCCAAAGGTAGTGAAGTCTTTCTCAACCTTGATCCAAAGATCTGTCTTACCCAGTCTCACAAGGTCACCGGTCGTTGGGCCAAACATGGTCTTGTAAGCAGCCCGGTCCATGGAGAACGCATCGATATGGCCTAAATCACCAGCTGGCTCAGGGGCATGTGCGAACCCAGCCTGCTGCAGCCGAGCCACAATGTCATTTGCACGGCTTAGATCAACAACGCCCGATGCGATGTTATTCCCGCCCCGAATGACCTTGTTGCCTCCGATCTCGACGAGCGTCACAGTCTTCGTGTCGCCAGGCTCGAAACGCACAGACGTGCCGGCAGCAATATCAAGCCGATAGCCATATGCCTTTATACGATCGAACTCTAGCTGCGGGTTTGTCTCAATGAAGTGATAGTGACTACCGACTTGGATAGGTCGATCACCCTTGCTGGTAACCTTGAGCTTGACACGTTTACGGCCTTCGTTGAGCACCACGGTACCCTTGACCACAACTACCGCACCTGGCTGCGCTGTGGCCTCGTAGGCCTCAGCGGCCGGCAGAGGAAAAGCGTCCTTGTCTGGAATTGGCAGGAAGCTGCCGTAAAGGGCGCGTGCTAGGTCACCATCGTCTGAACTGATAGGGTTGTGTACAGTGACGAGATAGGTTCCAGAGGGGAAAGTGCCTTCTACCTGGATTTCATGCAACGTGCTGAGAACAGATGGCAGAACATGGCGTCTCCCAAGCATGGTGGCGCCAATGCTCATCAAGTCAGCCACGGTGTGGTTGCCATCCCGGATGAGCTCTTGAAGATTGCTAGCTATCAGAGCCTGTGGGAAGTCATGTTAGTTACATACTGTGCTTTGCCACCCGGACTCCCTGATGTAGGGTAGTCGTAATGGTGTTATTCGAGATTGAAGCTTACAGTCGCCTCTGAATGGTTCAGCTTCACGCCGCGGGCTAGACGGCGTTGGGCAATGAAACCCAGCTGGGAGATGACGAGCTTATCAAGCTGTAGGTGTCGTGTACCGCGTTAGCTTATCAGGTCCAGGTAAAACGGAAGTCAATGCGGCCAATTGACGAACCTCTTTGGGTACGAGATGCATGTTGAGGGCCTACTGCTTTCCCTCGGGAGTAGACTCTCTTCCACAGGCCCTTGTAAGCAAGAGTGTAAGCAGAAGCCAGGGAACGAGGCTTGCGGCAGGAGAAGGGAGGCGGCGTGTATTATCTTGAGCTTCAAAAAGCTCTCTCTCGCTCGGCGGCTCTTTAGTCTGCCGCTTCCAGAGTACTCGGAGCTGTGCGCGCTGCAGCTGGTGGACCACTCGGTGGGTGGCATGAGGAGCCAGACCATTGCGGGGTAACGGAAGCATGATAAGGTCCACGGGTGGGCTCGACCAATTCTTCCAGCGGTGTCCTGCCCAATGAGACTGGCTGGCGGCACCGGCCGCAGCGATCATGTTGGACGGCGGCGAAAGACGGTGCTAAACGATTTGACAAACAGTACCCTGGGATCTGAGATGGAGAACCCTATCGACATCTTCTTACTGGGCAGCTCGGACTGCATGTCAGTCTTCATATTGAACCACCTGACAGAGCCGCCGGTGGCTCACTTGCTTCTCGTCTACAGTTATTTCATGGAGAGATGGATAGCTCTATGTAGCACCAGGTTGTTGTCTCGGCGACACAGAGCTCTTCACCATGGCGAGGGACACAGTATATGTGGAACGGGTGATGTCTTCAGTCAACCTATACGCGTCAAGTCAGGTTAATTTGTTGAAGTCTCAGGATGTTTGGCTCTTGATTTCATGTTAGGGCTACCATCTCGGTCGATCATGCATCATACGTTGGTGTTCAAAATCATTAGTCTCTCATTAAACCCCGGGTATCATATTCATTATACTGCCATGATCAAGAACGTGAAGATAATTCATCAGTGTTTCTCCTGTGATCCACCCATCATGAGACTCCCAACGCCAATGTGTGCTGAGCCATATTCATATCCTCGTTAACCCGAAACATCGAAATCTAATGTTCACCGTGATTTCTCATCCAACGTCGTGATACCATCAAGTTGAGTCAATCAATCTCTCTTCATCCTTGCCTCTCGATAAAACTTGGCGAATGCGATCATTCTCAACTGCCCGGATGCGACTGCGCGCTTCCTCGAGTCTTTCCACGCCGCGGTCGATTGTCTCAATGTGCACGCTCAGCGGCATGTCCGCCTTGCCGCGGGCCAGTTCTGGTTCCGCGACCCTGTCACGGAGGTCGTCGAGCCCGGCCTGGATCTTCTCCAGCTCCACGATCAGCTCCGAGACCTGCTTGACGGCATCGGTGCGCTGCGAGTCCACCCGTCGCAGGAGGCTGAGCTGGCTGTTGAGGTTGTGCAGGTGGCGGTTGTTGGCGCCGACGAGCGTCCAGATGGTCCACAGGATCTCGTCCTTGCGCGACTGGACGCTCTTCTGCGTGCGCGTGACAAAGTCGTAGATGATGCCGAGGTGGTCCTCCGCCTTGGACAGCTCGCGCAGCACCGCCTGCGCCTCGATGATCAGGTCGGCGATCTTGTCGGACACGAGCGCCGTGTGCTCGACGTACTTGTCCAGCAGGTTGCGCTCCGAGAACACGGCGGGCTGGAAGGGCGCGAACGCCCACGACGTGAAGTCTGTCAACCAGCCGTGGGACTGCTTCTCCGCGGCGACGAGCCCGTCGAGGTACCGCGAGGTCCAGCGGTTGATGCTGATGACCGAGTCGACGGCGGACCCGACGTGCGTGTTGAACTTCTGTAGATTGTTCGACGCAGTCCTGGCCGTATCAATGAAGCCGTCAAACTCGAGCACTAGCTCCTCTTTGCCTTGTAGATTGCTGTATCGCACCATCGTGCGCACGTCTCGGATCGCGGCCTCGGAGCGCTTCATCTCCATCGGGAGAGACACTCCCTGTGCGCTTTTCTCCAGTACTTCTTCAAAGCGCTCCTGCACGTCCATCAGGCCGTCAAACTCGACGGGCTTCTTGCCGCTTTCTGATGTGGATCCGCCGGGCATCTGTGAACAGAACGGCAGGTCAAGATACGACGCCCCGGGAATACGGCAGAGCGGCGACAGCGATGCGTAGATCGACTTGGTCGCCATGTTCTGCGCGATGATGAGTCCGCCAAAGCAGAAGTAGATGGCCAGCGCGATAGCCAAGGGCTTCTGCGCATATCGGAAGGCCAGGCCGACAACGCCAAAGAACCAGGCCAGAACCTCAAAGAGCGCATTAGGCAGCGACTGCGATAGGCGCTCACCGATCCCTGGTGGCTCGTCGACCTCGTGGCGCCAGCCCTTCTGCCCTCGCTTGGTCGGGTTGCCATTGCTGGCAATCTGGCGCTGCCGCAGCACAGCTCCATCACCGGGGCGAATTGTCCGCGAGGAGCGCGCGCTCGCGCGCCTGGGACTCTCTACCGCGACGGTGGGCATGTAGAACTCCGGGTCGGGCGAGCGGTGCCTGTTGATGTCGCGGGGGCTATGGCGGGTCGCCGCGACGGGCACGGAGGGGCGGAACGGCGAGCGCAGGATGACCTGCTCGTCCTCGGCCTTGCTGATGAAGTCCTGGATGGTGCTGTCGTCCTGCGAGCCGCCGATGCTCCAGTTGGCGCCCTGCGAGCCGGACGACAGCTGCGAGGGCCCGCTGGACAGGACTATGTCGTCGTGGTCGTCGTCCTCGGGCACGATGGACGTGTCGAAGCTGTCGTGCTCGCCTTCCACCATGCGCCAGGAGCTCTCCACGGGCAGCTCTTGCTTCCGTGGCCGAGCCATGGCTTCGGCGCCGAGGTTGTTATGGTATGGTATTGTAGTGTGTTGATGACGATCAGACCAGAAGCGTGGATGAGCGATGTATTATTGCGGTGCGCGGAACTTCGCGAGACTCGAAGTTGGCGACTTGACGTCGGCGGGGTGGCGAAGTCGCGGGGAGGCTGGGGTGACTGATATATCCTTCGCGTGGGTGTGGATGTGTTCAAAGGTTGAGATCGAGAATGCGCACTAAGATTCGTTGATGTGAGTCATCCGAAGGTGTAGCCTAAGACGTTCGAGAAGAAGCTTAAACTCGACGGCTGCCTCGTTCGATCTCGGTCGTTGCTAAGGTGAAAGATGCAAGATGCAAGATGCAAGAAGGCGAGCTTTTTGGAGGCTCCCGCACTGCGTGGCTGGTCAACATAGCTGGCTGGCTGGCTGGCTGCCTTTTCACTCTGGATGACGTCTGGGAAGAGTAGCAGCTTACTACGTAGTAGTGTAGGTACCTAGGTAGGTAGGCAGGCGGGTGATGCTACAAGTGCGGCACACATCCCTGTCACATGCGCTGGCCTGTCTGACACCCCTTGCAGAGCCAGGATCCAGGACCCGGCCTAGGCCTTTTTGGGGAACGAGCTCTGATGGGTCGCCAATGGCCTTGCGCGACACTTTGAATCTCTGTGATTTTAGGAGAAACAGCCATGCGCTGCTTTCTGTCGCTCATTACGCAGGCACCAGCGTGATGCTCCACATAAGAGTCGCGAGAAGCTCCTCGCGGACTCTGAGGATAGCATTGTCACATACATCTTCGAGATTGACTCCCCGATGCGCGTTTCGGCAGTGTTCCTCGACAACCGCTCCCCTGCCCAAGCCGCCGGCTGATCACCGAGACCTTGGTGTCAAGCAAGAGCTCTTCACGACCTCCATATACAGCCCCGGTTCTCCCATCTTCCTACCGAATGGCGCACGAATCTTCAATCGACTCGTCGAATTCCTGCGCAAGCAATACGTCCACTATGGCTTCCAGGAGGTCATCACGCCCACAATCTACAAGAAGTCGCTGTGGGCCAAGTCAGGCCACCTGGAGAACTATGCCGAGGACATGTTCACCGTGACGAGCCTTTCGCCGTCGCGCAGCGAAGGTACAGAGAACGCCGAAGAAGACGAATACGGACTCAAGCCTATGAATTGTCCGGGTCACTGCCTAATCTTCGGCTCCCAGCGGCACAGCTATCGCGACCTCCCGATCCGGTACGCCGACTTTAGCCCGCTACATCGGAACGAGATCTCAGGTGCGCTGAGTGGCTTGACGAGAGTCCGTCGCTTTCATCAAGATGACGGTCATATCTTCTGCCGGCCGTCACAAATCGAGGAAGAGATTCGTAGGACACTGGACTTCGTCAAGCGGACGTACGAAGTGTTCCGCCTCGGGCCATACAGGCTTGTGCTGTCTACGCGGCCGCTGGAACATTACATTGGCTCACTAGAGGAATGGCAGCAGGCAGAGGATGCTTTGAAGCGAGCACTGGACCATGGTGGTCAGACGTGGACCTTGAATGAGGGGGATGGCGCCTTCTACGGGCCCAAAATCGATATCATCTTAAAGGATTCAGATGGCAGAGAGCATCAGACAGCGACCATTCAACTGGATTTTCAGTTACCAAAACGATTCGAGCTGGAATACGAGGCGCCGGCTCCAGAGCTGGAAGTCAAGGGTCAAACCACCACAAACCCGGAACTTCTGGCTGATTATGGCCGGGTGCGGCCAGTGCTAATTCACAGAGCGGTGCTTGGATCAGTGGAGAGGCTGATGGCCTTATTAATAGAGCATTACGATGGGAAGTGGCCATTCTGGTTGAACCCTCGACAGGTCATCATCCTGACCGTCAACGATAGCGAGCCAGTCGTGAACATGGCTCGTCACACTAGAAATACCCTGCTTGGTACGGCGCCGATGAGCGAGCCGTCTGCAGAAGCCTTCGCGGCTCCAGGCGATATCAGCCACCCGTCACAATTAGCAGTAGATCTGGATGACAGTGCCCGATCAGTATCTCTCAAGGTACGCGAGGCGAAGTCAAAAGGCTATGGAGTGATCGTGGTGGTAGGTCCCAAGAACGTGACTAACGGCACTGTCACTGTTGATACCAATGGTATACCCGAAGGGAAGGATGCTCCTTCGGAGAAGCCAGTAGAAATGAAGCCTGACGGGCTTCTTCAATTGCTCAAGAGCAAGGTAGATGCATACCAATAAATACTCTCGACTCTGCAATCCTGAACCTTAACAGCATATGCCTCTTCCATCCATGCAGCTCGCCTACAGGCGCAAATTCTTGGTGCCGTGTCATTCGGATGCTGTCAAATGTAGATATTCCGCAACAAGACCCACAACACACTCTCGGCGCAGGGTTGTTTGCACCTCTTCAGACCTTCCTGGGCTTTGCGCGATGCTGTGATAGGTACTCATACAAAGTATATACACGGGATGTTTATTCTCAGCCTCTTGTCCGATTGCCGCCGGTGGTCAGGAGTGGCCTGTTCTTGTTAGCGATAAGGATCAACTCAACTTATCTTCGAGTCTCACCTCTTCATGGCCTCGTCCACCTGTCCGCCATTCTGCTCAATTTTCTGAACGATCTTGCGCCTCTCCTCGATCTGCTCATGCATGAACTCGACCGTCCGCTTGAGAACGATACCCTCTGATCGACCTTGACCCTCCAGGCCTGGTACTAACTCGGTGAGCCTATCAAAGCCCTCCCTGATGGCCTGGCGGCGCTTCTGCTCTGAAAATGTCACAGATTAGTAGAGTAGGGAACATCTCATTCAAAGGCGGAATTACCGGAGGCAATGTGGTTCTGCTTCTTCTCTTCCTCGGTTAAGCGCGGCTTCTCATCTTGATTTGCAGATCCGTTGGCGCCGTCTCTTGAAGGTGATTCGGACTTGGACGGGGATGACATTTTCGATCAGAATAGCAGATTGAAGGAATGATCTAAAGACTTGTAAAGGTGTAAGATTGAGGCGTGTAAGACATGGACAACCTTTTATGATCGCAAGCTTGTGATCAGGCTTTCACAAGAGCAGGCTAGAGTCACGCGCTAGGATCTTACAGCGCTGCCGCCCCGCAGCAGCACATGGGAAGAAGCCTCGGCGATGGGCGATGGGGGGTGGTGGCGATCAGGGGCATGCTGGCTGGCGCTGGAGAACCTTAATAAGTGCCGTTTGGTGTCCTGCACTGCACTGTACTTTACGATAACGATAAGGGAAGCATGTGGGGTTTAGGTTGTAACGGTGCTCAACTGTGACGACACTCGTCAATCTAAAGCTTCAATTGAACAAGCCTAACCTCGACCTCTTCACTTTTAGATTTCTCACTCGCAGACCTGCCGACACTTCACCATGGCATTCCCGGTACCCAATGAGCCGCCGCCTAATTATATAGCCTCTGCCGCAGAACATGGCATTCGAATTCGGCAAAGCGCACCCATTCGCAAAGGCCCACTGCCATTCGAGCTTCCTATTCTGACACATCTCAAATCGAAGAGAGTCATTCTTGCTTCTGCTTCACCTAGGAGGAAAGCTTTGTTGTCACAAGTATGTACTACATCTCAATCACTCGCCAGAAGTACCACAGACCCTAACAGTTCCATTTAGGTCGGTCTCACGAACCTGGAGATCCTCCCATCCGAAAAGCCCGAAGACCTCTCCAAGACCGACTACGGCCCCTACGAGTACGTCGCCGCAACGGCGCGGCAAAAGTGCCTCGACGTCTACCAGGTTGCCTTGGCCCAGCAGGAGGCAGCACAAGGCACCACCGAAGCCGAAGCGCCCGCGGACCCAGCGCTCGTCATAGCCGCCGACACCGTCATCGTCACCCGCGACGGGCGCGTGCTGGAGAAGCCGCGCAGCGAGGCAGACCACATCCGCATGCTGCGGCACCTGCGCGACACGAGGATGCACCGCGTGCTGACGGCCGTGTGCGTGCTCGCGCCCAAGGACGACGCCAGCCACCCGGGGTACGAGATTGCGGCGCACACGGAGGAGACCAAGGTGTTCTTCGCGCAGGCGTCGGACGGGCTGCCGGATGATGTCATTGAGTCGTACGTGCGCACGCGCGAGGGCGCTGACAAGGCCGGGGGCTATGCGATACAGGGCATTGCAGGCATGATATTGGTGGAGAAGATCGAGGGCAGTGTGGATAATGTGGTTGGGCTGCCGGTGCGCAAGACTTTGGCGTTGGCTGAGAAGGTGGTCTTTCAACAGGGCGAGGAAGAGGTAGCAGAGGATGAAGAAGAAGAGGAGTAATATATACTCAGTTTCAGAGAGAAAAGATATGCCGTTGAGTTAGGAATTTAAAAGGCACACGGCGGAATAGAAAAATCAGTTAGAGCTTGAAATATAATGAGTTACGACGTAGCTTTCGCCTCTGTGACAAAATCTCAAGTCTTAGTGAAAACTGGGGCTCAAACTTGACATTGGAATCTGTTTCGATCCGTCAAGTCTTAACAACCATGTGTTATAGACAGTTATCCGTACCAAGACTGTCAATCGAGCAATGTCGAGTCCAAGAAGTGGCCCTCGGCCGAACATCTTAGTCTATACGTCCAGGGGCGTACGCCAACTACCTTCGATTATTATCTCAAGAACTATTCTTCTAGGGCCACCCTACATTAATCGAAGCCTATCAAAGGCTTTCGTCTCAAAAAGGCTGTGTCTACTTCTCTTTGCTAAAAGAGGATGTGTGTGGTTGGGTTGTGTAAAGAAAGTAGGAGATGGTCAGTCAGAAGAAGCGTCACAACTGTGACGCTGTGTCGCACATGCGGCAGCCGCTCCTGTGTACTTTCGTAGTAGTCAGCCACTGGCGCTTCTTGATAAGTTGGAAGCATAACCCATCCCACCCGATCAGCACATCAGTGAAAGTACTTCTGCCGTGCCTTCTCTTGATATGATACTTGATACATCTACACGATTTTTGTATCAAAAACGCCAAACTGAATTCAGACATGTCATGTATGTACTGTCTCGTATTGGTTTTGGCCATATCCACCGGAACTTGCATTCATGGTGCCCAGGGCCCCGAATTTGCATGGCTCAGCTTCTGTCGGAAAGAGCACTCCTCTTGTTGGATCTAAGCCGAGAATTTACACGTCTCGGGTCGATGTCACGATATCTAGAACGCCCGGTTGATCCAACATGCAACACCATCCGAAAACGTGCTCGCGTGAGTCAAATCCCGCCCGGGCGGACAGGATCCGTATTCAGACTGGCCGCCACTGCCAGTAGGGTTGTACAGCCGCCCCCGGATTCCCCATTTCTGCACTTTCTCGCATGTCTCCACGGGGCTTGTTGGGGGTCATGGTTTGTGGAAGGTGTGGTCGGTGGGGGTCAGGATTTATGAAAGCAATTTGTCACCGTCACGGTGAAAGGTGCTCGGTGCATCTCTCGGCTGCAAGGACTTTGGGGCTAAGAGGCAGTCTGCACGAATGGTATCGACCCTCGGTCGTTCTTGGTGTGGGCTTCTCCCATTAGGATGATGTCCCGGGCGGCACAAGATGAAGTCTACGTAGAAGCATACCCTGCCTGATCAGTGCGCCACCGAATGCCCCCCGGATCAGAGCGTTGGACGGGAACGAGGCTCCTGTTCCTACTTGTCCCGAACAGAGAACGTGTGGCTGACCCTGGCTCCTGGAAGTGTAGAGTTCTGATCCAATTGGTCCTGCCAATGCTAGAAAATGTCGAGGCCTCGAGTACTAGCAAGCTGCATTGCGGTCTGGAATTCCGGAGATGCCCAATGAGCAAAGGTTCATGAAAGAGAGGAGGAGCACGAGGACCGAGCTGGCGAGTATATCAAGGCTACGGTATCCATGTTATTGTTACCATATAGTTCCCATGAATGCTCTTCCCGAGATCCCTTGTGTCTATCCCAGAGCTACTGTTGAATCAAGGAGGGCAGAGTAGAGCTTCTTTATCAATATGCCTGAAACCCGAACGACCAGTCTGGCCGTCAAGCCTAGACTAGCAAACTCGGCCAAATCGAAGAAAGGCTTGGCTAAGGAAGGTCCGTTATGACTATGTCTTCCCACCCCGATATGCTGATAAGTTTCAGGAGCTGTTGAAAGATTGAACTTATGGTTGGATAGTACGTCAGACTATTGGACGCCTGAGAAGCTTCCAGTATTGTCGATGGAAACAGCTCAAGACAGGTTCCAACCCTGTCACAATATGTCTTAAACACACTCAACTGCGCTGGGTAACGATGGCTTTTCAGATCTTATTGTCAGATTATATGCTTTATTCTATCCCTGAACATCAGCTCGTGTTATTTCTTGTCTACCTTGAAACCTGTTTCCTTGGCCTGGGTTGATCCCTATCTTACGCCGTACTCCTAAAGCATTGGCCCATATACCTGTCTATATATTGTTTCCGCTTGGCTTGGGTAACTTTAATGGATGTGCCTCAGTGTTCAGGACGTAGTTGTCCAGACTGATCAAGTCGGGAGGCGAGAATATCAGATAGAAGTACTTCAGCGTCTCCGCCAGCCAGAAGCTCTGTGAAATGGTCAGAAGACACGCAATACCAACCCATGAATCGTTCGGGACTTACCTCCATCGAGTCCGTCTTCTGGATGACACCACCCCTTGTCACATCGTTGATTGCCGAGTAAGCAAACCGCGTCTCAGTGGCTTTCTTTATAGCCTCAAACATCTCCCAGGCAATGTCCTGATACTCTCTTTTCCCGGTCATCCGGTACAGCAAGAAAACACTCTCGATCGCCTCCGGCCGGAGCAGATATCTTGTATCGTGGGCGATGGCGTATCCCTTCGGCAACCTCTTGCTCCCCTCTTTCTTCCATCTTGCCTCGTCCCATGGACACCTCTCAAGGTTGGGTGTCTTACAAGCCAGCATGCGGAATTGCTCTGGCATGATGCCTACCGGCATCGACTTGTACGCCCACGCACAGCCTTTGGTAAGCTGCTCGCCAATTTCCACATACTCGCTGATGTCGAAAAGCTTGCCGCCCAAGGCGTACATACCTCCGGCGAAGCAAGCAAGGTGCTGGCCCTCGGGGATACGGTCAGCTGTAGTTACTCCATTAGAGTACATCGTACCAGCGAACAAGATATCCTCTTTCTCCTCATCCGGTAGCATAGGTCGAAAGAGCAAATTGTTCTTGGTGGTTTCCATGGCTTTCTTGAACATCTTCTTGTACACATCATCGAGACCGCCAAGTAGGGCGTACATCTTAGGCAGATACTCGTATAGAGAGTCGGCCATGGCACCAATCGTGAACGAACTATCAGGGGTTAGAAAGCCATTGGCGGCATCAATCCATGTGGGCCAGAGCCCCGGCAGCTTGGTCAAGTCCTGAGTACGAGCCAGCTCCTTCTTGATCTTATTTATGGCATCGAAGAACTTCAAATCTCCTGTTAATTGAGACAGCCGCGTGAACTCCAAAGACAAACTTCCAATGCTGGCGGATACCTCTCTGGGTGAGGCAACAAGCTCACCCTTCTTCGCCTTCTCAAAATTGAAGGCGTTGATTGGCATCCGAGTTGGCGTGTCGAAGGCGGCATAGAGCATGTGGCCGAGCTCAACGGCCTTGTTAAGGAGCATAGTTTCATTGCTCAGGTCATATGCTGCTAGAAGCCCACCCAGATATCGTATATTTGTCTCAAAGAGACTGCATTCTAGGGCTGTCGAGTTGTCCCAGTCGATAGTGGCGACGGCGTGGGCAGCCTCGTCGAACTCGTCCTTCATGTCCATGATCCAAAGGACGTCGAGCGAGTCGACCAATGTAGCTCCCCAGCCGCTGAACGTGTCCACCCCTCCAAGAGAGACTGGCGAGAGTTCATCGTAACCCCAAGAGTATTCCCTGTAGCTCTCCCAGCTCTTCTGAAATGTTTGTTTCACCACCTTTCTGCGTCTCTCCTGTGCCTTCCAGTGTCTTGTGTCATGTTGATCCTGGAAATCGTACTGGATTCTGCGCAACTGCAGAGGACTGCCAGATGGTAGCCGCTCATAGGATGCCACGGGGTGTTTCTCTGGTCGATGGGCCCAATCAAAGGTGCTGTGGACATAAGTGAAGGGACGCCGCCTAGTGCCGTCCTTTTGACGGGAAGGATAGCTCGTAATGAAAGTGAAATAAGAGATAGCGAGTGCAATGGCCACGAAGATGACCAAACGGCCAGACCTACTACGGTGGCCAGTAATGGCAGCCATTGTTCCAAGGTGGAAAATGGACCATGGGAAGATTCAAGGAAAGACTATGAAGAGCTGGCTCGAAGGAGCCCTCGAAGGAAAGGTGTTGAAGAATGAAGAGAGAAGGAGAAACGAGAGTTGCAACGGCCAGCTGCTATGTTTAATTGGCACTCACATCGAATCTATTGTTATCTGCGGCCCAGCAGGAGATACATGTGCATAGAAGGATATTAGGCGTCATGTCGATGTACCTCAACAGGTTCAGCTATCCCTTTCCACCAGCATGCTGCAGGTGATGTTGATCTCGTGTGAGGTGGAGCAGTGCAACCCGCCCGGCCCGCAAGCTAATCAATCCAGATCTACGGGCTTGACACAATGTGCTCGTCAGTTGGTGTTCGGCTCTGGCGAGTCTGGCGAGTCTGGCTCTGATCCAGTTTCACTCCTGGATTTTCTGTGGGGCTGTGGCAGTGACATGCAAGGATCTTTTCAAGATTATTGAAACATTGAAGAAAGAGACTTCAGCAGATATGAGCAATCATTTACGAAGAGTTTCCCGTCAATTGGGGCAACCAGGAACCATCGAACGGAGAGTTTGTTCGTCAGTAATCTATGATGCTGGTTGATGTTCTGAAACAAAAAACAAAACGTTGTGAAGAGCCTCCATGCCGCCTCCCTCGACTAATCCTTAATGAAGGCAAGTCGCGTGCGCGCAAAATGTCCCGCGTTCGCGGGGAGATGCATTGGACGATCCGGCACATGCTAGACTCTCGCTACGGCAGGGGATCGAGTCCCACAATCCGTCGAAGCCTGCAACCTTCCTTGCATCCCCTGCTGCTGCAGCGAGCTTGCCCTGTTCAAGGAGATTAAGCTCCGCTGCACCGTTCCCAGGGGACAGTGACACACTATCACAGTGTCACTAATTTTATGCAGTTCTTTTTGCCATTTCAATCGGCATTTACTATCTATGGTATACATGGGCGAATCTTGCTCAGACGTGAATTGGGTAACCAATGCTATAATAACCGTGGAAGAAGAACAAGAGACAAATTGCCGACTTTTTGGCCACTAAACAAACCCAGGCACTGTACTTGGTACGAAATATACTGAGTTCTCGTATGGAATTTTTTGGCACCGTCACTAGTCAACAATTTCACTGTACCAAAACGCCTTGCCTTGATGGTGTTCGACTCCAGAGTTACAACATTCACCGTCATCTTGTTGATATAGGACTTTCTAGGCCAAGCGGCATGCCATATTTACTCTACAAGGTACTATCACTATGTACATCGCTTGGAGGGTATGCTCCTTGCCCGAGGCTTGCTCTTTCACGAGCTCGTGAACGAGCTAATGAAAATAGAGCCACCCAGCGCTTTGGTAGCATAGTTGAATATGCCAAACCGGTACCCCATGAAGTATGCCCAGTTCGTCCACATTGTATACGACGGGCCCAGCTTCATGAAAGTCTTGCCGTTTGTGCTATAGCAAAAGTCAGCCGCCTTTGTGCCACTCGCTCGCGCATCCAGCGATACTCGCAGCCACACTTTCTTTCCGGAGATGTTCGCCGTTGCTACAACAGTGCCGTTGCTTGTCGTCGCCCACGTCGACTCGTCTTGCGTCATGTTATGCACAACTTGCAATGAGTAGCTGCTACCATTGCGAAAGACTCCGATCGAGGCGCTTCGGTCGCGGAAGGCAGCTAGGCCAAAGAAGTCGCCGTCAGCCATTTTGGTGAAGTCGATGGCGACGGTGCCGACGGGGAATTCGCCATGAATGCGGTGGGTGAGCGTATTCCGCGCAGCATACAGGTCAGATGTGACTGTAGCGGTCGATAGAGTAAGGCCATTGTTGACGGTGTATCTTGTCGTGTCTGGGTTATGGTTCCACTCCCACGCTGGCTCAAGTGATGTACCCCTGAAAGCGTCTGTACCAGTCCAGTTGGTTAGAGGGTGAGCTGGAAGGGGCATTGGATATGTAACGCCCCAACCACCGTTCGAATCAGTCATCAATGTTGGAAAGCCATCACTGCCCCAGGTAATCGGAGCCAAGACAGGCATTCTCCCGGCCGGATAAGCCCAAGTGAAGGACATGTAGTGCCAGTCCCCGTTTGCAGTCTCTATAAGGCTGCCTTGATGGGGAGCACCTCCGCCAGAAACAGGAGACTGAATGCCACTAACAAGAACCTTGCTGGTATAAGGTCCAAAAGGATTATCTGACTTCCAGATGTACGTCGTGTCGCCCGGATGATCGTCGAGAATATAGTATGTCCCGTCGCGTTTATACATGCGGTTTCCTTCGATTCCATCAGCACTGACATCTGAAGCGTTGAAGACATTCACAGTCTTGACCTGACTCAAACCATCCGCAGCAAGCTGTGCTACGTAAACATTGGTAGCGCCATATGCAATATACATAGTATCATTGTCATCGATAAGGAGCCCACAGTCATAGTAGCATGTACCACCGGGAGATTGAGCCGCTCTTGTCCAGGGGCCTGTTGGAGAGGGCGCGGTATATACATAACTGTACCAGAAATCGACACAGCCGATCCAATACCACAGCCCGTTGCTTTTCCGGTATCTAAGAGTCGACGCCCAAGTGCCTCGTCTGTAGGCTTGGCCGCCATCCAAGTTGTAGGCATCACCAAAGTCCAGAGTTGGTACGGAGTGGCCAATGATCTCCCAATTCGCTAGGTCGTACGACCGCAATAGCGGTGCTCCAGGGCTATAGTGCATGTTTGATGCAGAAAAGTAGAAAGCACCATCGGGTCCAACTGAGATGTCATTATCGGCGAAATCCTCATATACCACGGGATTGGTAAAATTGCTGCCGGTGAAGATTTGTCGTCGTGAGTTGGTGTCTACTGTGCTCTGCTGTGGTCATTAGAACAATTACGAGATCGAAACTCGAGCCCCTGAGACGGTGAATATATGTACTTTTGCAGCTCCACTCAATTGCCCGAAAGCTGTAACGAGCAGACATCTGAGTATGTGAATAGGCCTCATTTTGTTGGTGTGAGCCCAGTCAAGCATCTATTGTGTATAAATACATCACCCGCTGCCAATTAAAAGAAAAAAAAAAGGAAGGCAGATGGATGGTATGTTGAGCTGTTGCAAACGTTATATTTCCAAAAGCATAATTTGGCTACAGATCACAGGTTTTGTTAGAGGACAGCGAGCTCACATTGCATATTTCACCACCGGTTTTGTTGTTCTCGTATTCGGAATGTGAAGACCGTAGTACGGGAATGACTTTAAGGAAAAAAATCAAGCCAACTTCGTAGTCGGAGGAGGCAAGCCGAAATTGAGCTGCGGAGGTTCCTGGGCCGCTTGACAATTGTGGTGCCCACCGTTGTATCAGATACAACATTGAGCAGGGAGCGGTCACCGCGGGGTTTCCTTGTGAAGCTTGACTGCAACAAAAAGCTAGGTTTTCCCACCAGTCAATGAAGCGGTTATAGTAATCAAATAAACTCTTTCGAGAGACAGAACAATTCTAGATGAACGACGGGTTGTAGTTGATGGTTGATGTGAACAGGGCTGGACTTGAAGCTTAGGATCTGAGGCAACAGTGCTTGGTGCAACTCTTCTCAGAGTTCACTGTCTACAAACACTTGGGAAGTGCTCACAACTGAAAACGCCATTTTAGAAATACTATCTCATTCTCGGATAGGCTTCGCTCTTAATATTCTTACAGCCGAACGCTTATTAGGGGTTATGAGACAGCGTCGACCGCTGAATCGTGCAAGATCCGGTCCCTGTAACTTCCCGAAACACCAGCACTCCTCAGCAAGTCTCTCCGCGATCTTCCACAATAATGTTCTGTTTTTCGGTAGGTATAATCTTTAACATTGCCTCTGAGAGCTAGTTAGGGATTTTGGACGCCAAGAGGCACTGGTAATTGCTTAATCGCAAGCGGTTGGGTATTTAAACACACACACACACACACTCGAGAGATACACATATATATGTACATATGGTCCAATCCAAGCTATGTATCCATGGGGCGTATGGAAGGGCTTGGTTACTCTCAATTACGAAAAAGGGTGGTAAGACTTGCTGCTTACAAAGTGCGCTGTTTATGCATCATACTCTAAAAAGCAGCTATTGAGATTAGGTCAGCGCTCAAGGACTATAGTAGTTGGTAAAGGGTAAGTTCAACCCTCAACCCCCTATCTTCAAGCCTCAAGGAAAGCAGCACGCCACTCAACGCCTAATCTGACTCTATATTTCCCTCAAAAAGCTTTGATGAAGCATTGCGTTGAGCCTCAATTTGAAGAATTCTGCGGCACCAGGGCTTATTCGTGACATATTTTCAAGGCCGGTATCCCATTCCTTGCTTGCCTGCATAATATCATCATAATCCACGTCTTCTCCTGCCCACCAGGGTGTAGTCGAAGCTGGCATTTGCCTTGGTTGGCTTCTTTCAGCTTCAAGCTTCGACAACTCGTCCTGAGTCAGGCCGTCGTTGAGGTTTCCATTTACGTCGTATTCTAAAAGTGCTTGTCTGAAGAATCGACCAGATGCGTCTTCACTTGACAACAGTCGTGTTGAACTCATTGCCGCCTGGTCGAGGTCTCGAAAGTTGTACCAAGATCGTAGCGATCTGATATCGTCGAGAAACCAACTTCGATACACAGAACCAATGTCCTGTTCGATCCATCCGTAGTCCATAGCGCTTGTCCAGTCAAAACTTGATTGTCCGGTTGGCTTATAATCGCTCCCAAAATGGAAGGTGTGAACAAGTAGCGATATCTTAGTGCCAATTGTGGTCTCGCCAGGAGGAAATATTGGATCTATCACAGCCTGAATGCCGATATCCTCATCAATGACGTTCATCAACTCTACCACTTCCTCCCAAGTGTCCGGTAAATCACTGCATAGCCCGATTTTCTTCATCAGATAGAATAATTTCTCGTTGAAATTATCGACACCGATACCAAATCTCAACGACTCGGTTGCACGGAGTTCGAGGTCGCCTGTCATAGCCTCTAACCTGTCAGACGTGATTGTTTGACCTGTATCGAAAATTCTATAGTTCTCCAAGTGCAGTATGGGTTGTATCCTAACGGAGAAAACGTTCTTTCCTAAAGCCGAGTCCAACAGCAGCTTTGATTTTATAGCCTTGAATGGCTCTCGAAAGGAAGGATCGACGTGTTCTTCATCGTGTACCGAAAAGAGCTCTGATGCGGGAATGTCTAGCTCGCGCCTTATCAGGTCTTCTAGTTCTGTCCTCGTGCGACTTCTCTTTGCAGTGTTCTTCAATCTCCTGTCATTAGTCAAGAGAACTTGTTTTTGATATTCATCTTTCTTGTCCCATTCATTCAGGCAGAATTGACATAGCTTTCCTTCCCTATCAATTAGCCTAGGGCAGAATGTGACGCTCCTATTCTTTATCATTGTATCGTTAGGCTCAATGGTCAGAGGTTCTCTCGGAATACTTGTCCTTAGAATAATCGGTTCACAGGTTCGATCAGTGATAGGGCTGTACCCCTTGTGGACTGGCCCATGACTTATAGCGACAGCTATAGAGTTGTCAAAGTGCTGCACGAAGATGTCACATTTTTGCTGGAACGTCTCGCCACACATTGGACAGGAGCAGTCCGCGGGCAGGTGGGTAAGATTGAACCGCGTCGTCTCAACCATCTCTGGCAATTTCAAAACGGTCATCTCTATCGCGTCGCCTCGAGTTAGACGATAAAGTTTGATGTAGTCATTGTCCAGATCCGCTGAGATATTTGATGGGCTACATAGGGTTAGCTTCGTCCTGAGTCCTGTTTGCAAGTCGAGCACAATGACTGTATGACGTGATACATCTGGTTTCCGTGCGTAGAAGAAGTTGCAGCACGTTTCGTGAGCTCGCAACAGGACATATCGGCCGTTCGGTGAGAAACGTATGCCTTCTGAAGAGTCGACTTCAAAATCTAGAGGCTCTGAAAGCAAGAAAAAGGTATATTAGCAAAGGTCCTTTAGCGCCACGTTTTCGTATGAGAAGAGATGTGTCATGTCTGATGCCTACCTGCAATATTCACCGGTGGTCTTCCTGTATTGAAGTGTGAGAGCTTGACGCGGTGCCCAGGAGCAGCCCAAATAAGGAGAGGTTCCGTTGGATGCAGCGCCCAAGCTACTCGTGGGACACCTTCTTGGCTTCCATGGATAGTTCCCCCAGTCGTAGTGTGCACCATCCAGAGGACTTTATCCTTCTCGGAGTCGTATATACAACAGAAAAGCTCAAAAGAGGTCGCTTCTCGGATGATGCCGTCAATAACTTCTCCGACATCAAATTTTCGGCTATATTGGCAGACGTAAAGACCGTTTCGTGGAGCCTGAGTGATGATTGGTACAAACCCATCCTCCACATTGCGCTGTCCAGGCGTCACTTGCCACTTCTCTTTGAGCCCTGAAAAGGTGACCCTCTCTTCCGAAAATATGCTGTATCGAACCCTTGGACTTGTGCTATCGAAAATCTGCAGGAGTTGACTGGAACTCGGAGGACCAAAAGGTTGTACGCAGCAAGCGAAGGCACTCAGCGCTCGCTCGTATATGTTGACTTGAGGAACTATCGGAATTGCTTTGAGTCTCCGCTCGGTAGCTTGAGTCAAGAGGCTCAAAGTCCCAATCATGAGTAAACCCGAGTTGGCTATGCTAATTGTTTGACCTGATTGCAGAAACTTCACCGGGATAGACGAGCGAGCTTCCTGGATCTCCACATATGCTGGCTGAACATCGTATTCATCCACCATCTCAATGCGAATTGTCAAATCAAGGATCGAAAGAGTATCCTGTCCGCGCTTGATATCGGTTGTACGACCACTGGCTTCTATCAGTTGTACGCGATACAGAATGTTGAGTTCAGGTGAGAGTAGAAGACAAGAAGCCAAGATTCCCATCGTGTCCATGAGGTTGCCTCTCTGGCGTATACTAGAGTCCCTGCCTTGAAAATTTGCTATTTTTCGCTGTAAGTCGTTCAATTCAATTCTCTCTAGTCGTCCATCCGTTGTTACTGTCACTTCGTCGAGGTTCGCGTTCCAGTTTAAAAGCCTAGGAAAACTTGGATTCTCCTGTAGTTCGTCCCTGTGTAGGATTTTTAGCATCTATATGTATCTGTACTCTATCATGACTTACACCTTTATTGGGATAGGAATGATGTGCCGAAGTATCGGCTCTCTTCCAAAACCTGCTCTCTGCTGCTGGCCCTCAAACACAAGCAGGTGACTACCATCCGATATCATGCGGGGATTTGGAACGCCAGACGAAAAGCGAATATTACTGGTAGTACTCCAATGTTGCGGCACGTATATTACCACCTTAGAGGTATCACTAATGTCAGGAGTAAAACTAGGCTGACATGGAGCATCTTGAAAAGCCCACGAGTCAATGTCCTTGGATTTGGGCGGTAAGAGAATCATTAAATCGACCCAGGAATTGTCGGACTTATCATATACGCAAATTGTCCCTCGTTGAGACCTTAGCCTGGTTTTCCCCATTCCGGTATTCGTTGACCTTGCCGTTGTTTTGCGATGATTTGAGACTTTAAGAATAAGCAGAAACCTACCATGGTCGCTGATAGCAAGAATATGGCCTATCCCTTGGATCTGTATTTCCCGTTGTACGGCGAGCGTCTCCAATTCTAGCAGGGCCACGCATGTCCTGGTGAAAGACATGGCAAGGGTTGTGAAGTCGACGGTGACTTTTGCGCCATTGAAAGTATTGGGCGCGAGTTTCCAACGCTTCCAATGAATCTGGCCTTCGCTATTGAACCGGAAAGGACCTTGCGGCGTCAATAAGACTTGTGAGTCTGGAGAGAAGGCGAGCATCTTAGGATCATCGATCTTCCACACAGCTGGTTTTGTGTAGTTCAGCAGCTCACACTGGGTCATACCAGGGATCAGACTGAAAAGGCCTGCTCTAGACTGCCTCAAAGGATTTAGTTGAACCAAACAGACGACGTATTTCAGTATTGGGACATCAAATAGATATGATAGACTTCCTGTTTCGTTATCATCATCTTGGTTCTCAAGGCACAATCGGGCCAGAACATCGCCATCACCTGGCGAAGATATTTGATAACCTCTCCGGATTTTGGAGAAATGACTCTCATTACCGTCAAGTGAATTTGCTTTGGCAGCTGAATCCGAGCTCGCAAACGCGGAATGAACATGGATTGACAGATATCTCATCGCGCGTCGCGCATCCGACAATTCTTGTGTTATTTCTGTTGAAGGTGTAGTTTCCTCTGCACGAGGTATGACTGTAACGAATGAGAGGGCGAGCATTGTTTTGTCAGGGGAGATGACAGCTTGGTCGCAAACGGAATGTCCGATCCACATCTCTGCCACCAATAGCTTTGTTACTATATGATAACACTGGAGATAGCCTTGGTAACAAACATATGCGAGATCTCTCTCGGCGTCTATGCTGACGATGTGGTTCATCCATAATGGCGGACGAGAGCTTCGGGTTTGTAGCACTGCGTCACTGAATCGGACAACGGATTGGTGACTTTGCGCGGCAATGAGCTTTCGAAAACGGTTTTGCTTCGGCAGTAGGTCTATATGCAGAGAATAGACAAAGCGAGGCTGCTCCCAGAGAACATTTTGCCAATCAGTCATCAAAACAAGGAAGTCGGAGCACCAGTTCTCAACTTCCTGCCTCACAGAAGAATCTACTGGAGGGCCACGGCTACGTAGCCATGTCCAAAGACAGTCTGTGACCTCTTGGGCCAATGTGTCCGCACCCTCTCGACCAGCTGCCTTGGTTAACACTAGGGCAGCCACTAGCCATTTCAAGGAGTGATCAGAGGCCAGGAATCGGACGAGCGCCTTCTCCAATACAGCGCTCTCAATACCGACCTGACTGAAGGCTCTTAGATGTTTGAACCAGTTTAAGACAGCATACGAGAAGAGTTCCTTCCCACGAATTGTCTGATATTTGAGAATTGTCACCTCAGACGCGCTCTCGTACGCCAGATTTGGCACATCAGGAAATCCAAGAACCGACAGCATCTTGGATGCCACAGTGGCGTGAGCAAGTTGAATTTTGATAAAAGCTCCCGGCCCTGTTTTCTCATCGAGTAATTCTTTGACTGTAGGGTGAATAAAGCGCAAGAACATGTTCCTTTCGCCGCAAAACTCGACTAGCGGACCACACACTTGATAGATAAAAGTGTATTTGTCCTGTTCGATCCATTCATCATCGTCGTACTCGCCATCGACCATGGCAATGCCATTCTGAAGTTCATTCCAAGAAAGCAGTCTCGTGGCAGAGTATATCCACCAAAAGACCTCGGCGCCGTTCCTCTTACTAGCGGCTGCTTGAATGTAACTTTCGTAAGTCTTATAGATGCTCTGTGGGAGATCCTTCAAAGTAGATCTGATTGCAGCCTTGGAAGCAATTTTATCGCCATCAAGTTGTTCGAGAACCAAAGCTGCATAGAGAAGCATACCATGAGCACGCTCGCATACCGTGTTTATTATATCATTTCGGTGGTCTTGCGGAAGTAATGCAGTTGGTGACGCAGACCCATTGACATAGCGTTGCACAAACATCCTGAGATCGTTGCCTGTGTTTTCTGCCGTCATGGTGAGCTGCTGTATTCGAGGACTGTCAGTTCTAGATGGCTGAACCCTTTGAGATATCCGTACAATCTCAACAATGTCGTGTCTTGATGTAAGAAAAAGCTTCAAATGAGCTCCTTGACGGAGATCTACCTGTTTCTCCTGATCATCTCTCACATTAGATGCGCTACTGCTTGAATCATCAACCTCATAGTGATGGTCTCTTTTCCTTGTTTTCTCGCCAAGATTGCCAGGGGCTGACTCTTGTTCGCTGGGAGAATTGTGCTCAATGCTTTGATAAAGAATGACTGACAGAGGAGGTGAAGAAATACAGGAGTCTATTCCGTCGACCACAATGAATATTTTGCCAGACAAAGACATGAGAATGTCCCGAAAGACATTGATGAGACCTTCATCGAGTCCTTCTACAGGCTCTGACAGGTCCGTGTACTTGGTATGGAAGGCCCGTAAAATCTTGAGACCCTCATCGTCATTCCACTGACTTATCTGAGCGAGAAAGCTGCACATTACTTCTCTCAAAGTTGTACATGAAGGCTCTCGGCTGCAAAAGTGGTAAAGTATTCGGACAACTGCGGGCTCTGTTTGGTAGAGGTGGTGGACAGTTGTAGCAGCGAGGACGGACTTTCCGAAGCCTGGAGCTCCCTTAACCCATAAGACGGATGTGTTTGGGCTTCCATGAAAGTCCTGAAATTCTTGTCGCTGGAAAAACCAAGAGCAGCTTTCATAATCAGCCTCTACATCCACAAACTGTTGTGCGAGGTAGTGGTTCAGTAAACTCGAGCTGGGAAGGCCTCCAAGCTTAGTGAAGTACTCTTCCAAGTAACTTCGATGGTATTCTGGAGGTTTTTCATCGGAGCTTCCTTTTTCTACAGTATCCATAACAACCTGGTTTGATGATGCTTTGCCCAGTATCAGCTGCTACGATTAAGTAAAAACCGGAATGGTGCGAGGTCAAGCACACTTACACAACATTCCCAATGAATACGCCTTTTTTGCAGTTGGCGCTCCCACTAGAGCATCGGCAACCTTGTCTAACTCGAGTCGAATGTCAGGATCGGCAATGTATCCAAGCGTGATTGCTCGCAGTTTGGCTAGTTTGTCCCAGTCCGCCAACTCAACATCTTCAAGTCCCCTTTCGACATTGAATCGGTAGTAAAGCCCGTCAGTGCCTATGTATTTCCGTTTCATATCCTCTGCGCTTTTTTCTGAGTCAACGGCTAACTCTTTGAGGCTCTTCATGAGGCGTCTTGCATTCCATGTCAGTTTGTCGACCAGGCGATCTGCGGGAAGGATCTGAGTTGTTCTCCTTTTGCCAGTTCCAAGACTAACAACACAAGCTACCTTTCTTAATGAATCAAAGCATCGCTCTGCTTCATCATGGAGTTTATATATTGGATTGTTACAGCCAAGCGCGCCGTCAATAAAATTCTCCTTGCGCCCTGCTGGTCCAATCTGAACGGAGGCATAGTAGGTGGGTGCTGCTGCGGTAGCTCGAGCTGCTTCCCATATTGCGCAATCATATTCCTGGTTGTCCTTTGACTGATATGACCTGAGGAGTCTAATGTTCTTCACATCATCAGTGCAGACCGTACATACAAACCTACAAAAGTTTAGTGTTGGCTATAAATGAGCTGCGTTGCAAGAATCACTGACACTTTGCAGGTGTGATTATTTTCTGATCTAAGACGAGCTTCACTGTCGCCGAGCTTTTGCCTCACCTGAGCCCGGATAATACGGACGAAATCTTCGGCACTGAAACGACCCTGTCTCCCAAATCCATGAAAAGGCAACTGCTTCTCAAAGAACTCACGAGTGAGCATCTCGTATGCGGCCTGACATTCTTCAACAGACATACGGAGTCTGCCGAGCATTATGGCAATTAGGCTACTTGCTCATCAGCAGTTGGCCTGGTTCTCCATGGGTAGTTTGGACTGTCTACCCGCCCGTTGATGTTCCGCCGATCATATCGAAGTAGTCAGCGGGCAGAGGCGTGTCTTGTAGACATAGTCTGTCCTGCACACGTTTCATGATTGCCTCAAGGATCATAAGCTCTGCGTAGCCGCGTACTCCACCACCATCTAGGCTCATTAATCGCTTGGTCATATAAATAGATTTGTTGCTGTTGCTGACATACCCAGAGAGAGCAGTTTGAGAGGTGACTGTTCCATTTCTGACGACAAGACTAAAGAATTAGTTCTTGAGGGTATGTCGTGATCATAAGGTAAACAGCGAATGTGTGAGATCGGCAGATTTGGGTCAGAGAGCCTTGGAGACAACTCTGGCTATGGCCCGCAGGCGCGGGCAAAAAGACCCCTGCTGATATAGAGAGAATCCTCCCTAGGCTTTCATAAAGATCGTTAGCGTGGGGGCCAAACCACATCTCGCCTGTACACCTGTCCAGGGATCCGCAATTGCAACCACTCGTGTCTGCAGCTGCGCAGCTGATAGCGCTCGCAACATATCATACACTTGCCAGAATCATGCGTTGGTAGATGTGCCCCGCAATCAGGCACAGCAAAGCCTCAGCACAAAGAGTTTCTCAGATTTTCTTTGCAACGCGTAAACCCAGTAACGACTACCATTATTTTATTATAGACAAGTCCATCTTCGCGCGCCTTGATACATTCATGCGCCTAAAGACCTTCCGTGTCGCAGCACTTGACAAAGAATGCCTGGGCTTGAATTAGTGATAAATTCAGTCAGCATCCACTGTTCTCACGTCCACGCAAAATGAAGCCGGAAATCGCAGAATACAAGCAGATGGACACCACAGATGAATCCGATGTCGAATCTGTCGATGAAACCGAAAGTACAAAGCTGAATGGAAACGGAGTATCAGTTGAGGAGGCACCTATTGAGACCCTAAAGAAACAGCAGAAGCAATTGATCAATGGGGCGACAACAGGTGATTTAAAGTGCGAAATCAAAGAGTATGAGGCCAGATACTCTCTTAATGGCACCAGACAAGTCAAGGAGAAGGGACAGAAAGAAGATGCGGATGACGAGAAATCTCAATATGCCGTGCGTGCCTACAAGTACTACAGCAGAGATGGCAAGATCGAAGAGATGAGAGTTGAAATACACTCGCCGTCCATACAAGACGCCCTTCGCAACGTTGTCAAACGTTATCCTACGCAAAACTTCGATGGCCCCGTCATTCATCTCAATGGTTGGACAGTGGCAGAGACTATGGGCTGCTTATATCATCACAGGAACAGTTTAAAAAAATACGCCAAGAACCACGAAAACTTGGCAGCTAAGATGCATATCCTCACGCTGATCACATATACTGAACGGGAGTTTCGGCGAGCGATTCATAGATACGAATCCTCTGTCACATACTCCAAAACACCCAGTATAGGATTTGATGACGTGTGGATGGTCTTCAAGCCCGGGGAGCTTGCGTTCTACGATGCCGCACGCAAGACAGAATCCATCCTCGAAATACACAAAGCCAGTTTTATTCCCGGAGACTGTCGCCGGTGGGAGATTACCGCTAAAGTCTTTGCTCACGATGGGGTCAACTTTGGCTATCATCACCGCAAATTCGATATCAAGAATTATGAAGGCACCATAGAGATTGCCAAACTACTACTCTATCCTCTCAAATTCTACAAGGGCGATGTTGAGCAACTGCGACAAAGGATGATAACTAGAGGAAGAAAGTTTCAATCACTTGTTGGAGTTCAGTACCGAGCTTATGCTGGGCTGGCTTGGGCCGTGGAATATGAGCGGGTTGCTACTTCATGGGGTGGATTGAGGCACGAATACCCCCAGGAAGCGATCATGGTAGGTCGTCCTTGATCTTCGATTTCTCAAGGTATGTACTAACGAATTACAGATAAAAGGGCGCATCATGCTTGATTGTCCATCTTTTATCGAACACAGGACACATGCAGATATCTTCCTGGAGAGTACTAAGAAAGTTGAAGATGGACACATCATAGATGATGATCTTTTAATCAGCAACTTCAAAATCCCGGGCTTCTCCCTCGCAGACAGGCGTTGGTGCTGGTTCATGGTCGACAATGTCTGCGATATCGAGTTTAACGAAGACGCGTTCGACGCATTGCTGTTTCCTGCTCCGCAAAAGCAACTAATTCGGGCGCTAACAGAACAGAGCACAGTAAAAAGGTCACTTCCTAATGATTTTGATGACTTCATCAAACATAAAGGCAAAGGCTGTATCTTTTTGCTCCATGGCGAGCCTGGTGTTGGCAAGACGTTCACTGTAGAAAGTATTGCTGATAAAATCCACCGCCCATACTATGTGCTGATGTCTGGGGACTTGGGTTCCAATATTGAAGCAATTGAAAAGAATTTAACCAAGATTCTCAAGCTGGTGACAAAATGGAGAGCTATTCTACTTCTAGACGAGGCTGATGTCTTCTTGGAGGCACGATCTTCCCACGACCTGATCAGAAACGGCCTAGTCTCAAGTATGTTCAATGTTCCAATACTTATCTTGTCGTCCACGAACCGTTTTAACACGTCTTAGTTTTCTTGCGTACTTTAGAATACTTTGAAGGAATCATGTTCCTAACGACCAATAGAGTGACAACCTTCGACTTGGCCTTTCAGTCTCGTATTCACCTAGCCCTAAAGTACCCACCCCTCGACACAAACCAACGAACAGAATTATGGCGCATGTTTTTGAAACGCACCGCCCAATATGATCCAGGGAAATGGCCTGATGAACTAGTTCGCCAGTTCGCCAGTGTGAATCTGAATGGTCGGCAGGTCAAGAACGCGATTCGCACAGCCAACGCCTTGGCCCTCTCTAGGCGAAGCGAATTGAGTTCCGAGGATATTCTTATGGTTCTTAGCACCATGGTCAGCTTTAACGATGACTTCAGTGGCTTAGAGCAATCAACGCAGCAGCTTAGCTTTCAATGATATCATGGACCAGATCATGATACAGTCACTCAAGGGCTAGTTGTTGTGGTTGCCATAGGAGCGAGTAGTAGCCTGCGCTTAACAAGGATTTCTCTTTCAGCATAACAAGCATCTGTCGCCTGTCTACCATTCAAGATGGCGAAGCAAGCTCTCGCAGAAAGTGGTTCGCGGCTTTGAGCAAAACACCAGCCACATTATGTCGCATTGCTAGGTGCCATCTTTCCCTTAGTTAAGGAGTAACAATAAGTTCTTTACATTAGCTTAGTTGATAATTCATTCGAAGCATCTCCTTAGACTCCTGAACTGTCGATGACAGTTGGCATATAACGATTGGATACTTTATGAGCTGTTATTTCATATGAGTGTGCCCTTTTCTATCCGCACATTAGTTTCTACCATCAGTAAGCTTGTGACTGTATCTTCCATAAGCAAAGCCCACTGGCTCTCAAAACCATTAACCCATGGCATCGATCGCAGTCTCGCCATTGCTTCTTGACTTGACGGCACATTCATTCTGTTTATGATAAAAGCCAGAGAACCTAGAGCGGCTGGATTTTGCCTGGTGGCAGAACATGTAGTTGCGCAGATCATGAACAGCCAGAAATAGAGCGTGACAATTGACGGACGGTCTACCATGAACTGCCATTTGGATCGGTCTGAAAGCAAATCTAATAACCTTGCGACGTACGGTGTAGTCTGTGCTGGGTATGCTTGAGACATTTGTTTAGTCCAAATGATCCATACAATCATACCCAAACGAAGTGCCTCCAGTATGGCATGTGTCGAGATTTGGAAACACCCAGTGGGCAGTGACTCCAAGAGATGATGCGCAATAGGGTTGATGTGAAACCCTAGAGACAGTTCGTCCTTCCATAAATCCTTGCCTTTAGAGACCAAGTCTGCTTGGATGAGCAACGAAACATTTGCAAGCTTTGCGAGAGTATCGATCGCGCATTGACATGATGCCGTCCAATCATGCGTTTCTACAAGGCTGGAAGCAATCTCGACAATTGTGATCGGAACTGTTGCAGATGATATAACTGGAGGGAAGAGCTCGCTTGGTGCAGAAAATCGTGGTTGTTGATCGTTAAGTAGTGCTACTAGGATATCAACCCTATATGGCATGCTTGTCAGTCTGACTTCTGATTCGAATGGTAACTTCACAAACCAGAAAATCATTAAACGGAGCTGATAGTCATCTGAGAGCTTATGGACGCCACCTCTCATTGTTACCATCATCTTGACACCATCTAAGTGAACTCGAGCCTGGTCAAAATCCGCAATTACAAACTGGTGATTGTTAGTACAAGTCGATATAAACAGAAAGTTTTTCCAGGTACTCTACGCTGTAACAGATAGATCCTAGAACCGCACGTATCACGTTATTGCTCGTGGCTCTACTTATATCAGCGTCTGCTAACGATGTCTCAATGCAGAGCAGAGTTTCTGTCATGCGCGCGAGCGCAATCGCTTTGTTGGTTTTGCTTGGCCGCGAAGATACTGCAGCAGATATTTCTGGGCTGTCATGAATATGGCGAAACATCTTTGATCTCTGGTAAGCCGAACAAAAGAGAAATCCTCCCCCAAACAAATCTTCCACAAACAGTTAGCAGGCGAGTGAAGAGATGATGAATGGAAGCGCAATAGCATACTTCCACGATTTTCGTCCCTGTATGTCATGAGAGCAAGGCCATATGCAGCAAAGGCATCCTCACCACATCCATGATTTATTATAGCAAGTGGATGATAGTCCCAAACCGGACCTGCTAAGATGAACTGACATGTATTTTCTAGGCATTGCGAAGGTCGCCGTCGATGTGCGACCCGGTTGCATTTGATCCGCTCCTTGACAACGGCTTCTGATTCCTCATGGGAAGCTGTCAATGCCAGTTGGATCTGAGGATTTCGGCGGGGCTTGCGCCAAGCTTGAGCGATATCACGCATGACATGTTGCCTGATTCTGCGGTTCGTACGACTGTCTCTGCCTTCCAAATGCGTTGGACCATTGCTATGCACAAACATGAAACGATCCTGTTTAGAAATCTCGGAATTCATCGCAAAATATTCAATCTGATTAGCAATGAGGATGATAGAGGTATAGGCCGGTGAATCTATGTATGGTCGATCTGAAGCATGTTGATAGTGCTTCGAGACAGATTTATTGCTTGCAATATTATTCAGCAGAACCAGTCCGACTCAGGTTGTTACTTTTCTGTAAACCTTTCTCCGCGATTCACACCTAACGGCTCTGAGGCGCTATCTTTAATCAGCTACGCTAGTCTGAAGATGGTATCCAACATCCCTGCTCGTGCATCTGTGCTACAATTGGCTGCGATCCTTAACTTACACCAAGACAGAAGTAGTAACTAGCATCCCTACTTGTGTAGCTGTAGGAGACCAATTGTCTTCGTCTGATGGCCTACGATATTCATGATCAAGCGTTTAGTGCAGAATAAAGATGAGTGACTTGCGAAAGGTAAGAACAAACTTCAGACTATATAAGGTCTACATCTACTCCTCATCCCTACACCAGATATTTGATAGCAACACCTCGAATAGTTTTAGTCCAAAAGTTTTAGTGATGTCTTACCAATTCAAAGACAAATTGGCGATTGTCACTGGCGCTTCAAAACTCAATGGCATCGGCTTTGCAACTGCTTATGCACTAGCAGAAGGGGGAGCTGATGTAAGTTGGTCTTAACAAAACCGGCGGAAGGAATCTAAACTCTCACACTCACAGCTTGTCATCACCTACAACACCAACAAAACTGCTGCACAGGAGGTTATTGAAAAGATCCAACGCCTTGGTGCCAAGGTGATCGCAGTGCACGCTAATGCTGGCTCTATCACCTTTGGGGAAGACTTGGTAGATGCTACAGTCAAGGCATTCCCGGGCCGCAAGATCGACATCATCGTTAACAATGCTGGCCACCTCACTATGCAGGAGGGTGCTGAAGCCGCTGTTGTGGATGAGTTCGACTCCATATTTCATCCTAATGTGAGGGGCCCTCACCTGTTGATCAAGGCCGCCCTCCCGTACCTCTCGGCCCCTGGAGCCCGAATTGTCAACGTTGGTAGTGTTGTGGCCCGAACTGGCACCAAACATGCTACGTTCTACTCGAGTAGCAAAGGAGCTCTGAACCTCTTGAATCTAGCTTGGGCCGAAGAGCTCGGTCCCCGTGGCATCACTGTTAACGTCGTTGCCCCTGGCCCTATTGACACTGATTATGGGCCACCGGACGATATGCCTCTTACGATAAAATTCCGGGCACAGCAATACTTGAAGCGGAATGGATCGGCCAATGAGGCAGCAAATGCAATCTTGTTTGCCGTGAGTCCTGGTGCTAGCTTCATAACGGGCCAAGTTTTGGCTGTTGATGGGGGTCTCGCTTATACCTAGCTAGATATGTTTCATACGCAGGCCGCATTCAGGGCAGCGCTTTAAGTTAGTGAAAGTGCAGTGGCGGGAAGGTAGATTCAAAAGGTCATACACGCTCATCAGATGTTTGATTAGCATTGCTCATGTGGAAATTTTAATTCAAGTCGTGTTGGGACCTTTTGACTTAAAATTATGAAAAGCTTTCCCGCCTTCTTGTCTATTGAAACTTTAGCAATCAAGTTCTGTCTAAGTAATGATCTATGAAGCTCTTTGATTATGGTGCATTTCCGACCGATATCAAGTTATTTAATCTCAAGGAAAGTGGGCGGACATTCCTCCGCACCTGGTATAAGTGCGACCAAAAAGTGGCTCCGTATAGTCGCTTGATTTTTGCGAATCAGTCGAGTCGCGTCTTTGTTACATTTGATGCACAAGCTTCATACGAAGTATTTTCAGATGTTTGACAGGGCTTTCGTCGACATGAGGTGACACAGGTTACCGCTTAGAGTTGCTTCAGTACAACAAATGCGCACAGACTGATGAGCACTAGCACAGAGCGAATCATTGATTATCAGGTACCGACTTGATCGCTTTCAAGGATTGTGAGTGTGGGGATGAACTAGGGTGAGTCTCGTTAGGAGTTGCAAGTCTGGGCGTTGTGTTTGATAGTGATGGGGCTGTCCTTTGCATCGGCCTGTTTCTGAAACGTCAACAATTCTGGACTAGTCAACTGCCGCAAATTCTCCTAGGGCGCGTTAACATGGGTTGACGAAAGACGAAACGCCAGCCATTGACTTTGCCCGTTGATGCAAAGGTCTAGAAGGGAAGCTTACTACGTTGCTAGCCCAAAGACGTCCCAGTTGTCCTGCCTGGGGACGACTGACGCAGATCGGGGATGATTGGCTAACCCGTTTCGGTGAAGTAGTTGCGTCAACCGCTTTGCATCTTGCCAAGGGCATGTCTCTTGTCTATTTTTGAACTTGTGGGGATGACCTGAGCTCAGTCTTTGACAGCTAGGATTCGTCAAGGCCCACCGGACGTGAAACTCTCTCGCCTATGCGAATAGTCCACCTCATCATGAAGAACAACACCACGGCGAGCGAGAGCCGCTGACGCGGCCATAGTATTGGGCATGGCTGTCGGAGAACTACTTAATGAGCTTGATGCTCTCCAAGAAGCCAAGAAAAGGTTGCTATCAAACAACAGACTCGACAGTATACATCAGCCTCTTGCCCTTTTCCTTCTATATCCTTTTCTCTTATCGGCTGGTCCGTTTCTATTCAACTAGTGTATATATTTCGACATTTGCTTTTCAAGAAAGTCGCCTTCGCATAATCTCTTATATAACACGCCGGACCTAAGCCAATATGAAGTTCTTTTCCGTACTCCTTCTCGCCGCTGCCGGCAGTGTCATTGCCAAGGGAAACAGCACCTCGACCAAGTCCCAATGCAAGCAGGTGCAGAAGCTTACAAAGATCGTCAATCTCGCAGCCAATTCGACCCGGCTAGACGATAAGACCGATGGCAATGCCACAAAGGCAGACGCCATCAAAGCCAAGGCATCTGAGGCGGCAACGACTCTTTCGACCCTTCAAGCCAATACCACTCTGATGGCCGCGTGCAGTCAGATATTCGCGGTTGAGGATATGGAAGACGCTTGCTCGCAAATGGCCTCGCTCGAGAAGCTCACTGCCTTGGTTGCCAACGCAACGAAACTTGATAATAAATTCGACGGCAACGCCACCAAGATTGCTGCTGTCCAGGCTAAAGCATCAGCGGGTGCCGACGAGCTAGCGACTCTGTCGAGCAACACAACCCTGACCCAGTTCTGCGCGGCGAAGGATCTGGAGTCAACGTGCTCTTCGATGGCGAAGCTGCAAAAGGAGGTTGACAAGGCATCCAATGCCACGGCACTCAGCGAGAAATTCAACGGAAACACGACCAAGGTTGAAAAGGCACAGGCAAAGGCCAGCAAGGCCGCCGAGAAGCTGCAGGCTATGTCAAGCAATTCGACGCTGGTTAATCTGTGCGCTAGTGAATGTAAGTTGTTAAGAGTTACATCCTTGATAATTTGATGTTACAGAACTAACATAACTTTTCTCATTAGCCAACACCAAGACAGAGGCAGCTGCGGGTTCTTCGTCCTCATCGGCCGCTGCGGATGCGGAATCGGGAGCCTCAAATGTCCTACCTTGGGCAGTTCAGCCAATGGTATCAGTCCTTGCGGTTCTGGCTGCTGGAATTTTCTTGCTATAACTTGTTGGCATGACTTTATCTGATTGTCGTTGGTATCTCAGATAACCTCTTGCAGATCTTCGGCATGCAATTGCTCTATTCAGGCTACGTTTCACTTATGCAATTGGTATCCTTTAGCTAGCAGGTTTGAATCATGTCAGTCGCTGGAATTGTTGGATAGTTCTATGCTGGACCAGCCTTCCTTTATGGTAGTTGTCGACTTAGAGATCAAGCCCAACCTTTTCATTCTGAATGTGGGAATCTAGTACCAATCATGCTTTCCGTCGAGAAATTGAAGAGTCAGAAGTATTGTTAATTGGTAAAATCAAATTTTGAATGAGACGATCTAAATTTATGAAATTGGGCCGAAATTCGTGCCTCTCAGTCATTGAAGTAATATCTCGTGTCAACCGGGAGCCTTGCCCATGGATTCCGTGTATGGATCTTACGGTGCCATTTAACCCATTATACATTCCTGGGGTACTAAGGTTCAGAGAAAGAGACGGCTCAGTAGCTATAACTTCCGAAGTTATGTAGGTAGGCTCGAGGTATTTGGTGTAAGCCCGCCACTGGCTGGGCTTATCTTATCGGCGTGACCGCCTAAAAAATTTGGCCCCGCGAGGATCTCTAAACTGCCGGCTAAGCCATTGAAACTTCCCACCTGCAACAAACCATCCACGCACACATCGCCAAAATGTCCTCCCTTCGCAATGCGGTCCAGCGCCGCAACCACAAGGAGCGAGCCCAGCCTCTCGAGCGCCAGAAACTCGGTTTGCTAGAGAAGCACAAGGTTCGCTCGGTCTTCCACCGCCCTCCCAATTGGCTGTGACTGATCTGATGTTAGGATTACTCCCTCCGAGCGAAAGACTGGAATAAAAAGAAGGCAACGCTCAAATCACTGCGACAAAAAGCAGCCGATCGCAACGAGGATGAATTCTACTTCGGCATGCTGTCCCGCAAGGGACCGGGCTCCGCCCTGACACGAGGAAAGAGGAGCTTTACTGGCACAGTGGAAGGCGATCGTGGCAATAAGGCATTGGACGTCGATACGGTGCGCTTGCTGAAGACACAAGACATCGGTTATCTGCGGACAATACGTAATGTTGCGGCGAAAGAAGTCGCGGAACTCGAGCAACGGGCCGTGATTGCCGGCGCGATGAGAGGCGAGGTGGATGATGACGAAGACGAGGACGAGGACGAGGACGAACCCGCACCACGGAAGAAGGCGAAGAAAATCGTCTTCATGGATAACGCTGAAGATCAATCACAAGTGGTACCTGTACCAGAGAAAGAAGAGGAAGACGACGACGACATGGATCTGGATGATGAGTCGGGAGATGGGCGGACAACAGAGGCCGACGCCAATGCCATTCGAGCCGAACGGTTACGAAGAAGACTGCAAAACGCCAGGAAAAAGCTAAAAGCGTTAACAAGAGCCGAAAATGAACTCGAACTACAGCGCGCCAAAATGGCCAAAACAGCAACTATTGGAGGCGTCACCAAAAACGGGAAGAAGATCAAGATTCGCGAGCGGAAAAGGTAGATAAGTCAATCGGGTTTATTTTCCATATGAAAACCGCTCTATGATACTAGCAGTCACAAAGGGAGCTTATGGATGCCATGCTCCCAGTTCATGCCGCACGATACCCAACGCCCTCTGGGGATATAATCTTAGAAATACAAAATGTCAAGAGAGAGAACCCTGCTTCCCGCCCCTGGTGTTTGACCATGCCATTATGAGCCTCCCGGGACTCGTAGCTGCGTTTCCAATCCATTACACGTTTCATTCATTATAGCTTATCAGAAGTCAAACACCGCGCCGCGCCAGCAATCATCCACGTCAGGGCCTTGAACAGGAGAGTCGCCGCCCAGATGAAGCACTTGAACGTCACGCTCAGCGTCTTGATGATGATGCGTGCCACGCCGGGAAGCTTGTCCATGTCCTTGTCCTTCACGTCCAGCTTGGCCAGGTCGGAGTGCTGGCTCTCGAGATCCAGCTCAAACTCCTCCATCCGGCTCTTGCTGCGCTTGCTCGCCGCCTTCTTCTCCTTGCGCTCCGAGCGCGCGCTCATCTTGCTCGAGCGCTTGTCGTGCTTGGAGGTCACGCTGCCGGGAGGTGCGCCGAAGACCATCGGCGGCGGCTCGAACACCTCGACGTTTGTGAACTGGTGGTCGCCGTGCGCTACTAGCATGAGAGCAGCGACTGCCACGTCCACGAGGTAGACGGCATCGATCTTGGCCGCGATACTGGTGTCGACCTCGAGCCAGCCCGTGCCGGTTCCGTCACGGGTTAGGCGGGCTACGTGCTGCGGCGACTCAATGTGCTCGAGGGTATATTCCGTTCGAGACCAGGCGGGATTGCGCTCGACAGTGACACAGAATGGCATTGCCAGAGCGGGATGGACAACGTAGTGGTTGCTGGTGTCCTCATCCCAGACTAACCGCGCACATTCCCGCTCGGCGGTCATGACAGCCGTGGGGTCATCAGGCCTTTCCAACGCCATCTTCGCGGCGGCCTGTGGGTAAAGTAGGGCAACGAGCCCGTCGTTTGGCGGGTGTTTGCGGGATTCCTCCTCCAGGGTGGTGTTGAGACACTCTTGCCAGCCCTTCGAAGAATCGGTCTTGCCGCTCACCGACGCGGAGCTGCTGCTGGGAGCTGGGTTTGCCGGTCCCTTGAAAGGCTTGTTGGGATCATGTCGAGACATGGTGACATATGCGGACGCGGATGTTGGGTCCAGTCTAAGGCTGTAAAATGACTGTGTGGCAGACGATAGTGTGTAAATGGGAGCGTCCTTTTCGCTCGTCATCTTCAAGCAGTACACCCTTCCTTCAGATGAAGGTGCTTTCCAGCCATTGGCGACTTTCCAGAAGCCTCGAAGCTCCTCGGTGGTGCTTGTTGGAGGAACCATTGGCTTATCCTGACTACGGGGAGGCCATCGCCTTGCAGAGCCGGCACTCATGGGACTCTTTACCGGACTCACGACCGGTTGCTGGGCCCTGGATGGAGCTCGGGACTCGACATGTTCCTCGACCGGAGAGTAGAGGTGCCGGCTTATAGCTCCTCGCGGGATCTGGTTGGGACTGGTTTGGTTCTGGCTGGGATAGTAATCCTGGCGATCAAGTGGTATCGCCGGGTCATATTCGGGGAAGATGGATCTGATCTGACTTGATGGCTCTGGCATTTCTGAAAATGGCCGTTTGGCGATCGAGCTTCTCGAGCGGTTGCTGTTGCTCCGCACCAGCGTTTGTGCTTCTGAGAAGGCTGTATCGCATCGCTCAGGAGGCTGGACTGCAGGCTCCGGCCGCTGTATTATGGAAGGGCCGGCTGTGCTACCCGAAGCAGACACGGTATCGCTCATGACCATTGCCGCTGCATAAGGGTTGTTAGAGGCAGGCTTCTTGCCGTCCTTGACGGATTGCTTTCGACCCAGAACACCCTGTTTGGCCCGTGAAGGTGATTCCCGCAAAGGGGACTCGGTCGCCGAGGCCGGTTCCTGGGCTGAAGCTTGCGGCGTTCCTGCTCGTGGCCGAGAGTAGTTTTGGCTTTGGTTTCTGGAGGGCGGCCTTGTTGAATCTTTGGGGAAGAGGGAGAAGCTCCCGGATGGTGCTGGTCCGGCCGACATGATATTGGTCTCTGTCTCGAGCAGAGCCGATGCTTTGTCCTCTCCGGGACAGCTCTTTGATGCCTCCTTCTCGAACGGAGACCGGAGTTGAGGATAATGTTCAAAGTTGGTGACAATATGTCGTAGCCTGCTACCTATACATGATGCTTGCGAGTCTACGCACGGGAACTGGTTCAAGAGGCACAGACACAGACTGTTGAGACTCAATCTCACAAGAGCAGCACCGGAAAAGAGAGCAAGCAAACCGACAGTTTGGGAACAATCGGGAATGCGCGGACTATTTCAGGCTTCTCAATGCAATACAATACAGTACAACACACAGGATGTAGATTAACAAGCAGGTCGGACCCATGCGCCAGTAATAACAGAACAAACACCTGCCATGCCGGTCGTTCTGGGCGTGTTCCACCCAGATAGACGGCTTGACCACCCCGAACCGCGTTCTTGCATGGTGGATGGGAGGGTTGGGCTTCTCCCGCGTGGTCTAGTCTGACCCCTTTCAAGAGCAAGAGCAGGTTAAGCGCTGACGAGACACCTCGGGCGGGGTCCTTTGTGTGTATGCTGACGCCTACTGGACAGGGCGGTCGAGGTACTTGGACGAGGTATCGCGGTGGAGGGGACCGAAAATAGATATCCTGTATACCGCCGGCCCAATCAGCAGCATCATCACGCTGCATGTAGACGCCCGCCAACAAGCGAGAAGAAACCGCGCGCGGGGAAGACGGTCCCTGAGTCCCTTGTCGTCGCCCTGATTGGTGCAAGCAGAAAATTTGATCTCCAGCAAAAAAATACGGCAGACGCCTTTTGAGATACCTATCGTAGCACCGTACTATGAAGGTCGAGACAATGAATAGGGTCTCATTGTAGGCCTTTCTAGTCCTTCCCGCTCTGTTCTGCAGCGACAAGGCGGCACCAGCGGGTGGCTAGCTGCGTGGCCGCTTCTGGTTGCAGCGCGGACGTGTGCTCACTGCTCATTGAGGTTGGCCGCCTTGGCGACCCGCGATCTGCCCGCCGAAGGGCTGTCGCTTAACGCTCGCTGGCCGGCGATCTCATGAGATGCCTCTAGAAAGACGTTTGGGTTGAGGCAGTTGCAAGATCTGCTTTATCAGTCGCATGGCAGTGTCTATGTTCAGCGGAGACTAAGGACTTTAATTACGAGACCGATAATTCTTAATCTTGATGAGGCTGGCTATGAAAGATAGTGGAATGTCCCTGGAACATAGATTCACTTGAAAGGACAAGACATTATTTGAAGGGCCATGTAGGTCTAGGACAAGTCTCGTGCCTGCGTTTGAAAGCCTTGAAAGTCTCTTCTTACCCGCCTGGCATCGAGATTGCGAGAAGACATCGTAATTTCTCCCAATGGACGTTTCACTCTACGCGACCATGCTTACCCACGACTGTTTGAGTGTGTATATACTGCCCAGCTCGTTGTCTGTACGGTTTCAAATGGCGGTTACAAGGCGCTTCCCGATTAGTCCAGGGCGCCAGGCTAGATTACCTCGCGTCTTTGATCGTGATTCGAGGTTTCAACCTCGAGCGTGTCATTGTGCACCACTGCACCACCCTGCAAGTCATGATTCTGAAGGCCTCTCAGCGTGACACGCAAGCGAGACTGTTCTTGTCTGGCTAGCAAGCTGATCGCATGATATTCAGTATGATCCGGTTGGTGTTGCCGGTATTCTCAGACCATTTGAGAACATGCACCGATCAGCGAGGGAGACCAGCGTTTCTATTGAGGTGAATATGTTTCAATCAAAGGACAGCTTGTTGGGGGCCGGTACGGTGAGCATCGTACCGTAAGCGGAGCAAACAGTCATCCCGAACATCGGAGCCGAGGATCGTGCACCGGAGCGCCGCTCGCCTCGTTCGCCCATTTCGGCTCCATCGGCGACGGATCGGAGGGAGCCGTTGGCATGGAACAAGGCAGTATGGCCTTATGGTACGATGCATTTGTGTTATTCTTTGGCCGTTTGCCGATAAGGCTAGGTTTATGACCGGCTACTTTGGCCGATCTGGCCCTGCTATAACTGCATTCTGTTAGTGTCCGCGTAGTTAGTAGGGTAGTAAGTATCGGCTCATCCGATACGTCGACCGATTGCATCGGCTCTTATACCCAATTGTATCTCATATGAATCAAATGTTTGAAGACTCATAGCATTATATACTGTCCATTGTCCCTCATTATATATCGTGAGCGACGCGGTATAGGTGAGCGGAGTCATCGCCACGAAGCTGCATAGAAGATACGATATCGGTACACCTTCCGCCGTTTAGTGGAGAGTCGCAAACATGCCGGGCGAAAACGTCGTAGTCATCGGGTATTGACAATTTCACCTTGAAACCATGATGATAGAGCGGAAAACTAATTCATCTCAAGTGCTGGTGTCATCGGTCTTAGCTCAGCTATCAAGCTCCAGGAGCTGGGCTATCAAGTGACCATTGTCGCCAGGGACCTGCCCGGTCCGTTCGAGTCCGTTGATCCTAAGGGACAAATCAACTTCACCTCGCCATGGGGAGGAGCGCACAACCGCTGGGTTCCGCCTGCAGGAGGAGTGAACGATGTGCGAGATCACTGGTACTCGGTTGAGACCTTCCACGCCATGGCTGCGCTCGCCAAGGCTCACCCCGAGGCCGGTATCACGTTTCTGAAGGGAATCGAGTACCTTGAGAAGCCCGGCCCTGAGTACCAGGAGCTGACGGAGGAGAAGGCTAAAGAGCTACGTTTGATTGACTGGCGCCGTCTCAAACCTGAAGAGCTACCGCCTAAGGTCACCTGGGGTTGTGAATATAAGACGTGGTGCGTCAATCCGGCAGTATATTGCCCCTTTCTACTGCGGAGGTTCACCTTCAGAGGCGGCAAGACCGTGAAAAAGGAGATCCGGGAGCCCAAGGAGATATTCTCGATGAAGGACCTTCCGGTGTCGGGCGAGATCAGCTACGTGGTGAACTGTTCCGGCAATGGCTTTAGTGACGACAAAGTCTTCATCACACGGGGTGAGTGACATGAATTCTTTGACAACGGACAATTTTTAACTGGGCCATAGGTCAAACCTGCCTTGTAGCCAACACAGCAGATGCCACCGTCACGAGACAGAATGCTGATGGTAGCTGGACATTCAATGTGCCTCGATTTTTCGAGGGCGGCACCATCATTGGAGGCACTAAGGAGGTCGACAATTGGGACACCGAGCCATCTCTTGAACTCCGGGAGACGCTTCTGAAGAATTTCGCTGCTACGTACCCTAAGATACTGGGCGAGCACGGCAAGATGGTTCCAATCAAGGATATCGTTGGCAGAAGACCAACCCGACATGGCGGTGCAAGGATAGAAACAGAACTACTGAAGCTCGGATCGAGCTCGAAACCAAAGACCATTGTCCATGGATATGGACTTGGAGGACGAGGATATGAACTGTCATGGGGAGTGGCTAATGCTGTGGCGAAACTGGTTACCGAGGGAGGCTCAAAGGCGAAGCTATGAAAAGTGTGAAGATGTCAGAGACAGATACTTCACTTTGACGGATTGATGAGAGATACGCTACTATGAGCCTCTCCATCTGCTTTACATCTGTAGGCTTTATGAACGATGATCTGTATCGAATCAGTGTCTTCACCAAGGATACTCTCTCAATATAATACACTATCTCCAAACACCGCACTGCCGCAGTGTATCGAGGTGAAGAGACATCGAAGCGGAGAGAGAGCGAGTCCATAACCAAGCCTGAAATCCCGCTGTACACGATAAATTCAGTGTTTTCCAAACGCCCGTAAATGCATTATCTGAACAGTATAGCCATCGCCACACGGAGCACCCACCCATCATCTCTGCTCCGGCCCACCCTCGTCGGCCCTCCTCCTGTCCTTGGCCGCATACCCGCCCACCCTCTCCCCGCGCCGCAGCTTCTCCTCCTCGGCCCTCCGGCGCGCCTCGTCGCGCTCGCTCTCGGGTATGTTCCACCACTCGCGCAGCAGCTTCTGCTGCTCGAGCTTGCGGCGCTCCTTGGCCTCGCGCTGGTGCTGCCGCTCCAGCCGCTGCGCGAACCACTCCTCGCGCGCGGCGTCCTCCTCGGCGGGCGTCGCGTGCGCCTTCATGCAGCCGTTCATGGCCCGGTGCGTCTCGCGGCAGGCGAAGGGGACCGTGAAGGTGCGGCCGAGGGCGCAGTCGGCGAATGCTGTTGCGTTTGTCAATGACGAGCCACTCCGTTGCACGGTGCTCTGGGGGGTCGACGTGTAGGAGGCTGATGGGCCCAGTGAGCAGTTGGTTGACATACCCTTGATCTCGGCGGCGCAGTGCCTGCGCACCCTGTCGTAGAAGACGTCTCGGACCTGGGCCTCTTGTGACGCGGATAGCGGCAGCGGGTTGCGGGACGGCATGGGCAGGCCCTCGCTCGTGGCGCTGCCATTCGGCGGTTGTAGGGCCATTGCTGCCATCAACGTGGGTGGATACGGCGTTCGGCAGTTCCGGAGAGAGTTTTCCTCTCGCCAGAAGCACGTTTTGACGTGGATTGCCGGGATTGAGGTCGTTTGTGTTGTGTCGTGGAGGGTGGTTCAAATAATCGACTGACACTCTACAGCTCCATCTGCCGACGAGCTTCGGAGCTCCATAAGAAACAGACTCACCGCCTACCTCTTTCGCCTAACACTTTCTGGCCTAGCCATCCAGGGAGGGACCATTCACATGCAGTACGAGAGCCCACTTGTAGAATTTACGAGTCGACACGATCGGGATTATTGTCAGGCAAAAATGCATCATCATGAGCATCATTTGTGAGTGCTATGTCTTGCTAGCCTATGTATAAACGTAGAGCGGCTCTAGCATGCTGCGCAAGTATACAGTACTAAGTGCATGCTGTTCACGGACCGCCATGCTGGCACCCTCTGTTTGAGCGAGTATGGGCGTACAAGACCAAGACCGCTGAGGCAGACAATATGCCCCAAATCAAGAGTGTGCATGCTTTATTTAGCCCTTTCGTCCTCTGTTGTTACTTCGATCTCCGGCAACTTGTCCCTGTCAATGTCCAAGCTCTCCTTCTCCTTGCCCTTCTTCTTCATGGAAAAACGAGCACCCCAGTTAGCCATGCGGCTCTCTGGCTTGTCTTTGGACCTGCTGGGACCAAGAGAGGTACTAGGGCCAAGCGAAGGACTGCTTGTGACGCTATCGTAGCTTCGTCCCAAACCTGCCTCATCGCCCAAATCCTCAAGATCGCCAATGCTGGAACGCTCTGCCGACATGTTCTTATCCGAGTTCGTAGTGCTTCCTGGTCCCTTCTTGCCAAGTCTGGACGAGAAGCTGAACTTGCTCGAACTGCCCTTGCGGAACAGCTTGCGCACAACATTGTCTGGGTTCTCCTTGTTGAAGTTAGGGGCTAGGCCAGTGCTGGTCGGCTCGGATGGCGTATTGGAGATGGAGCGATCGAGGGTGAGAGATTCTCTAGACTCTGATACAGAAGTCTGAGTATGGACGGAGAAGGTATCCCTGGACATGCGCGAGTCCGATGGTGACTCATCAAGCGATGGAGTATCGGGGTTCGAGGTTGGGCCCTTGAGTTTATCCTTGGCATCCTTACTTCGTTCCTTAGACAAGCCCTTAGCCTCTTTGGATCTGGCCTTGTCCAAGATCTTTTCATCCTTCTCCTTATCTTTGTCGGTCTTAGGTCTGAATATATTGCCCATGAAAGACGGAGCGTTGGGATTAAGAGCTTTAGCCAGCGCTTTCTTAGACACCGGAGGCCGGCTGCCAATGACGCCTACTTGGGAGGGAGAGACCTGAGGATCAAGTAAGGCTTCTTCGTCGAGGATTTCGTCCTCCGCCGAGGCAAGAGTTGTCTTGAGAGCGGAGGGAGAGCCGTGTATCGAGGGTCGACGAGATGGATTTCTAGACCATCCGTTGTCCGGGGATCCAATTGGCCACATGCGACTCGACTTGCCAAAATCATGATGTGGTCCCCAGATTGAGCCACTGTCGGTGGAGGGTCTTGGCAACTCAGCAGACGCAATCGAAGCAGGGCGTGGGCTGCCAGGGTTTCGTTCGGCGAACACACCGCTCGTGCCTCGAGAACCAAAGGCTAACAGGTTCCTAGCAGAGAAACCTCTCGTTCCAGGCGCTGGATAAGTGTCAAGGGTATCAGGCCCAACCGAGTTTCTATTGAAAACGTTCCAGCTAGAAAGGCTGATCCTTCGCTTTGCGTCAGGCTCGTCAGTCTGCCTAGGAAATGACTGGCTCTGACCCGTCTTCAGGCTGCCAAGGGCAGGTCCTTCCTCTGGCACCTTGGCTGTCTTGCTTCGCTGGAACGAGAAGAGGCCAGTGAGTTTATTTGTAATTGGTTGACCAGGAGCCATGTTAGGCGACGAGAAGTTGCCCGTGAAGGAGTTCAGCGATCTTCTCTCGCTGTTGTCGCTGGTTAATTGAGGGAAAGGGAGATTCTGAGTCGAGCCATGAGGACTGGAGAAGACACCAATTGACCGATGAGATGATGCTGGGGACTGCGGGTCGCGTTCGGGAGACGCTGGCTGAGCAGCCTCAAAGGGGCTCTGCCTAGAGAGATGAGATGTTGGACTCGGCGGATCGTCATCTAGATCCGCAAAGATATCTTTGGGAAGAAGAGCCGTAGCCGAGGGACTAAGAGGAGCACCAGCAGTCAGTGCTTGGATGGCCGCCTCATCGAGACCGTCAGGCATATCTGCGGAAAAGTCCATGAAAGGACCTTGCGCAAAACCAGGAGGGACTCGGGCAGTACTGAAACCAGTTGACTGAGCTACTGATGCATCTGCGGTCGTGGAGAATGGCAGAGCGGGGGATGGTGCCATATTCGAAAACGAATTGCTGTTCCTGCTCCGCCGTTTGAGTTGCGTGGTGTTGTCGAAATCCACATTTGAGCTGTTTGCCTGATTGTAGAAGGCATAGCTCGCTTGTGGGATCTGTTGAAGCTGGTTTTCCAGGATATGGAGGTTGTCGTCCAGATATTTGGCCCGTCGACCCTCTTGGAAGAGCTTAAGCTGCCACTCGCGCTCTCGACGTTGATGATCACGGCGCAGCTCCACTATCTGCTCTCGCCATTCCGCATCATCATCACCACCTGGAAGCTTCTTCCTATCGTCTTCCAGTTGTTTGACCTGCTCCCTCTTCTCCTTCAACTCTGCCTCTAAGCGAGAGCACTCTTGTTGTAGACTTTCGTTGCCTTCTCGGAGGCACTGTTTCTTCTCGTTACCTCCGTCCTCCAAGGACTTTCTTTGCTCTAGGAAGGACTCTTGCTCCTTGCGCCAACCCGCGATTTGTTTCTCCCACTTTACCATGTTATCGTGATATCGGGCTCTATCGGCCTGTTTTGACTTAAGTTCTTTCTCCTTTTGTGCTTTTCGTTGTAGTGTTGAGCGCATCGCTCGGTCGGTTGCGCCAAGTTCTCTCTTCAGTTTTTCTGTCTGCTCCTCTTTCTTCTTCTGATCTGCTTTCTTCAGTTTCTTGTCCTGCTCCAGCTCGTCCAGTAATTTTTTGTTCTCCTCTTCCTCTCTCGCTATAAGAGCCGCGGTTTCCTCGGCCTCCTTGCGAATGGCGTCGAACTTTTCTCCAAGCTCCCGTATCTCGGCCTCGGACTGTCCTGTGCTGTCTTTTCGCGCCGACTTGTGGTCCATGCTGCCCGTGGAAGGCGAGTGTTTCCTACCTATGGTATTTCTGCGAGGACCGGCTCCCGACGAACTTGTCTCCCGAGGCAGCGAGGGCGCGCCGTCGGGAATCGTAGCTGTCTCGATGGACGGAATAGGACTTCGGGGACCGCCATTCTCATCGCCATGGTCGCCATGCGCCGAGGAAGGCGGGTCTTCCGGCTCGAAGTTGGGAGGCAAGCGCGCGTTGCCTAGCTGTGGTCGTCCATCTCGCCCGAAGGTTCGCAGGCGGATCACCCGACTGCCGGCTTGGAAGTTGTTCGACCCGACCGCGATGACGCGAACGTTGTAGAAGTGGTTCGGCTTGAGACCCGTTACCGTGATCGCCGTCTCTTGGTTTGCCGGCGACTCGCCCACTTTTAGTCACGATTAGAGTTTGTCCCTCCCAGTCTCAGTCGTCAGTCCAGGGGATGGGGATTCATGCTCACCAACTACGCCATTGACTTGGATCAGGAACTTCTGCACCGGCTTGTTTGGCTGCGGTCGAGCCCAGTTGACAGTCGCCTTGTCCACGCCTATGCCGGCCAGCATGACATCCGGGGCGTCAGGCACATCGACACCGAGGATGTTGATGAGTTCGGGGACGGGTTTCCATAGCGTCTGCACTGCTCTCCGCAGCAACCTGGTTCAGGGCGAGTCTGGTCAGCCAAAGAAGGTTCCTGCCGCACGGGCGGGGTGGGCAGCCCGGGGTAAGAGAGCAAGCATCACAAGGGGCGGGACGGCGACATACCATACGACAGCGGCACCGGTTAGAAGCATGGTGGCATTATCAGCTACAAAAGTATCGAGGCTTGACTGAGTGATCGTGGTCATGCAGTAGGCGTAGATGTTGGCGGACACCTCGCGGGCCAATCCGGGAGCGACGGCCCAGAAGAAGAGGCCAAAGCCGATGGAGACGATGAGGTTGAGGTGGGCGGTCTTGGGCTCAGTAAACCACCAGGCGAGGGCGGCACAGACGACTAGAACGGTTGGAAGCAGCGTCTGCGATGAGGGCCATGACATATCGGTGTGGTGCGACGACGACAGGAAAAGGAAAAGGAACGTCGACGGACGAGGCGGCCGTCGGGATGGAGCGCCGTGGCCGGGTCAGTCGTGGTGGTGAAGTGTCGTGCAGACATAAAAGGGGTTCAAGGGTAGGGCAGGCAAGGAAAATGGAGAAAATGGGAAAATAATGATAAGAGGTTGGAAAAAGAGTCTTTTCCTCCACACCTCCACAGTAAGAAAGAGTAGTAGTAGTATCTGTGATGCAGCCAAGGGAGGGGACTCGGGATTGAGGAGTGGGTGGGTGATGGATTGTGTGACTGACTAGCTAGGGCCCGTCCGACATGTGTGAAGTGTGCTGCTTGCTGTAAGGTTAGGATTTAGACCGTGGAGGCAAGCAAAAGACTACCTATAGGCATGGGATCATCGGTAGATGCAGAATTCAGCAGGCACAGGCATGCACATGCACACACAAGCACGCACGCACCAAGAAAGCCTTACTACTATGCAGTCCCTTCCCTTCCCTTAGTCAATCAAGCAGGGCACTTGTTGTCAAAGGCCTGGGGCAAGCTCGAGGCAAGGAAAGCAAGGCCTAAGACAAGACAGGGCAGTAAAAGGCGACACTAATAAGACCAGGTCATGTCAGACACCGGCAAAGCACATTTACACACTTAAAATGGGGCTATAACTTAATGGCAGGCAGGGCATTATTATCTATGGACGCTAAGTTAGCTTAGCTCTGTTTTTTTTTCCCTGCGCCCACCCGTCCGTCGTCTTGCCGTCGTCGGCTTCGGCTTGCAGAAGGGGATTCTGCTCAGGTAAAGGCAGGCTTACAGTACATGTGGTGTACCGAGGGCCATTGATGCAACCTGCAATCTGGACCTTTGGAGGAGGAGGAGATGAACAAGGCAGACACATTATTAGTAAGTCAACTCACAAATCACTGTACATGTATGAGGCAAGGTGACCTTGATCTATTTGTTTCGGTAGCTTTGACGGCTCAAGAGTATTTGGTCAGCTCTGTCATGGAATCCTCGCTGAAGAGTACATTCTGCTTTGCTTGGCGTACGGTAAGTTGAGCCGCCTTCTCCGCGCGCGATCTCTCTCGGCAGTGGAGGAGAAGTGTGCCAGCGGAAAATAACACAGAGCCAATGGACGCTGACTGGTTGTCGATTCAAAATGCCACTCCCGTCTCTTCAGATTCTGCAAGTTCCAACCGGCCTAGTACGATACAAGCTACCGCAAAACACCCACTCGGACAAGCATGTGTGGGCATCCCCCAGCAGTCCAGTGTACTTGGCAGCAATACTACAGTAGTAAGAAGAGGCACATCTCCCTCTCCCCAGCCCATCAGCACATGTCGACAACGCAGTCTTATCCTACAATGGCGATAAATTAGCTCGAGGGAGGCATGGGGTCCTGCAAGCTGAGGAGCTGATCGACACTGCAAGTGGAGAGGGATTCCACTCAACATGCCCAATCACTCACACCGCATCGCTCTGCATAGCACCATTGCAGTAGCCCGAGTATAAGCCGCCCCATCTCACTGGCAAGCAATGGTACCAGTGGTGCCAGTGGTGCCAGTGGTGCCACTGAGAGACGCCTCTGCCGCACCTCCCGACAACGGTGATCTACCGGTCCACGAGCTTATTGGCTGCTTCGGTACTTCCTATTCGGTGACCTTCTCTCAAGAGCCGACAGAGTGGTGATGCCACGACCGCTAGGTTCTGGATCTCGCGGAGCTGTTTGTCATCCTCAGTGGGGTGGTTGTTACGATGAACTACAACTGTTGGCTCTCCCATGTTGATGTTGAGGTGAACGATCAAATCATCGCAAGACTCATGATTTGTCCACCAACGTAGGAATGGGAGACGGAGCAGAAGGTTCAGATTCGATGATATAGAATCCCAACTCTGGCATCTGAGGCTTGAATGGGCCCCTCATCAGAAGGCAATGCGTGACTGTTGGTACCTACCTACGTACCTAACTCTTCTCCCTCCAGAAGGACTAAAATTGCAGTGAAAATACCCCGCCTGTATACCAATCTCATACGGTCTCTTTCCAAAAGCCAGGCTCCGTCATTGCGGCCTACTCCAGCCTCCATCCGATATCCTCCCTTAAAAGAGCCAAAATCGCAGTGAAATCGTGGCACCCTGTCAATTTTCGCCTTCGTTGTTGCTTTGGATTATCCTCTTGTTTATGTAGATGACCTGATAACCTTCAACATCAGATGTCGGGCTTCTCAGTTTGTTTCTAGAGTCGCACTCGTTGCACTTTGACCTGCCTAGCCCTAAATGAAAGATAGGTATGGTAGTTGTATGCACGTAGGTCAACGCTCCATCCTGGCAAGTGTAAGACTGCGATTGCAAGCATTGCTCAACAAATTAAGAACAAACACTACATTCCTGCGGGCAAAACCGTCGGTTTGGCAAGTAAGACAGCTATATATCAATACCTTATCATCTATGAGTTTGACAATAAAAGTAGAGTGAACCATCGAACTTTGCCACCTAGCGGCCACTATTATGTTTTACAGTTGTCTGCTGGGGGGTTTCGCTTCTAGAAGACTTTCCGATGCACCAACGCAATGCTCAACCTCACATTAGCTCAGTGAGACATCATCAGTACAACCTGGATGAATATGGTGCCAATTGTTTGCTCTGTAGTTGGCTAGGAAGCGATTGTGTAGGTATCTAATCATTTCCCAAATTCGCCATCGGCTGAACGTCTCTTTGGCAGAGCTCTCCGAGACGAGTCAGCAAGCCAACAGCCTCATCGGCAGAATATCATAACAGAGTGTAACAAAGTGAAATGACGTACTTGGGGAATAGACGAAGCTCCAAATTGAGCTTACCTAGGTACAGTACAGACAGGGGGTTGAGATGCTTTGCTTGCTACGATACCTGTGTTTTAGCAGGAGGGGCAGCTCCGGGGCGCTAGAACAGGCACTCATGTGATAGATACCTACCTAGGTAGTCTATAGGGTATTGAGGTTGCTGAGGTACCTACCTAAGGTGCCTACCGAGGCGGCTGACCCAACGTTGGGGCAGGTCATTCGGCCGGGCCTCGTCACTCACTCACTCACTCCCTGCCGCAGACAGGCGGCTCACCTCGGCCCACCAGCCAGTCCTCAACCTGTCAGTCAGTCACTCTCCAGCATTCTTCCCGCCCGCCTTCAACGCAAAAGCAATACATTCAGAGCAGACCTGCTCGTCGTCATAACACATACTACGTTCCCCTCGACTGCATCAACGCCTGCGACCTTCATCTTTTTCATGTTCTGCAGCTTCTTGTAGCCGAGTTGTGCCTGATTTGCTCTTTCTTGACTATATTACAGCCATCCTATCATAAGATCAACTACGTAATAGCTCCGTCCCGACCATCCAGTCGCTCATTCGCCCCAATCCAACAGACGCCTCGCCGCCGCATCTCACCCATTTCCTTCCTTCGGCATACCCCAACATTCCGACCTCAACCTCAATCCTGCGACTTGAACCATATTGCTCTCTCGAAATACCGTCTCTTGCCTCTTGCGTGCCGGAACCTCGAAACTCCTTGACCTGGGCCTGGCCCACCGAGAGAACACTTGACAGCCTCTCTGCTGGATCGAGCCCATTCTGTCTACAATGGACTACATCAGGAATCTTTCGGGTACCGTGTCGACAGCATGGAACTCAATCAACCCGTCCACGTTGAGCGGCGCCATTGATGTTTGTGTCCCTGTCGTCCTAAATGGAAGAATAGCTCTAACTCTCGTCAGGTCATCGTTGTAGAGCAAGAGGACGGCACACTGTCCTGTTCGCCCTTCCACGTCCGGTTCGGCAAGTTCTCACTGTTGCGGCCATACGAGAAGAAGGTCGAGTTTAAGGTCAATGGAGTTAAGCAGGACTATGCTATGAAGCTCGCCGAGGGTGGCGAGGCGTTCTTCGTGTTCGAGACGAGCGACACTATTCCCAAGAGTTTACAGACCTCTCCACTTGTGTCACCAGCGTCGAGCCCTCCACTAGATCCCGAACCGTCGAATGCACCAGGTCTGCAGGAGCCGCCGCTTCTTGCGCTTGATGGAGAAACCGGAAAGCCTCGTTCCGCAAGCCTCCATCGCCCTCCTCCTGCCGTCATCTATTCCAGCTCTGCGCCACGCGAAAATGGTGAGTTTTGTATACGATCTCTCTTATCCAAATATAGACCATGATCTAATAAGTACTAGGAATGCTCAACCCGCTGCTAACCTCTCCAGAACTCTCTAACGGAAGGCCGATGTCAGGAGACTGGGCTGGGTTCGCTCTTCGACCACACAGCGATGACATTCTGCGACAGACAGCACGGAAACAGAGCATTTCGGATATCTCAGCAGAGGAGGGCGATAGCCCCCTCGCTTCGGGCAGATCACAGAGCCCTCCCCCACTGCTACCTAAGGAAGCTCTGGAGAGGGCAATGAACCTGTCACGAGGGCTCCAGAACGTAAACATTCCAACACGTGTGACAGACACTGGTGACTTGATGCTGGATATGACTGGATTCAAAAACAACGAAGAAGACGCCCTCCGTGCGGAGATTCTAGCGCGAAAAGTCCTGTCCGAGGAACTAGAAGGCAACTACGACATTGGCGCTCTGTTTGGAATTGATGAGCACGGCAACCTCTGGATCTATAGTAGCGAGGAGGCAAAGGATGCCGCTATGAAAAAGACCATGGAATCCTCACTTCGAAGCAGTGGTGGCGTGGACATCGACGCTGTGTCCGATCCTGGCTATCACAGTGATGATAGCAACGGAACTGCATCCCCATTTCCTTCGCATAGGAGATCAGAGTCAGATGTTGGCCAAATGAGCATCCAGACACCACCGACTTCACCGGGGTCTAGCAAGACTGGTGGTGATCCCAATGTCAACTACGCCAAGACCTTGCGCTTGACTAGCGACCAGCTCAAGGCTCTAAACCTAAAGCCCGGCGAGAATTCGATGAGCTTCACTGTCAATAGGGCAACCTGCCATGCCTTCATGTTCCTTTGGAGACACGAGACACCGGTGGTGATCTCAGATATTGACGGCACTGTCACCAAGTCTGACGCTTTGGGCCACGTGTTGAGCATGATCGGCCGTGACTGGACACACGCTGGGGTTGCAAAGCTGTACAGCGATATCTGTGCCAATGGCTACAATATCATGTACCTGACAAGTCGATCAGTCGGACAGGCTGATTTCACCAGGGCGTATCTCGCTGGCATCGTACAGGATGGATATCGTCTTCCACGAGGACCCACTATCTTATCCCCGGATAGAACTATGGCTGCTTTGAGGCGAGAGATATATCTGCGCAAACCCCATATCTTCAAGATGGCAACACTGAGAGACATTCGCAATCTCTATGGATCAGACCACCACCCATTCTACGCTGGTTTTGGAAACCGTCTTACAGACCAGATCTCCTACCGTACTGTCGACGTCCCACGTACTCGCATCTTTACTATCAACTCGAACGCAGAAGTCTCTCTTGACCTCCTGAGTCTGAACAAGCTAAAGTTGAGCTACGTTAACATGACTGAGGTTGTGGACCACTATTTTCCTCCTGTTTCGACTCTCGTTAAGGGCGGCGGAGAGGAGTATACGGACTTCACTTACTGGCGTGATACACCTTTGGACCTGGATGATTTCTCTGCCAGCGACTCGGAAGGCGAGGATGATGCAGCCCCTGGTGCGGACCACGAGAGCCAGTATGCAGAGGATGAAGAAGACGAGGAGTTGGGCGAAGGCCTCGGCGATAGTTTCATCTCACGAGACTCTATTGACGAAGGGGCGTATGAAGAGGGAAGTGTCCTTAGCGGTGACTATGAAGGTGAAGAGCAAATGATGGGTTCTATCATTGAAGACGATGACGCAGACAACGAGGAAGAATACGAGGAGGAAGAGGAAGACGAGGGTGAGGAGCAAGATCACACACAGCTGGTGGTCCCTGAAAAGCGAGAGCGACCTAAGACACCAGTCTCTCCAAGGATCGCTGTGCAGGACCTCGATGCCGAGATAATCACGGGCATGAAGAACATGGCTGTTGAGAAGGATTTTAAGCTAGAGGAGATCAAGCAATGAAGCTGGTCGGGGTCAAAAGTTCAACAATGTGGCTGGAGTATTCGGTGTACATCCGGCGGAGAGGATGGCATATTGCATGTTATGGATACCACCGGGCATAATCTGGATTAGGAGTTTGGTCTGCCATTCATATTGCATAGCATAGCGTCAGTTTTTATCGCTTTGTAATAAAAGTACAGTGATACTGCTATACAAGTGGCTTGATGATGTTCCGTGATAGTCGAGTCCCTTAATTCTGGCCTGAAATGACTCTGGATGTCTTTTTTAGCCTTAAGACGCCTTAACGCCTTGTCATTCGATAAAAGATGCTTCCATGCCCGTCGTCCGCGCTTTAATTGCTTCACTCCTCTGCCATGACCTCATCCTCCATCTCCTCGCCAAACATATCCTCCATCGTGCCCCCTTCCACGCCGTCGCCGCCCACGTCTTCGGCGTCGGGTTGCTTGTCTCCCCCCTCTATGCCCTCCATGGCATCCTCCATGGCCACATCCCCATCGCCCTCTTCGTCATCGCTGTCGTCCTCCTGCCCCGCCCATACATCCCGCAGGCCCCAGCCCGCGCCGCTGAGAACGAAGCGCTCGCTCGGCAGCCGCACACCCCACTCGCTCGGCGCCACGCGCGGTAGCGCTATGCGGTTTCGCTCATCTGCCACCTTCTGCAGATAATCCTTGGAGGCGCCGCCTCCGCCGGTAGCACCCCCGCCTCCCCTGAACTGGTACGCCAGCCGCGCCTGGATCGCAAGCTGGATGGCGTTCGCCGAGACGGTGGCATCGCCGCCACTCGCCGGTACTGATGCCGTGCCGCCCGCCGTGGCAGACGGCCGGCTGCCAGCGTGCGAGGTGTAGGGGTCGGCGGAGAGGTGCAGTGCGTCAGAGAGCACGCTCGAGGTGTGGCGGTAGGCGAAGTCGAGGAGCAGCAGCGGCACGCGCGCCTCGAAGGCCGTCACGCCTTGCGCCGTCAGCAGCAGCTCGAGCGTCCGCTGGTCGCGCGGCCGCGGCGCCGCGGCGGTGGGCGAGGTCGGCGCGCCCGGCGGCTGTGATTGGGATTGTGAAGTCTGCGTCGGCTGCTGGGAGGTGCCCTGGCTCATCTGCGGTTGCGACTGCGTGCCAACAACGGTCTGGGAGTTGCTTCCGGCGGACGAGGCTGGAATTCCGTTCGTTTGGGGAACGGCTGATGTGGTAGCCATTGTGATCGAGGTATGAAAACGGTCAAGGATGAGTTCGGGTTGACAACGGCGGAGAATCCGTCAGTCGTCCGCGCGAGGCGGCGCGCAGGAGAAGCCTCGGTGGGTATACGGCTCGCGAATTGAACGGCGCGCAAGATCCTCAGTCCAGATCCGCGGCGATTGTATGACCACTAGACGGTCTTGTGCGCAGAATATTGCAACCGAGCGCGCATTCGCCGTATTGTAATCTAAACGGCTTCGGCGCTTTGACGGTGATGGAGTTCTGATATTGAGGTCGGCAGGCTAAGCTACCCTTGACTTGCGAGTCGCTGCTCTGAAGTCCGGAGGCTGAAATAATCCGAGTCCAGGAACAATTTCTAGCGCACGAGCCACACCTTAAAGACCGGGACCCCCTGCAAGGTTACTGAATGTCGAGGTAATGAGGGGCAGCTGTATGGCAGTCTTTTCGCAGGTGTTGCCCCACTACTGACGACAATGCCGATGCAGGAGAGGCTCTTTAGTATGCTATTTTTTTCTGGCCGATAGTGCGACTCATGGGCCGATATCACCAGATTGGATGACTCTTACTGGCAAGTTTTATATGCTCGCTTGATACTCCCCTCAAAAACTTGCAATTGACTTTCCATATCCAAATCACTTCGCCATGGAGTCGACGCTGCCGCTCCCATTTGTCGTCAGTGTGCCTATCGGGAGTGAGAAGGAGGGGCTCAGCATTGAGGAATTGAGATGCTTGGGAGTCGTCTTCTTCGAGGCCACTCCAAGCAATGTGAAGGAGATCCAGAAACTCCTCAAGGAGAACAGTTTTGAAGCATACGTCGACGCTACAAGACTACAATCTCAGGAGGATGTTCTCTCACTCTTGGATGGTGGGGTACGAAAAGCTTTCGTTAAGCTGGAGCAGCTATCAGAGTACACCGAGTATGGCTCAAGGATAGCGCCAGCCGTGACGAAGACGAATCAACTGGACGCTGCATCTGAACATGGCTTGCTCATTTCTGACTTTGATCAAACTTCATGCGATGTCAAGAGCTTCATTGAGAGTTCCAAGACGAAGAAAGTCTCGCCACTCTTCATCAAGCCAGCTTCAGGATCCAAAAACCTGGACCATTTCGTCGATATTGCGGGTCAATTCTCTGCCATTCCTATATTGCCCTCAACGGGTTTGACTACGGCTAAGGAGGCTGGCGACAAGCTCCCCATTTCCAAGCTTCTGTCTTTAACATGGAGTTCAGACCGAGCAGATAAGCTCATTCCTACCGTTGTATGTGACGAGAGAGGTGTTGCGCTCGGACTCGTCTACAGCAGCGAAGAGAGCGTAGCAGAATCTCTCAGGACAAAGACTGGAGTCTACCAGAGCCGCAAACGAGGACTGTGGTATAAGGGGGCAACCTCGGGTGACACCCAGCAGCTCATCCGTATATCACTGGACTGCGATAATGATGCATTGAAGTTTGTAGTAAAGCAGAAGGGGCGATTCTGTCACCTGGAGCAGTCTGGATGTTTTGGCGACCTAGATGGTATCTCCAAGCTAGAGCAGACTCTTCAATCCAGGCAACAGTCAGCACCACAAGGCTCATACACGGCACGCCTGTTTTCGGACGAGAAGCTTCTGCGAGCTAAGATCATGGAAGAGGCCGAGGAGCTTTGTGATGCGAAGACCGCAGAAGACGTTGCCTTTGAGGCTGCTGATCTAATTTACTTTGCACTAACCAAAGCGGTAGGTGCGGGAGTCAGTCTACGGGATATTGAGAATAGTCTTGATGCCAAGAGCTGGAAGGTCAAGAGGCGAGCCGGTGATGCCAAAGGAAAGTGGGCAGAGAAGGAAGGCATCAAGCCTACCAATGGCACCGCAGCAGCCCCAGCCCCAGCTCCAGTTCCAGCTCCTACGACCTCTGATAAAATTACAATGAAGCGTTACGATCATTCCAAGGTCACCGAAGCAGAACTTCAAGACGCTCTAGCCCGGCCATCACAGAAATCTTCCGAGGCGATCATGAAGATTGTGGTGCCGATTATTGACGATGTGAAGAAGAACGGAGACAAAGCGCTTTTGTCCTATACTCATAAATTTGAAAAGGCAACTTCTCTGACTTCACCTGTACTCAAGGCGCCATTCCCCGAATCCCTGATGCAACTACCCGCGGAGACTATCAAGGCGATTGACATCTCGTACGAGAATATCTGGAAGTTCCACGCTGCACAAAAGGAAGATAAGCCCCTGAAGGTGGAGACTATGCCCGGTGTGGTCTGCAGTCGCTTCGTGAGACCGATCGAAAGAGTCGGTCTCTATGTGCCTGGTGGCACCGCAGTTCTCCCCAGCACAGCTCTGATGTTGGGTGTTCCGGCCAAGGTTGCTGGTTGCAAGAAGATTGTGCTTGCTTCACCACCTCGAGCAGATGGAAGCATCACCCCCGAGATTGTCTACGTAGCCCACAAGGTCGGTGCTGAAAGCATAGTTCTCGCCGGCGGTGCGCAAGGTGTCGCAGCTATGGCTTATGGCACAGAGAGCGTCAGCAAGGTTGACAAGATCCTTGGTCCTGGCAACCAATTCGTTACAGCCGCAAAGATGTATGTCAGCAACGACACGAATGCTGGGGTGAGCATCGACATGCCCGCAGGTCCCTCAGAAGTGCTGGTTGTTGCAGATAAAGATGCCAACCCGGCCTTCGTCGCCTCCGACCTTCTATCACAAGCAGAGCACGGTGTAGATAGCCAGGTGGTCCTCATTGCTGTCGATCTGAACGAGCAAGAGCTCCAGGCGATTGAGGATGAGTTGCACGAGCAGGCCATGGCATTGCCGAGAGTAGACATCGTCCGCGGCTCGATTGCTCACTCGATCACGATCCAAGTCAAGACTGTGGATGAGGCTATGAGAGTTAGCAACGAATACGCTCCTGAACACTTGATTCTTCAGCTTAAGGATGCTGAGGCTGCTGCTGAGAAGGTCATGAACGCTGGCAGTGTGTTCATTGGCCAGTGGACTCCAGAAAGTGTCGGTGATTACTCTGCTGGAGTAAATCATTCCCTACGTAAGTTTTTTTTTGGTCTTTGCATCCAGAAGCTTCTCTAATATCTGTCTTTCAGCAACCTACGGATACGCCAAACAGTATTCAGGAGTGAACTTGGGTTCATTCGTCAAACACATCACAAGTTCGAACCTGACGGCGGAAGGTTTGCGCAATGTTGGCCAGGCGGTCATGCAGCTAGCAAAGGTAGAGGAGCTCGAAGCTCACAGAAGAGCTGTGGGCATTCGGATTGATCACATGAATAGATAATTAGGCTTATTTAGGACGACATAAAAATCGCAAGAGCTTCTCGACCATATAGACTATAAAACCTTTGTGATGTGTGTGCCCTATGGACCTTTTTGGCTATTCTGCCCCCAACAACTTCTAGCTTGGTTGGTCATGAAGTCCTCTTGACGATTCTGTTTCAACTCAAGTTCTCGCTACATGCGATTTCTGGTTGCACTATCATATAATTATATCAGCGGAGTGAATTGATCTTCCTTGGCTCTCAAAATACAGATCTCCATTAAGCCATTCCCATTTAAATTACGGCGGCCCGGTGTGCCCATTCGTTACAACATTTGGGGCACCATTCAGGAGAGGCGCATCAACACGCATGGCTTTCACAGCCTCTGTGAATCGCCTGCGGATGAATCGCTGATACCACCAGCCGACATAGCAATTAAGAGCCATAAAGACAGACGCAGTTGCGCCCATCCAGATCCAATAGTCGCTCGAGTCGCGAGCGTTCTGTGTGTCTGAAGCCAGCTGTACAGATGGGTTGATCCCCGAAAGATTATGCCAAGCCGATGCGGTCGTGTAGCAGATGCAATTGCGATATACCCCGACGATCTGCATTGTAGTGCCTCCGACTGCTGCTATCAGGGAGCCAAGCCAGAATATGGCTGAGCAGGTGCAAAATGTCCACTTTCTGCGGAAGCAGTACCCTCCATTGCGAAGGGTGGCGATGATCGTAATCGCAACCTGACAGGACGCATAAATGATGAAGCTGAGAGATCTGCATGCAATCCCACGCGGCGGAGTAAAGTAAGCAACAACACCTCCAGTCGCTGGTGGGAGGACGATCAGAACGAACGCAGGAGCAAACACTTTCAGGAGCCAGCCGATCCAAGTTATTGTCATAACTTCTCGGAATTTTCTCTGCTCGTCAGTGGGCTGGGCACTGTCTCCCCACGCCATTGTTCCTTTTACACAGGCCAATTTATTCGTTCCACGGCTCCAAAGGGTAACGGGTTGGAATTCGGTGCCATAGGTATCACTCCATCCTAGAACTTTGTGCAGGAACCAACTATGGCCACGTTTTTTCTCATCTACAGCTTGTGTTATATGACTGGGTGGCTGTCTAGAACCATTCATTTGTGTGAGCGGAATCGATTGCCCATTGGCGTTTGATTGTGTAGGGCCGCTCGGTGGTATAAGAAGGGTAGGAGCCCTTGGCGGCTGATGCTTGTCTTTCAAGGCTTCATGATCGGCTCCGACAATTCCAGCGGATGTACTCGGGTTGTTGCTTGCTAGAAGACAGCCGCTAATGATGGCTACATGGACAATGATCATCCATTCGATCCCAAAGCCAAGTGATATCGCAGCATCCTGGCTGCTAGGGTTGTTACGGAGATCCAGAATCGTGTAGACGAATGCTCCAAGGTAGAAGAGTACTGGCGATCCAACGGCAGACCCGAAACTCGACTGTGCGCCCAGCAAATTGAGAAGGCGTGCTCTGGCCTTCTCATTGCCCTCTTTTGGTTCAAGGTCATTTGGAATACTGATAGCCTCAAGAATGACTTTATGAGGTTTCGGATCACTTTTGCAGTCTAAGTTTCCAGTTGGTATGGAGACGAGCAATTCCTGCTTGAGCTTTCTGTATTCATCTTCACTCATCTGCCCCTCTGCCAACCCTTTGACATATCTGACGATGCGGTAGTCCAGGTGAGCTTCATAAAGCCCACCAACAATCATGTTGCCGGCTGTGACCACAATGGTGAAGATCCAGATCAATGTGTCGAAGAACACCGGGATCAAGATGACAGCAAACAAGACGAGTGAGATGCTCAGCTCCAAGAAGCTGTTTATCCACAGCAATGGCCTGTGTTTGAACAGACTGATGTTCCAGTCGAACAAGTAGTCATATTCAATCTTCTTCCTCCGGGGTATAGTCATGCTGAAGATGACGGAGGGCAGAATGAACTGCACAATCGGCGCAGCCCATTCGCTTGGCTCGTCGGCTTTCGACAGGCCCATTCCTGAACAATTAGCCCGGCAATATCGATAGGACACGCTCAAAGGTGTAGCCGGGTCCAGGTTGTCGCTGTATCTCTGGCCACATATTTGCTTTTCCAGTGGTACGGTTGGGTTAATGAATACGCCTTCTTTCTTGGCCTTCTCGCAGCATATCTGGCCGTCATATGCACGTGTGAATGGTGGATGAAGGCCGAGTAAGAGCGCAAATAAAACGAATTTGACCATTTTGTAAGTCTACACTGGGGTATAAGAGACTTGCTTGGAATACCAAATCTCGGCCGCCTTCACAATACTCACAACTTGGATTCCTGGATAATAAACTGCTGGAGTCATATAGATAAAGCAGAACAAGCAAGCGAAGAAACAAAGCAGTCGCTCGTGTATCATCATTTATATAAAATATCGGCTATCATCAGCTCATGACGATGGACAAGGCTGCGACCGCCCTCATTTCTTTTCGACAGCTTCATGGCTTGGACGGCGGGCGAGGTTCCCAAATAGGCTTGAAATCCCACGTAGTACAAATTGAGGCTGAACAACATAATGCAGGTGATAGCAGTAAATGACCCTGCATTCGAAGATAAAGACGCGTGGCGTCGGACAATGGACATTCGAAGCAAACAATGCTTGACGGCACATCCAGGCCATTGGCTAGATATCATTGAAGTTCTGCTGAATCCATTAAGCCAGCGCGTAGCATTTGGGCACGAAGCATAGACAGCCAGTGGACAAGAACGCCATCAAGGCTGTCAGTTTTGGAATCGTTTCATTCCGTGCAGCTGAACCGACCGTCAATAATTATGCGGGCGCACATTTCAGCTCAAGCCGCCAGAACCAACACGCTCTCTCGCGGTCCTGTCAGGGGGTGAAAAGACAAGAACTGAGGTGTCCGGTTGATTCTCGTGCACAACTCTCGAGTGCGTCGGATCGAACGGTGTTTGGAAGGATGCAGCCAGGTAATTTACCTTAGATATGCGGGGAGTTTCGGGTCGGACCTGACATCATGCCATCCACTAACACGCAATCTCCAAAGCTTCAGCCTGATGTGCTCACTCAAATAAATACAGGATCAGCACCGTTCAGATTCGGTTTATCGATGATCAAGCACGTTTGAAGCAGCATCTTGTCTATCGAATTCAAGTAGTCCAATAATTTTGTAGCATATAAGGAATATGTCTCTGACGACCAAGCTTGCGGGCCTCAATGCGCAAGTCCGGAGCCACCCCGGACTTACAACCGCCGCTCTCGCCGCAGCTATCGGCCTCGTGCCCGCGGTGTCCTATGCAGCGCAGTCTTATCGCGGATGGCTGGCGCTGGGGCGCGGCGGTGTGCCTTACAACATCTTCGGCTGGGCGGCACAAGGACTGCTGCAACTAATCGCCCGTCATGATGTTCGCGACCCAGCCCCGTTCACTCGGGCAGATCTTCAGCCCAAGTACGGACCTCAAGGAAACGTTGGCTTCTTAGATGCTTCGGCTTCATCTTCACCACTGGCACAGCGAAATGGCAACCGTCCAGATGTTCCCAGCTACGTGGCCCCACAGCGGCAGATGAATGAGCAAGGTTCAGCAGAGATGCAAGGAAAGATGCGAGTCTTCCTGGAGGAAGTGGTTTCAGCGAACTCAGATACGGTGGTGCTCAAGTCATCGGGACTGGAGGGCAAAGGAACTCCGGCAATCTTCCTGGCAGAGAGTGTCACGTTGCCCCCGTTGCTGAAGCGGACCAAGGGCGAGGTCGTGCACATTCATCCCGAGAGCAGCTCGCATGTCGTGCTCAGCCTGGCGGATGCAGAAGACGCGGTGCGGAAAGGGTGGGCAGAGCGACATCCGCTGAGCGGCGTCGTCTTTCCATGGACCTATGTCATGGTTTATGCACCTAGAGACGAGGAGGAGTTTGCCGTGTGGAAACGGTTCATCAAGGCGTCACTAGGGTTCATCGCTGCGACCAGTAGCGCAGTGATCAAGGTGGCAGATGAGTAAGATCAATGGGGACTTGTCGATGGTGGTCGGGCCGAGCTAAGGTGTAACTTGGGTGAGCACGATGTCCGACTAGCACGGGCAACGATCGATCATGGCTGGGAATGGACATACCCCCGACTCTTTTTTCGGCGTTTTGGCATCTTTTGGCATTCTCTCATTTTCTCCATGCGCATCAATCTGCCCTTTATGCACATACATGACACTGCCCTTGGAGCAGCAATACTTGCTGCGGTAGTGTGAGTTGGCAGAGGCAGTAAGGGCTGCAGTTGCAATCGCCCTTAGACTTAAGCTCTCTTCACAATCTCATCTCTGATACTCCACGGACCTTGAGGTCCAAAAAGCACCGCTAGAGCGAAAGGCCCATACAGTATCACCGCTGGTTCTAAAAATAAAATTTAACTTATCTGGCGTGCGTCGCCGTGTTATCCGCTCCCCAGAAAGTCGAGATTGGCTCGCGGGTGTTGGGATTCGGCGTGGCTTAGACGCTGATCGAGGCTGTGCATCACAACATCGCCAAAGCAATGCTTCCCGGACAACCCCTGTCTTGCAGGCAATTGTTTATCATCCTGCAATTCCCGCTCTACTTAGTTTCGACATACAAATCCCGATTTTCTTTAGTGTGGTCATGGGTTCTAGTTGATCGCGTCTGTTTCATCCACTGGGAATGAACCGAGTCCATTGGGTCGTACAAGAATGTGGGTGCCTATCGTAGTAAGGGCTTCGGGGATGGGTTGGAGTGGTCTAGTCTAAGACCTTAATGTTCGACCGGTCGTTGTAAGTAAGCACAAGCTCGCAATGGCTTGCCGGATTGGTGGTATACCTGAGATGCCCTTGGCGGTGTCGAACAAGAGAATCTAGTATTTGCATGGGGTCCATGAGTGGCGCATAGAAAGAAGACTCCGTGTTGATTATCACGCCGGGTATTCCTTCGGAGTTCCTTCAACGACCTACATTGTTTCTTAGTTGTCACAGACTCTCTAGCCACTGTAACGGGCAGTCCGCACGAGTGGCAGAGCAGTTTCGGCCCAGTTGAGGTCTCACTCACTGATGGAGCGTCTTCTCTCTTCCCAATTGTAGATCGATGTGTTGATACAGAGCCATCTGGGACTGTTGTCCTCGTAATTGTGTTCGTCTTGCGTCGCTGACAATGTCTTCCGAAGCCGACTTCTACGAAGATGACACTTTCTACCCGATGTTCCAGCTCGCTCGGCCTAGGAATAGTGTCATCGCGCGCAAACCAGTCGCAGTCGCAGGACCATCGACAGCGACTCACCAGGTCTCGCCGCCGAGCACTATACACGAACAAGACGAGGACAGGATAACGCCGGCGCCACCACGCCCATCAACGCAAGCTGATTTCGAGGCCATCACAACCCCCGGAGGCTCTCAACCATTTATGCATTATGAAGACTTCTCATATTTCGAAGCCGAACCAAAAGGAGACCATGTCGTCCAGGAAAGAGAGACCGATGCGCTTTCTGTGCAGCAAACCCGCCGCCCCGAGCGGCCGCAACGAACTCGGCGGAAGAGAGGCCAGCGCTTCCCCTGGATTGCAGAGATCTTTTGGCTCTTGATAAGCGTAGCCTGTCTGGCCGTAATCGTTGTCATCTTATGGAAGTACGACGAGAAACCTCTTGAGCACTGCCCGAAAGATATCTCCCTGAACACCTTTGTCGCCTTCTTCCTGGCTCTATGTCAGGCAGCTTTCATTCTTCCTGTGATTGAAGCACTGTCGCAGTTGAAATGGAACTGGTATGCCAGGGCGGCGAGACCTTTGACCGACTTTCAAGTCTTCGAAGACGCCACTAGAGGGCTTGACGGCAGCTTGAGGCTCCTTGCCTCTACCCAGGGCAGGTAGGTCGAACTTCAGTACGGACCAGTCTTGTGCGAGAAGTTGGACTAACACTTCTTAGAATTCTCAGTAAAGCCGCCGCAGTTGTCTTACTGACCAGTCTAGTTACGTCGCCCCTGACACAGGCTATGATTAACTACTCGACACGGCCAACGTCTGGTGACGGCACAGCAACGATACCCACATGTGACGAATATCCAAGTGCAGATGCTTCAAATAGTATGTTGAAACATGAAAACTGTATCCAACTCCATTTGCTAATCATTGGCAACCTAGGTGACCTCGATATAAGTCAGAAACGAGCAGTGCAGCAAGGCATTTACAGCCCGATAAGCGAGCCCCTATCCGCCATCACACCCACATGCAGCTCTGGAAAGTGTCGCTGGGACAGCTTCCAGTCTTTGGGAATCTGTGTGGATATGAACGACGTGACAGACTATCTGCATGTGTCCAGTGCTATCGACGCTACTGGATTCAAACTAAACCTCCCGGCCGAGTCCCAGGTCCGAAACGCAAGCCTCTCGAATGGCGCGTATCTACTAGGCGGCCCCAAGACATACAACCTCAACATATCATTCCCGTATACAAGCGGCTATGTGAATAGCTCTGATCCCAGAGACAAGACGCTATCCTTCATCGAGCAGCCTGATCTCCTCAAGGCCGCACTGGCCGACTTCTTCGTCATCTACACCAACGACACGAGCGGGCCCGTGGCGGCGCCGTTCCGCGCCGTTGAGGTTTTGATGCACTTCTGCGTCAACACGTACGCCGCCGCCGTGAGGGAAGGCGTGTCGCAGACAACACGGCTAGCTTCGGGCACTAACGTCACAGAGAGCACCAACTCTGCGGATCTCCTCTCCCTTTCGGGAGATGGCAGGAACTTCACAATCAACACTACGTATGCGCTGTTGCTCGGCGACTACCTGAGGCAAACGCTCTCTGGAACCTACTCGCTTCGGCTTGGAGACCAGGCTGTCGGAAGAACAGGGGCGAGTGATGCTGTTGGTGCCGCGCTGTATGTCGGCGATCTTCTAAAGAGTCTCACGGAATCCAACAATGACGCGCTGAGGCACCAAGCAATTAGGAATATCACCGAGAATGTGGCGATTAGTTTGTCAAACACGTAAGTTCTGAGATTCTCATACGTGATGGTTTTTTCATTGTTTATCTTGACCATAAGATCTGTGATCGCCTCTGAATGAGGACGTGGCGAACGCTTCCCCTCCAGAACAACGTGGTGATTTCCTTGTTTCCTTTGTGCTCTCCTTTGGTCATACTCATCTATGTGCCCGTGACATGCTCACACTCTACGTGTAGTATTCGAGGACAAGGGACAACCGAGATCGGCACCGTCTTCATAACAGAGACCTACGTCTGTGTGCAATGGGCATGGCTCGTCTGCGTTGCGGCGCAGATCATGATGTCAGCAGTTTTTGTCGTTGGTGTCATGATCCAGACGTCTGTCTGGAAAGTCAAAGTTGTCAAGAGTTCGGCGCTTGCAACCATGCTGGCCCTTAATACCGAGGACAAGGGCCGCTTGGAGCGAGAGAACATGGGCCAAGTCACGGAACCTCGCACCATGTCAACGCGGTTGAGGTCAGCCAAGGCTAAGTTTTCGTTGCAAGAAGACGGCAGCTGGTCTCTAAACTTGGATTCGGGGCATGAGCCTGCTGGATAGTCCAATGTTCGCAATCATCATTGAGGCCCAATTGATGCATTGCCGATACCTGTCCATAGAGAACGGGAATTCCAGGAAACTTCGTTCCCGACTGCTGTTAGATGTTTTGATTACCAAGACAGGCAGCGTGCTGAGCCTTTAGGCATTGGTACACGAGCGACCATGATTCGCCATGAGCTTTCGGAGTAGTAGAAAGACACAAGCCTTGAGAACTCAAAAGGAAAATGTCAGCAGCAAGAACACCCGTTCGAGGAGGGGGAAGGGGGGGGGATAAGACGGGTATCGTACCCGTCGAAAGAGGTGGTCACGAGGGAAGCCACCCAGTTAAAGCAGTTGCCAGAAGCGTAAACTCAGGCACCTTACGTCTCCCATGACGATGCCCAACGCCATCCAGTCGCCACTGGTGAAGGATGGTTGTTGCGCTGGCGCGAATTGGGCACGATGGATTCGCACTTGCGGCTGACTGACGTCCTGTTTCCCACCACAATGCGATGTGGCCGCCGAGTTCTTAGTGGTCCTTGAGCACCAAGGAGGAGTGCGGGATGATGGGCCGCATTGGCGCTGGGCAGGCTGGCAATGAGGCCTGCAGCATGGACCAAGTTTATTTGACCTGACTGAACCCCCGCGTTCTGGTGGCAGTGAAGTCTACCACACACACCTGCAACCGGAGCGGCGAATGCTCTAGCTAGCTTGCTGTCCGTTCTCGTTCGCGGCAGCTCTCCTGCAGGCCGTGAACACGTCGCGTCCCCACGGCCGAGGTGAGTTGTTGCTAGTGGGTGGCAGCCCAAGATGTCACGTCTGTCATTTGTGACAGCCGTCGATAATGTAGGATGGCAAGAAATGCCTCATCGTAGCATGGGCTGTTTTCAATCGTTGAAATAACAATCAATCTCGTTCATTCGAAGGAATAAGCACCGATAGCGTTAGACCCCGGGGTTGTCGGGCGTGCAATCGCAAAAAAATAAGATCTTGCTTCAATACTGGAATCGCAGCTTAGCTTCGCCTCATTTTGTATGTGTTGGCCATCCGTGCATGCCTGCCCATTGCGTAACTTGGCAGATCGATCTGCAACCAAATCAGATAATGATAATCGCTAAAAACCAAGTAAGGACGGCGAAGGAAGCTGCATTGATAGCATCCCCGTTGACATGACGAATTGTTTCGGAACTGATTCGCTTTGTACTTGATCTATTTCGTCCGACTGCTGCTCCTCTCAGGTAGATAGTCGGTTTGGTAAACAGCAGGAGGTTCGAAACTAATACCGCGCCTTCCATCTCATCTGTTTGACCTTGTTATAGCCTAGCTCCGATCTAGAAACGCTAATCTGTCGAACACTGACCGACACCAAAGTAAATTGTGCTAGACAAGGTAGACCGTCATTGCGGCACCCGTTTTAGGTAGGAACAGCTGTCCACGCGGGAAGGAGCTCTTTAGTAACCAACATCAACACTGATCAAGTTAAAAGGCGGTTAACCGGGGAAGGCGCAGGTAGTCGATTTCTGTAAGACCAAACAGCCAGTGAGGCAATGCGGCGCTGTACAACACAGCGTCCCCCGGATCTGTTTCCCCAGTGGACGCGTCCTGTACCCCAGGTGAAACCGTGGAGTTACAGATACAGAGCTGTCGTACATCGAAACTGTTGGGACGTGATAGGACGGGAAAAGTCGTGGGTGAATTGCCCGACTTGTACCGCCAGCCGTCTATGGCTTGGAGCGGAGGTCGATGTTAACGTCAGTGGGTAGGAGCGTGGTAGGGTAGCAGGTAGGGTACAAGCCTGCTGCAGCACCCAAGGCGGGTAATCAAAATAATAGGCCAGCCAGACGGTACAGGCTGCCCTTGTCGTCCCATCCCCCTTGTTCAAACTGCATAGAGAGTTCATTGCCAGCGCTCGAGTCCGGGCAAGGTATTGAGCAAGGATGGGATGAACCAAATAGGACATCCCGAGGACGAAGCTAGTCCAGACAAGCTGGCCGAGGCGCACCGTGATCCTGTTCGCTGTAACGGGAAGGAGTGGCATCCGGCCGGTGCAGAAAGAAAAAAACAAGACAGAGACAGACAGACCTCTGGTGACATGTCGGTGCAGGAGGGCATCGACATGCACTTGGGATGGCAAGCGAGCGAGTGCGGGCATCTACAGTTCAGGCATACATAACATGTGCACATCCATCCATCCCATCCCATCCCATCTCGCCTCCGTCCAGTAGACAACAACCATGTCAATCAGTATCATATCATATCAATCAAATCAAATCTATCAGTCAGTCGCTCAGTCACTCTCCGGCGCGTAAGACGTGTGGGATGGAGGGGCGGAGAGACGGAGAGGAGACAGTATGGGGCAGGTGGTGGTGGCAACCATAATTGCGCCTCATCAGCTCATCCACTTCCTCACCTCTCCCCGTACGCCGGTCGGCAGGCATTCAATTATATTTCGCCCGAAAGCAGACCGAGTCGATGTGTGGAGTCCAGGTACTTTAGGATCAAGGTGACCCCGTCACACTCTTCGGGCTATCACGGTGTCACGCCGTTTCCATGCAGGGGATAACGAGGAAGGGGGCGGGTAGATTCCGTGGTGAAGTGAGGTAAACCAGACAGCCTTGACCCTCCCGGGACCAACAAATGACAGCAACACCTTCGTCATCGGATGCATGTCGGCACGCGGGATGGATACAGAAGAAACTCATGATAGCAAGGAACTACCTGGCTTGTATCTCAGCCCAAGCGAGGGACATGAGGCGCGCGGCCGGTGAGATCAAAGAAGGCATATGGGTGAAGCTGAGAGGTCCGGAAGCTTTCTAAGAAGCCGCAGACTTGTGCAGTTTCAAGGCCCAATTCTGCCTGGCCGCCGCTACACCATTGGTGCCTCGTATCAAGCTAGAGATCGAAGTACCACTTGATCGCCTATAAAGTAGTAGTATCTAAGTAGCTTCAGACGGCGCATGAGGAGTGGACAAAATATTAAGATTGAGATTGGGTCGCAGTCAAGCAAACGGGATTAGGTACTACTACTGTAGGTACTTGAAGGTAGGTCAGCAAAGTAATAGCCGAGGAAGTATCTCAGGTTAGGTGGGTATTTTTATGCAGTTCTTCAAGGAGCCCTAGGATGCGTTGAGACTCTCCCATCGAGTGTCTTTGGCGGGGCCAGAAGGTGGGGCACATATGGCAGAGAAAGACCTATCGGATGTGGCCATGCGGCAAGGCTGGGCTGGCGGCATAACCCGGTGAAGCCCATCATTGGGTACGGCCGGCGTCGGTTGTGCCTCATCAAGTAGCCTTCGACTGAGAGGGGAGACAGAGAAAGAGAGGGAGACGCCGGGTGCGACTTGTTGAGGGGGGAACGAAGCCCGAGGGGAGCCCGAGATGCACCGTTCCCTCAATGAAAGGCCTGCTCCAGTAGAGGTGAGGTCCGTTAGGTAGACATGGATGCAGACGCAGGCGCAGACGCCGACATAGACGATGCAGACTTCGACTAAAGAAGAAGAGCTCGGGCATGCTAGACATAGTCATTTGTACCGTCGATGCTTCTCCTAGGATATGAGGTAGATAGGTAGCATCATGCAGCAGGATCGGCTCCTGACATGTGTACCTAGGTACCCAGATAGCTTGGGTAGGTATGGTAGCGTTCGAGGACACTTCACTTAGACGATAAGTCAAGTGAAGTGAAGAAGAGCAGTCCGTTGTCTCTGAGGTGGCATACGGCGGCAGCTTTCCAGGGTGGATCCACGTGGACATCGAGGTCGACAAATGAATGAGTGGATGGGGATGATGGGCACGCTTTTGCCCATCCCGCGTGCGTCGCAGCATCGCTGTCTAAGCCGTTGATCGAGGTCTGAAGGCCCCAGTCTGCCTTCCCACTCAATCAAGTCCACCCTCGTCGCCGGGCCCTGGTCTACTGCTTGTTACTTGCTGCGTTGTGCGTTCTTGTGCTGTGCTATGCAGCTTCGTGCAGGACAAGTGCAGCGGCCTATCGCGCCATTGCGATTAATTTTTTATTCTCTCATATCATCATACAACCGCAAGCAGCCAGCCTAGCTAACTATACATTGCCTCTTGTCTTCTTCCCTCCCAGAGTGCACCAGCTTCCCCCCCCTTTCCTCTCCCCGACTCGACCCTTTTCGAAAGACAATTGATACTCTAGAGGCTTGAATTGCACTTTGTCTTGGTCACCGGCGTCTGTGTTCTGGCAGGCTTGCGAGCAGCGAGCGAGCTGAACTCGTCGTTCCCCGCAGTGGAGGCTTCGTCGAGTCCTCCTCCTCGTCGACACCACCTCCGGGCCCGGCCCCATATCATCATCCCATCCCACAAAGGCGCAGGCCCATTGTGCGTGTGTGGCCGTAGCGTCTCCTCACCGTCCGACCGAACATAGACCGGAGTTCCACGACTAAAACACGTTAAAGAGTCTTAGTTTCCCCTTGGGAATACTGGGGCTGAGCGGAAGTGGTCTTTTAGTCTCAGGGTCTGGAACGGCAACTGGACCTTGCGAACCCACATCTGTCACTCTTTGCAGTGTGCACACACACACACCACACACTTCCGCCGCCCTCTGCTTCACACACACCGAAATCCCTTATTACGGAACAGGGCCATTTTCTGCTTGCCTTGTATCTGCCTTATCGCCGCCGCGGCCTGCACCTCCGTACTCGGCTGTCGGAACTCGTTCGACTTCCCAGTAAAATAATTTTCGTGCAACCGCGCTCGTCGTCTTTCGGGTTACCTTTCCCCCTTCCATCGTTTGCTGGCTCGCTCTTGCTTCTCCACACCCCCTGTCGCGTGGTGTGTCGCACCTTCCCCTCGTCTGTTCTAGTTCTAGGTTCTTCATATAAATCTCGTCCCCTGCCATTCACCGTCCTCACCGAACACCCCACACTTTTTTGACAAGCTTAACTTTAACGACAACCCCGCCGTCTCTTCAGGTTGCGAATCTCTTGAGATCAATTGTCTGCCTTCAGACCATCAGGGCTGTCTGCTCCGCTGTCCCAGAGCGTTTCTCAAGAAGGGGGTCT